TTAGACCCGGCGGCGGTTAAAGAACATACATACCACTTGCTTCAACAACAGTCGCTATATCCACTTTCTCATCGACATAATCATCCATTGTGAGTCTCTATTTTATTAAAGCAGAAGCAGAAGAGGGAAAGGAGGAAGTGGACACTTCATCTTATAACTGTAAGTGAAAGTGGTGGCTGTGACAGCACTAAATCTGCAGCCATACGCCGTCAGCTGTCGACCCTGGGCGTCTCGCTTCACCGTCTGGCTGCAGGGTTAGCCTCGTTTGCAATTCTAGACTCGGCTTCAGCCTTGCGGTATGTCTTAGCCTTCTCGATGATTCTGTTCTAGGAATGTATATGGGGGAAGTCCTAATCCAATCAATAATTTATAAGGAAGACAGGTCATGTATGGGGTTGTCTTTCCAGCCGCACTGCAGCTCCGCGTACTTAAATGCGGGGGACCTCAACTGAGTTCATTTGCAATCATATAAAATAGCCCTGGGAATGGTTTTCATGGGACTGCGAACGGATTCCAGGGAGAGTATTGTCCGAGTTCTGTGCGGATTGCTGTTGATTGCCGTGTACATAATTCCTGCAGATTTACTCTGATAAGTAGTGTTGAAGGAATGGATCTCGCTGGATCAGCTAGAGATGACAATGCAGTATTACCGGGATTGGTTTTATATTGAAGATGCCGATGGAACGAACACACGCGCAACTTACATATCAGGCGTCAAAGACAGAGAGATATGGTCCAGTAGAAGAGGAAGTTTGTTATCAATTTAAGTGTCCCTCCTCAAACTTCATGATGACGAACAATAGGTCCTTCTATTGTCATTAGAAAGGGTAGGACTGCCGCTGCTTCGACTCTCCGTCTACTGATGATGATGAATGTGCTTCAACATCAGGAAAGGAGGAGGGAGTTGGGAAAATGGGTGTGCTTCCAGTATGTCTGACGTGCTGATTTGTTTCGTCTCGTTCTGGCAACTGTCTTGGTTGATATCAGTCATTGGATGGGAATGGCATAGACCAAAGATTGGAAGGACTATGCAAGTGAAGCGCCAGCCTTGCCTGACACTACACTGTTATACCTCACCTGACTTAGCTGCTCATATATAAAGTCAATATACTCTTGGATTAATAGTTCTATTTACAACTCTGTATACTCTACATCTTTGTCTGTAACACGCGCTAATCAGCGTACTTTGCACGCCTGTTCTGATCATCTCATTACACACTCTTTTCTACAGAGCAAAGGATCCTCAGGCTGCAGTGATGGATACTCTTATTCTACAGGACCATACTGAGTCACTAGAAGGGCTGTATTGCAAGCCTGTTCGTGGCTTTGTGCACATTCCTCCTCAAAGCCTCAACGAAGGGTCTCGCTCCGTGCAGTACTACTCATTATTCGACGCAGAACAACTTGGAACAGACTAATATCAAAGAGATTCTGCCAAAAATTATCGAGGAAGATATCTGCCACCGGTCATGTTCAGCATTTGCTCTGAGAGGTTCCTTTCTACGAGCATTGTTCTCAAGCGGATGCAGGGTCCGATCAGGTGTGAGTGACTACATTAAAGAATGAGAGTCGTTCATGATTGCTAATAATATGCCAGTGAGCAGTTCTGTATCTACTACAAAGGTTTTCTGATGAGTTCAATGCGTATCCCGAAGTATTGTCAAACGACGAGATAACAGAGAAGAATTCTGGAGACATACAAGATACACCAAACATCAACTGCAAAATGATTAACAGTCGATGCTTAATTTAGCAAGAGATGATTGATACCATTGATTTGATAATGGAAACCTCTAGCCGAATTTGAGGAGGTCCACCCGATCAGCTTGAGTTCCTGTGATGGTCCTTCGTATCCTGGCGATTGTTCATTTGAACCTTGCAAACTATTTGCCAGTTGCAGCAATAGCTGCATTAGACAAGCGACCAACTTTCCCTATCCCACATTTTGCAACAACGATAACGGGACAGGAGAATTTCTCATCGGAGAGAAAGATGCGGAGATTCATCTCGCAGCCGAAACAAATGTTACTATGCTTATCAGAACTCGTCGATGCCTCCGCATAGACCTTCCAAATCTCGCGTAGCGGCACTCCCCATGTTGTGAGATGGTCAGGTGGAGTAGGTTACATGGACCTGCCGATCCTCTGCATTCCCGCATCTTATCTCCATGTATCTATGCAAGGAGAGCTGGAGCTAATGCAGAAGTGGAGTTGTCTGGGGCAGCTGCTGAGAGGAATTGCAGTCTACAGTCGGAGCTGCAGGTCAGGCATAAAAACCGCATGTGCCCGCATTCCAGCGCAGGCTTTTCCTCAAGCATTGCGCTCCATCACCTTGCTTTAACCTTGTCCCAACGATGCGTCTTCAACTGGGTTTGGTTGCCATCGTAGGCTGCGCGGTTCAATCTGTCGCGGCTTACGTAGCTCAGCAGCCACGATCTCAAGAGGGAAAATGCCAGAGAACTACGGTCGCAATCTTGTAAATGCATCGCTTCTCTTTCCGTATATTTATATTTGCTAATTCTTGCAGAGGAGCAGGAATGGCAGGGATCAAGGCTGCTGTATGTTGAGCATGTGCCTGATGTATTCAAATCTGACCGTAACAGCAAACTTTGTCCAACGCATCGATCCATGACTTGCTCATCCTAGAATACCGTGACACCATTGGAGGCCGTGCCTGGCATACGGACTTTGGCCAGGACGAAAATGGAGATCCTTATGTCGTGGAACTGGGTGCCAACTGGGTATGTTATTCCTCGTTTTATGTCGAACCACTCTGACATTGAACAGATCCAAGGCATTGGGACCCCGGACGGCCCACAGAACCCTATTTGGACACTAGCGAAAGAGTTCAACCTGAAGAATACATTTTCCGACTATGACAACGTCTCAACTTACAATGAGAACGGATATTCCGACTACTCGCATCTCTTTGATGAGTTTGATGCTGCCGACGAGATTGCCAATGCCGCGGCCGGCACGATTCTACTGGAGAATCTGCTAGATCAGACAGCTCGCACAGGCCTCGCTTTGGCTGGCTGGAAGCCGAAAAAGACCGACATGAAGGCGCAGGCTGTTGAATGGTGGAACTGGGGTGAGTCTGCTCTGCCTTTGACAAAAATGAAATTAACAGGCGCAGACTTCGAGGACGCTTATTCACCAATCGAGAGCTCTCTGGTATTTGGTTACGCCGGGAGCAACCTGACCTGGAATGGCTTTAGCGACGAGGACAACTTTGTATTGGATCAGCGCGGATACAACACCATTATCAAGGGCATGGCTGCGAAATTTCTAAAGGCGAACGACACACGGCTGCGTTTGAACACGCAAGTCACCAACATCACTTATTCCGACAAAGGGGTGACGGTGTACAACAGTGACGGAACTTGTGTTCAAGCCCAATATGCATTATGTACATTTTCCCTGGGTGTGCTGCAAAATGACGCCGTCACCTTCACACCGGAGCTGCCCTACTGGAAGCAGACGGCAATTCAAAAGTTTACCATGGGCACCTACACCAAGATCTTCCTTCAGTTTAACGAAACCTTCTGGCCCTCGAACACACAGTACTTCTTGTACGCGGACCCTAAGCTCCGTGGCTGGTATCCCATCTGGCAATCCCTGTCAACACCTGGTTTCCTGCCCGGATCCAACATCCTCTTTGTCACCGTCACCAACGAGTTCTCCTACCACGTGGAGAACCAGTCCGACGAGGAGACCAAAGCAGAGGTGATGGCCGTTCTGCGCAAGATGTTCCCGGACAAGGACATTCCGGAGCCTACTGCATTCATGTATCCTCGCTGGAGTACCGAGCCGTGGTCATACGGAAGCTACTCGAACTGGCCCGCAAGCACCGGCCTGGAGGAACACCAGAATCTGCGCGCCAACACGGGCAGACTGTGGTTTGCAGGGGAACACACCTCACCAAGCTACTTTGGGTTCTTGCACGGAGCCTACTTTGAGGGTCTGGATGCCGGACGACAGATTGCGGCGCTCTTGCAAGGCCGCTGCGTCTACTACAACTCGACGATGGAAAGGCTGTGCGGGCCTCGCAGGCATTATGAGACGCTGCATGGAATCACGCCTCTGGCTGATTATAGTGCGGTCAATGGGTGGATTTCCAACAGTTTCTATGATTACAATGATGAATAGTCTGTAGCCAATCTTTGTCATGTTGATTATTTCATCTAGTCTGGTCAGGATCGCTTCCTGCAGTTCAAAGAATAGCCCTACAAGCGGCCACAAGAAGTTCTAACATATGTACGATTCAAATATCTCTTAGGATATCAGTAGTCGAAAATGCATGCAATATTACAGGCTAGTTGTTCGGAGAGGAGGTGATTTCCCTCTCGCACCTCGTCATGCAGCACTAACTCGGCGATAAAACCCTCGACACCCTCCAAGTCCCGGTCCGCAGGTGCCGAACGCGGCCCAAGTGGCGGCCTGACGGCGAACCTGCAGCGGGACCCGGAGGCACTTCTTCTTAAGTCGCTGGCAACGTTTGCACTTTGCGGTAGGCGGCGTCCCGCACGCAGGCGCACACCTGGCCCTGGCGGAGGGCGTCTCTCAGGCACCTCTGGCAGGGGGCAGAGGGCCCGGACTTGGCGCCGGCAGGAGGGGATGACAGCGGAGGAAGAACCCCGAAGGGCGGCGCAGGACTGAGGGAGCCACCGGCACGCAGGAGGCTCGCCCCGGGCGAGCTGGCGGCAGCGGGCGGACTGCTGGCACGCGACATGGTGGCAAATGGGAGGCTGTTGAGGGACCCCAGAGCGGGGCCCGCGTCCTCAGAGGAGGACAGTTCGGATGCGGCCACACGACGACGGCGCGGAATCCATGGGACGGATGGGAGCAAGGTAAGTCTCCGGAATGGGACACGGCACACCCATCCTATGGTTTGGAGGCAGTTCAATGGTCGCGTGGCCAAACCATCTCGAATCGACAGTCCGGCGGATGAATCCAAGAGTTGACAGTATGAGCTCGAATTCCTGGATGAGGGGCCCTAGCTCAGCATCGGGTCGAATGAGGTACGGTGGCCGACTTGAGAGGAGTACGATTGGAAGCGACCGACTGTCGTTCGGCGGAATCATCGACGCTTTCACCTGGTGGCATATCTTGCAAGACAGCTCCGTCATTCCATAGCTTGAGCAAACCGCCGGCTTGCAGGATCGCCCTGCACGAATAAGCAACGACCCAATAGGAGATTGATGAGAGAGAAACTTACATATCATCCCCGGAGTCCCATTGTTTGTTCCGACCAAGGTAAAACTCGCACGTCGAACCCTTTCCGTGCCAAAGACAGTTGGCACAAGCGCCCTGGAACAAAGCTCGGGTAGTGCCATTCGAGTCATATTCGGGAGAAACGATACATTTCAGGAACGTGCCTGAACCTGTACACTGTTTGCAAGCAGGATCCATCGCAACACCTCGCTGGTAGAGAATAACGGCCGATTGCTGAGACTGGTTGACAATCGATTTGATCAACGGTTCCCCGCTTTTCCTAAAGGACCACTCGACTTCGCGCACTACATCCAAGAGAACAGCGCAAGATCTTTCTTGTTTTGTTAGGGAAAGGGGACACTTCTCCGCCGCGTGCTCGACGGCACCACGACGATCAGGAACATGCATGATCGAATCAGGAACGGGGGTATAGTAACGAAGAAGCTGCAAAACGCGGGCCTTGTTCGCCTGCTTAGAGAATTGCCGCCCAAGTCGCTGAATATTCTTCAAGGTACAGAAATCCAGCGCCGCATGCTGCACCCGCCGGGATTATTCTAGTAAAGACATATAGAAGGCTATGTCGCTGGGCCATGTCTCAAACGGCGTGCCACTTAACATCCATATAGCCGGCATAGCGCGGAACTGGGGCAATCGGGTCCGCAGACGAAGACTTACCTGGTTAGCAGGGCAGACACGACGGCGACACGCCAGAGACAAGAAAGGAAGACTGAGACAGTGGGAGAAGCTGGCGGGGGACTTGCGCAGGGAAACGCCTGCGGCGCGCCCATCGGAGCAGCTCCTTTCAACCTGCCTATTGCTGACCTTGTTAAGGGCATTCGGCAGTTCAGTGAGGTGGAGTTCGAGTAACGAAAGTGCCGTCTTGTTGTTGAAGGTGACGTCGCTATTATCGGGGTCAAAGTAACCAAAGTCCCGGCTAAGCAAACGACCGCCATTATCAATGAAGTCGTACCACTGGTGATTCTTTTTTGGACTAAAACGGGGCCGGAGGTAAAGCTCGGTCTCCAACAGTACAACATTTAGATCGCCATACTTCGGCGCAGGGCTACGCCATAGAAGCGAATACTAGTCGCCTCGATTTCTCCCATGAAGAACAGGAGCGCCGCGGACCAAGCAACATAACCTGTATCACCAGGCATCAAGCGCAACGCCTTAGCGGAGCGGTATCCTGCCTAATCCTCCGCCGTGGCGCTGCCGTCGGGGTACCGAATATGCGCGAGTTCGGCACGACGTCCCTCCAGGAACTTGTTGTACGCATCATACTGCGGAGTTGTTAGAAATGAGGCAGCCCTTCGATAGGAAAATCGACGGGGATACGTACGGCTCGATCCTTCTTTTTACCAGTAATACCATGAAGCTTGCGATGCGATTCCTCCACATTTTCAAAGGCATCAACAAGCCCAAGCATCGCGTCCGAAAAGCTGTCGAACAGGGACGGATCCCAGTTATACTGGGGTTCTTATTGCTGTATAGCTGAAAATCGCTGAATTCCACAACGCAGACTTTCAACAATCCGGAATGCGCCCGGCCCACTGGGATTGAGTAAGCGGTCCGGAATAAGCGTGTTAGGTCTCGCAGATGTCGCAGCTTTTTAGCCATCTTGCGAAGATATCAAGTTCGTACACTACCTGCAAACCTGACATCTTCTCCCTCCCATCTTTAGAAGAGTCTTGTATGAAACAATTGCTAGCCGGTCGAGGGATGTGCCATAACGGAGACTATGCGGCAGTCCAGGAATGACGGTTCCCTAAGTAATGTTAGTCGCGATGCTCAGAAGACAGGGAACGGAGTTACTTACTCTCACAGCGGGCTCGCGACGGACATTCATCAACTCCACAAAGGAATCTCCGTGCCAGAGCACTCAAAGGGCCAGCAGGGGGCCTCAGGCGGCATGCGCGAGGGCAGCAGCAGTTGGCGGCGCCAGACCAAGGGCAGGACTGAGCGCCTCTTCTCATGTCGGTTGCTCCTGATGTTCTCACTGCGTTGTTCTCATTGCTTTCGTTGGGGGCTAGGGCCGTACTTGTGTATGACGAACATCTGGTCCGGGCTCCCCACTGTCCTGCGTTCGTTGACCCAGGGTTGCGTCAAGGCTGAGGCTGCCGGAACTGTCACCGGTGTGTCAAATGAGTGGATCGTCGATAGTTTATGCATCCGAGCCCTGCCAGCCTAGGGGGCCCATAGTCGTGGACTGGACTCTCCCAGCAGCTGGCGCAGTAGTCTCATATCTGCAAAGAAGTTGCAATTTGAAGTCGTTTATTTGTTAGGTCCACTGCCTCATTCCATTTGTTGATCCACTAGCGTAGGAGCTTCGTGAGCACGATGATCAGGGTTTGCACCGTCCCATCTTGGGATCAGCTCCTGGGTCGGGCTGCCGGCGACACATATACAACAGCACGGGAAAGATGCAGCACCGGGACATCCAATGGAGGACCACGGTCCAGACATGGCTGCGGATGCCGTATCTACCCCAAAATCTGGATCTCCGGGGCCTAATAATGGCACATGGTAGAAGCTCTCACAGAGGGATACAGTTCCTCAGGTAACACTCCCTTGGTCGTGATGAAAAATCACAGGACAGCACTGGAATACCCAGTGTCGACTAGCATCCACCTTGCGGGGAATGATCCTTTCGTCGTATGTGATTATGAAAGCATGCTTGAGATTCAGATCATGTCCAATAGGCTGATCCGATTTAACCAGGCGAGCACCTTCTTCCATAGGTGTCGTAGCAGTTTTGGGCGAATGGGGATCGAATCCGTCGACAAGACGCTGAAGATAGGCCCGTTGAGATAGCTTGATGCATCTCTTCTCAGTGTCGAGGTCAACTTTCATGCCGAAATAGTAGCTGGCTGGCCCGATGAGCGAATAACTTGTGATCTAGCCTAGGTGTGTTTGAATTAGAATGCATATCAATCTCATAAGTTGGAGTCTAACCTAACAAGTGTCGCATGGGTTTTCTTACCTTAAAGGTGATCAAGCGCAGTGCTTAATGAATGCTTGGTCCATGGAACCTTGGCTTCTCCTACAGCCTGTGCTATGCCAGGTCGGTCCATAGTAACAAACTGGGGACATTGATATAGCCCTGATATGGCGACACAGCATCTCTGGATCTGCCAGATATGAGGTCGTGTAGTTGAGCTTTGAAAGCGGCGCCTCGACGGTCTGAAACTGACGGTATGGTTTGTGATTGGAAGGCTTGCCAGGTTGCATCTAGGGCATTTTCAAGATGCACGGAGATGGTAGCTTGTGTCAACAGCTCCTGTATGACACGACAGCTAGGGGTATATCCTTAAAGCTTCTCACTGGCATTCTGGCAATGAGGATGTGATGATCATCTAAGATTGAGAGATTAGCATCTACTCACTGATTCTTTCAATCCACACTTACCAAGACTAACTTGAGGGCATCATTATTTCCGGGCATTCCGGGGAACAGGGGACTGGCCATATCTTGTGGCTGTAAGTATCTGACTCATTCTCTGAACTGAGGCCCTTGAAGGGGGATTGTGGCACTTGATACCAAGCATCCTTTAATGCTCATTGAGATTGACGTCCTTGGTCGATGACCCGGGAATGATGGCAGTAGTGTGGTTAAATTAAAGTCCATTTTGACCGGGCAAGCCCGACCAACTTGCAGTTGGCACACGCCGGTTGTTGCCTCAGACAAAGTAGCCATTTGAGTGCCTCTCCTCTGAAGCCCGTGTCCAGATCCCGGCTAGTATTGACGATTGGTCATGTTCTGCAACCCCTCAGGCGATTAGCGAAAGCTACTGAAGAACGGTAGAAAGTTTCGTCTCTTCGTCAATGACGTCTCCAGTCCCCTATGCAAAGGGCATGTCGGGAAGAAAAACCCAATATCATATGGGCGCCATGTCCCTGCTGATTTATCTTGTTCGACTCTTGCTGTGTTACCATTATTGTTTGTGTCTGACCGGCGGTATGGCTAGCAATTGTAATCGTCGTCGTCACTAGAACTACTTGAATCACAGTCGTCATCGCGATGTCTGGTGTGACATCTTGATCGGCGGGTGCGAGACCTCTGTCTCGAAGAACGATGCCGAGAGCTTCTTGACCGATCTTCAGCGCGGAGCTGGGCAAGTACTGCTGACAGTTGTGGCGAGTCCTAGCCACACCGGTCGACTGAGCGAAGCACAGTATGATTGTACTTCTCACCTGCCGGAGAATAGCCCGAGCAGGCGGGGAGCACACCCGTTGCGCGGTATGCGGGCGCTTGGAGACACCGGTAGCAGCAATGGGCCGGAGAAAGAGAATCAGGCGCAGGAGGAGATGGCAGGACGACAGCAAGGGCACGGCCTATAAAAATGTCAGTCGCGCGCGGTTGGACCAACCACAAGCCCTACCTGAAGCTGTACGACGTCTGTTCATGTTTGTTATCTGAACTCACTCATTCCAGACGCATTCAGGACCTCAGCTATCCGAAAATGACAATGCTGTAAGACCGGGTTCGGCAGAGGGATATTCTCGGCTCCCTCTACGTTCGTGAACGTCAGAGTGCCGCCTTTCGGAAGCGCCCTTTGACTCCAGGGACGCCAACGCCGGTAAGGCTTCAGCTTGTAGCTATGAGGTACATCCTATACAACGGATTTTATCAGCAAGTGGGAATCACGATAGCCAGTCTAAATGGTACACACCGTTGCTTTGCAGGGTAGTTTCCGATAAACGTGTTCACCAGCGTGTCCACGCACCTCCAATCGGTTTAGATGCATGCGACGACGCCTTTAGGAATTTTCCAAATTGAGCGTGAAGCTCCGCAAGTATTTATTGCTAAAGACATAAGTTAATGGAGGTACCGATGTATGGATTGAATTCCTCACCATGGTCACTGATGATGACGGCAATTTGCGGGACCGGCATTGCACTATTCAACGGGCTTGGGAATTCGACCGAAGAACGGCGTCATGGATAAGGCGCCATCGGCCTTTGCTCCAGCAGGCAACATAAAAGTGCAGATGATATATTGCACTAGATATCGTCGACGATGAGAATTTGGCGCCGTACGTAAGTTCCGCTGTTGTGGAAGCGCATTGGGCATACCTTAAAGTATTCTTGTCCACGGTGCGAAACCACAGCGACATGCTTGTAGGCTGATGGGTGTATTCTCCATTGGTAGAAAAATTGTGTGGCAAGGAGAAGCACAAGGATGAAGTGTACATTAACGTGGATGGCGGGCAGCACAACGACAGCCACAATGGTGACTGCAGCAGGAGCCGGCTGTCGTGACATGTTAGCTTTCATTCAGAGGAAAACCACCCAAAGGTATACTCACCATATGATAATGATGGCTATGGTGGTGATGGAAGACCACGGAATCATTGCAGACTGTCATGACGGGCAGAGTCCAACCGGCTGGGCACCGTAATGGCATCTTGTCCACTCGGAAAACAAACCTTCACAGTGTTTGCCTGGAAGAGTCCGGCTGGAGGCGACTGTTGCTTCTCTATAAGGGACTTTCTGAGTCAGTTCCTCGATGTCTTAACGTAGTACCGCAAGTACCTCAGAAATTAAATACCAGAACGCCCTTAACTAGTCGCTAACTAGTTGGCTAACTCGTTCGATATCTCCCTGGTAAATAAAAGGACCATGAGAAACACCAGCCTGGTCCAGCCGTGGTGTATGTTTACCAGACCCGCCCCGATTATGTTCCATCTGTTGCAGTGATGTCCGGTATGTTTGGTTTGCGAGTGGCAGGAAGGGATTTCTCTGTGTAGCTCTGGCCAGGAACCATTGAAGGTTGCTTGTCAGATCGACGAGATTCTGCACATCATCAAGAGCGCAGCCTAATCTCCTCGACCATGACAAATTCCCAACACATGTTCGCACCCTCAGCGTAGTAGCTTGCCAGGACAAAGGGGTTTCGCAGCTCGCGTCCCCTTTCAACAAGAGTAACCAGGCGAAATGCTTGTTTCGGTAGGTACCTCAGCTATAGAGCTGCTTCATGAATTGGACAATGCGCTTTGGCTTGGGTTTAAGCAAAGCTTTATTGGCCTTCCAAAGCCGTAATGGTTTTGGAAGAAGCACAAACAGAGCTCTTTGGCAGATGCGGAGATGAGACTGGCATTTCATGGCAGCAAGATGTCAATCCTGTCCCCCATTCCGTGGCAGCCTTTATGAAGACAGCGGCGGTTGAGTGATTCCAACCTTGCTTTGTATACCAGGCCAAGTGTGGCATATGGACGAGAACGCTTTTGCGAGATATTTTGAAATGGAACGCTGTATGAGATTTCCCCAGCTGGACAATATGGTATAATAGCGATGAATGAGTGACAGTGTAAGAGAGAGATCCTTTGGCCGTGAGAAGTTGAAAGTTGTAGAATCGAGCTGTTGGCATACTGTAGACAGGGAGAATCACAGTGAATAGCTTACGCTATTACTTGGAATGAGTGAATGTAGCAGGTATTTAATGAGTATATTGCTGAGATTCACATGAAACAAGCAGAGAGACAGTGAATACTCTATACCAGAAGCAATGAGGAGGGATGCGGGAGTATAATTGAAATGATATATAGTCTATAGCATTAGGAAAGACAGAAGAGTCTGTAGGGGAAAGCCTGCTTAAATAATATTTAAGAACAAAGGACCTAACCTGAGAGTCTGGTTATGTAGCTATTTGTTTGCCATTGACTAGCATTATAGACAAGTTTGCCACTACATAAGGATTATGGGACAGTGCCATGTACAAGACAATGGTAAGGCTGCTCTATCAGACAGGTCAGACCTGAACCCTCAAACCGAGATAGGCAAGGTACATACCTCGATCATCAGATACTGAACACAGTAAGTTATTGATATGAGGCAGGTAGGAGGCAGCTTTATGTGGACATCAACATGTTTCGACGAGGCTGGAGCCTAGTCTATTCATCAACCACGGGATGACGCAGGCGGACGACAAAAGCAACAAGATTCTTTCCATGAAGCAGGTGCTTAAGCGAGATACAAACTCGGTCTTCAGGATGCAACCTTGCAATCAAAGAACAGCGGATCCATCAAGCACTCCCCTGAAAGAGGAACCATCGCCTTACGAAGTAATGCTGCAGTCGGCCCCTCCGGACTATCTGACAAAGTTCCGTTGGCTAACTGGCGAGTGACTCCACAATTTCAGCATCTCATTAAAGAGGAAGATAGCGGGGAACGGGGAGAATCTAGGGAGATTAGGTGTGATTAACTTAGGTGTTCAGTGTGGAGTCTCGGCCCCTTGCCGCTTGCTACTGAACTCAATCTCGCTGCGACCCAGAACCCATCCAACGTCGACTCGTATCTAGATTCGCTCTCTTATGTCTGAAAAGCAAAAATAGAGGAAAGACGGTGGGAAATGAACTGTGGCTCGGACGTCTATTTCACATCACGTGTCGGTGGTGTCGGGATAGATTAATCTTCCAGTCAACCCCTTATGCGCAGTGTTGTGATTTGGGAGTCCCTCTCCGGACAGATGATTCACTTCTCCACCAAAGTCAAGCAGTTTACAGGCTCGGGCTTGCGGGCTTTTACTGCTTGCACAATGGATTTTGATCCCCTTGCACAGCAACAATCAGATCGGATTTTCCAGGTGTAGATACAGAATTTGGTTTGACACTCGTCAGAAGAACTGGCAGGGAAGCTGGCTGCCCGGTATTGTCCTGGCACACCAGCAACCGCGTCCCGATTTTCGAATGGCGCCTTCACATATGTTATCGAGTCACATTCAAGGATGGACTACGCGTCTTGGTTCGATTTGCTGTCCCTTGGCCGGGTCATCGCTCGCCGTGAAAAGGTCGAGGATGAGGTCGCTATCATGGAATACGTCGCCAAGCATACAGAAATCCCTGTCCCGAAGGTCCTAGGGTCTGGTAATTGTGTAGTTGGCCCCTATATTGTGATGGATTTCATTGATGGGAATCCACTGAGCGAGTACCTCCGAGATCCGTCTCAGGGGATAGCAACATTGAGCCCGAGCATTTCTCTGTCTGTACTGAAGAGAGCTTATTTCGGCATGGCGGAAACCCTGCTCGAGCTTTCGAAACCTGAGTTTCCGTTCATTGGAGCCATCAGACGGGAGGAGCTCGGGAACTGGGTTGTGCAAAAACGGCCGCTCACATTCAATATGAATCGGCTCGCCCAGTTTTCTAACATTCCGTTCCATGTTTTTGAGCGACGACGTTTTAACAATGCGGCAGACTACTTTGAAGAGCTCGCCTGTCAACATCTCCACCATTTTGAATTTCAACGCAATGATGCGGCTACAGACGAGGCCGACTGCCGCAAGAAATATATCGCACGCTGTCTCTTCCGTAAGTTGTCGCGGGAGATATCTCAAGAACACTGCAAGGGCCCTTTCCGTCTCTACTGCGATGACCTTTGCCCCGATAACGTTCTGATTGGTCCAAACCTTGTCGTCGCTGGAGTTGTTGATTGGGAGTTTACCTATGCTGCCCTTGTTGAGTTCACGTATGCCGCTGCCTGGTGGCTCTTGTTAGAGCGCCCCGAGGATTGGGAGCCAGATCTGGACCAGTTCTTTTCGCGCTTTATGCCAAGGTTCCGCACTTTTTCTTGACGCACTTAAAGATTGTGAAACCAAGAAGATTAAGTGCGGTTCTTTGTCATAGTCCCAGCGGCTATCACTCTCCATGGAGAAGTCCTTTGAGACGGGACTGTTTTGGATCTGTCTTGCTTCACGGCACAGCTCTATGTTTGATGAAATTTATTGGAACTACATTGATCAAATCTTTTTTGGATCATCCACGACACTCGAAGATCGACTTCATCTGCTAAGCGCAGAAGAGCAGGAGCGTATAGGTATTGTCGTACGGGAGAAAATGAAGCAGGCAAGTGAGGGCAAGTTGGATACTCATTATACCATTGACGAACTAGTTGGACTATAAGAATTCCATCGTCACTCGGGTATATGAACTGCTTGGTACTAAGGGAGAATGCCTTTAGCATATGCTCAACTCTATAAGGCTTAATTGTTAGCAGACTAACATCAAAGGTGCTATGGTCTAGGGGTAGGACGCCACGTTGTGGCCGTGTCAGCCCCGGTTCGATTCCGGGTAGCGCCAATATTTTTTTCCTTTTCCATCGTCCACACTTTATATATTTCATTCAGTTTCTTTTTGATAAACAGTATTCCCAGACCTCAGTCGAATCCCCAGCACAGGGTGTCGCACAGCCCGACGTAAGCGCACCTCCATTGTCAATCGAGTTCCCACAGAAGCACTGCGTGCCAAACTCCCTGCCCGCATACAGACACCCACCCGCCTCCCAGGCCGCCTGGCACTTTTGCACTGTGTGGCCCGCAACATTATACGAGACGGCCAGCGTGCGCGCCTTGGTCGAGTCGGAGTAGCAGCCCAGACTCTGCCAGATCGGCACAACAACGTACAAACTAAGCGCATTGGAGCCACCGCAAATCTACGATCCATCCGCTGGACAGGCAATGTCACGCTGCGACGCAGGGACAGAGGCAGCGTTGTTCATGATCACGGTCCCGCAGAAGCATTGCGTGCCGAACTCCATGCCTGCGTAGGTGAAGCTGGCCTGGGCGCAGGCGGCCTCGCAGGTTTGAACCGTGTTGCCCGAGACGACGATGGTGGTGTTGAGGGTGCGGTGGTTGGTGTCGTCCGAGTAGCAGCCCAGGCTGCGCCAGCGGAGTGTCGTGTCGATACCGCAGACGCAGTAGACGGGTTGGCTGCCACAGTAGTTTACAACTTATGACTCTCTCTCTCTTCTGTTGTTCTCTCTCTCTTGTATATATCAACCATCCTTAAGAGAAATCATCGGAATACGAACAGTTCCATCATTTTCCACCTAAGTGTAGCAGTACCTGTGCTTGATAGCTAGTATGTAATTTAAGACTTGAGAGGACTCTTTAAGAGCAGACAGCTTACATCATCCTTATGGAAAGACTTGCTTCGGAAAATCCAGAGTCTTGATCCTACCACTCCCATGCAAGGGTGGTGCAATGTTACAGTCCAAATCCCAACAAGGCGGAAAAATCGAAATCGCAAAGCAGAGAGGAGTCAAGGAATGTAAGCCCCATAGCTATATCAATGCAAATGATAGCGCCTGTGGGTTTTCCGCAATCAACAATGAGAGTATATTAGATAGATCGCTGGCATTAGATATAAGCTGATGCTCAGGGAGACTGTTGGTGATACTGAGGAAGAGAGTGGAGAAGAAGAGGATATTCCATTTTTTTGACTCCTAGGGAAAGAAGTGGATCGTTAAATCCTTGGATGGAAATAATAAGTGTTTAGCTGTTTCACTAGGAACAGGCATTATATGAGACTTAAATGGCTTTAACCCGGATCTACTGACCCAGCCCCCATAAAGGTGCTTGTTTAGAGGCCATCACGGGGAGCCCTCCTGAGCAGTAATCAATATTCAACAAGGTATGGACGCCTTATAAGAGCATACCAAAGCCAACACAAACATATCAGGTTGAGAAGCCAAATGCCGCACTCAGATTCCTAAGAATTCTAGGCGCAAGTATTCTCCATCTCTCAACTGCGGCGCAGGAGCCTAACGAAGACTAGGCAAGGCTAACAAGACTAGCTATCTCTGGGTTTATACTAGCTTGTTTAGTTTCCTACCTTGGACCAATCAAACTTCAGTGTGATTCTCTGATGCACTCTTGATGTAGGTGAATTTGGCTTCATGCGTTGAACTAATGGACAAGGATCTCAGCGTCAAGAATAAGCCCCCAAGGAGGAGGTGGATTCACCCCCGTTTTCCTCCCCAGTCTCTCTGAGTGAAAATTTTGTCTCTTTTGGATCTGTCCTGCGCACTGCAACGTGCTCAAATAGGGAGCATCCTGGTATGCATAACAATACAGCCCACTATGGTTGCTGGATTGGACGTTGACGCAGATGTGTTTGTGGATTTATGGCGGAGAGTAAAAGGCCTATTTGGATCTTCACCACAGGAGGAATGTACGCTGCAGGGAGAGTGTGATAATGTTGACAGCGTCACAGAACGTTGGAGACTGCTCACTCAATACCAAGCAGATATACCACACTGCTCGGTCAGTGTTATAGCCATCTCATTTGTATTTAAATACTGAACAGTTTTCCTCTCCAGCTAAGTTGCATCTACGACCTGGTGCTGGAGTATGATTGTTCTCACACCGACTTTGCCTGCATCTGTACCAGGCTTGAGGTGATCAGTCAGGATGTGAAATTCAGATCCTGCTATGACCGGTGTCCTATCAATCCTGATCAGCGATGTAAGTTATACCAACAAAATCAAGCTTGGACATGGTTTGTCTTAACGATATGAGCTAGGGACGCCGGGACGGTTGCTTGATTTCTGCGACTTAGTAGGGGTTCAGCCAGCCCTTCCGGACTACATGAGCCAATACACTGAATTACATAGGAGGCAACCGGTCGAAGGAAGGGCTTTCTCCTGGGAGTCGGGGGCGACTGGGCGGGTGAGCGCCCTTACAGTGTCTGGTACTGGAACTGCGATCTACGCCTCGACTTCAGATGCAGAGGTTTTCTCCACGATGACAATTACACCTTCCTGGGTCGGCGCCACACAAACAGTTCTAATAACCAAAACAGCGACAGGCTTCTCCCCAAGTCAGACCTCCAGTGTTGAACGGGTGGATCCGAACCTCCAATCAACCGGTCTCTCAACGGGAGCAAAAGCTGGGATTGGGGTAGCGATACCCTTGGCAGTGATTTGCATAGCTTCTATCCTGCTATGGTACATACGGCGCAAAAAGAGGAATGGGGGAGACGGCGAGGGACACGATGGAACCCAACTGCCGACAACTGTATCGCCAACTTCGCCCGTCGTCAATAATTTACCTTTCGAGAAAGACGGAAACGCTATTAGTGAATTAGATGGCCAGCAGAAATCGGAGGCTGACGCGAAGACCAAGACACCCATTTTCGAGCTGGATGCGAACCTGACCAGTCCTGAAAAGGACTCAGGAGAGCAAAAACAAGTGGTTATTCACTGACGGCTGTCGAACCCTTCCTACGGCCTTGGACTATCAGGAAGAGATGAGCGGATCAGCGAATATGTCTGCGTTCGATATCCCAGTAGATTCCCACGAAGGAATTCTGTCTCAGGCCTACGAATGAAGAAATGTCACTTGTGAATCTAGGAGAAGAATTAGCTCGTGTAGCAAGAAGAAAAGAAAGACTTCAGCATTTCGAGTCGCTTCAGAAAAAAAAGCAGGAAGCCTTGAGGCAATCCTGAACTAGCTACTGCTCAAATCTCAGAGAGACGGCTGAAATATTACCTCTGCTTGGTCACTATTTACTAACTCTTCATGCAATCAATTAGAAGCATTTGCAACCTTCAAGCCCAAGAGGACCTAATGTAATAACCAGATGAGGCAGTGCATGCTAACATCACGTAATGGCTTTCAGAAACCAAGCACTAAGATTAGCTTCTCTTGCGCGACCCGGCTGTTCTTATGCCTCCGGCCCCTGCTCGTCCTTTAACAGCGCAGCTAACAGACCAGACTACGCCATCGGTGCAGACATGCTCCTTCGCGACGGTAAACTACATCCTCCTCGGCCTCTTCGACTCGGACATTGGTTACCTCTACCTCCCATCTCGGGGCATCGATTGCGCCGTTGGCTATCCTGATCTGTTCGGTGAGTTTTCTCTCGTTCTTTCTGGGATTGAATTGATAATACCGTTGGGATCATGGAGAAAACCATTAATTTGATATGAAATTGAGTGCAATTGAGGGTATCATGGAATCTTAGCGCTGTACACAGGATGGCTCAAACAGCGTATTACTGAGTGGCCAACCGATTCGATCCAGAAGTACAGCAAACGTATTGGTAATGGCAGCCAGAGGAGCAATGACCTATGAAAGCTCAGCGATAACAGGTTGCCTATCCCCGAAAATACACTCGACCGGCCACCGAATCCAGCGCCGATACTCCTCTGGCAAAGAAGCGTGGATCCCCGCCAGAACATGCTCATGCCACCCCGTCATCAGCCACGAGGACTGCATGTGCTTGAGAAGAATAGTCCAGTACGCCAGGACAGCCAGCGCAAGCGGGTCCTTCGCCTCTAGCCAGCCAACAAACCCTTCCGGAAGCCGGTATAACCACCCAATAACCAGGTGCATCAGATTCACCCCATGCTTCCCGGCCGCTCTCATCCGATACACCTCGTCAAAAACCCCTTGCAGACTATCCAGAGCAGAATCGTACATCTCTTTGAATGCTGGGTCATCCGTCTCCGCACGGATCAAAGCCTGTACATCCCTAATCCGCCCCTTATGCCTTTCCAGCTCCTCCGCCAGCTCCTCGCTAACCTGAGCCTCCCCCTCCAGCGCCTCAGGCTCCAACACCCCCGAAAAGATCTCCGCACGCCTCGACTCCAGAATCGATTTCACCCCGCGCATGAGAACAAGCCACTCCGCCTGCCCTGTCTCACTGAACACGAGGAACTCGCCTGTGCGCGGACCATGCCCGAAGTACACGAGGCAGATCAGCACGGCTGAGATGTAGATGTACTGGCAGTTGTCCTCGTTCAGGCTGGCCAGCACGGTGGTCACGGATCGGACGCCGAAGGTGAAATGGGCGTCTGCTTGGCTCAGGTACTGGGCGCGCAGGGCCGGGTGCTGGTGCGCCAGGTGGAGGGCGGAGAACGCGAGGATGAGATGCAGGATGGAGGGGAAGGCAAAGCCCCATTGTGGGACGTGGATGTCCCAGAGGTGTTTGGGGTCGTGGCCTTCGGTTGCTGTGCTGGCGGCGGAGGTGACAAAGTGATGGAAGAGGTGCAGGTCTGCTAGGGAGATGCTCTCCAGAGGGGGAGGGGAGCCGGTCCTGGACTGGACGACTGTACGCTGGTGTCTGTGGTCATCGGTGAGTCTATCTGGACTTCGTATTTGGACTGTCTGAAGCGATATTGTCGACGCGAAGGCCGCGATGGTGCAGCCGATTCAGTGGCATAATCACAGATGACTGCATGCTGGCGACAATTGGTGCAGGTGGGCTTTTTCTCATCGCACTGCTTGCATGTCAGTTTTTTGGCCATGGTTGTAGATGTTGAGTTGACTTCAAAGAGTGGCACTGGCAGCTTGAAAAGAAGTCATCGCTCACCTTGACTCGTCGCTTTTTACAGGTCTTGCACCCTAGTCTGGATTTCTGATGGGTTCTACGCGCGCGTATCCGACGGCCTTGCTCAGTTTCCATCCTGAGGTGGCGGCGATAGAGAAGGATGAAATGGAAGAATACTTCGTATTCGTTTGCCTTTTGGCCCCTTTAGGCAGCAGAAAATTTAGCCGAGATATGACGAATCCGAGTCTTCCTCTTAGACAGAACAGCGGTAGATCAAAAACTAGATCTTGGCACACCACTTGCAAATATGTCAGTTAGATTCCAGTGGGTTAATGGTGCTGGTCAATGAGGACAAAAAGGGGCAAAAAGGACAAAATTGAAAAAGGTAAACAATGAAAAAGAAATGATGCGTTAGCTGGGAGTCGAACCCAGATCTATTGCTTGGAAGGCAATAATGCTAACCGCTACACCACTAACGCTGCGGATGAAGATTTACCACAATTAGCAATACATATTTAAGGAGAGAAACCAGACGATTGCCACTGCCATTATTTGCAACTACTAATACAAATGATATAGATATACTCAGTTAGCCAGGCCATAATCCCTTTCGCAGCCGTTAGAGAATTGAAGGCCAGCTTTCTGCATGAGGAATGAACAGCATCAGCAAAGCCGTGGAGACCGCAATCGACCAGAAGCTGCGTAAGAGATTGCCAATGCAATCTCCCAACCAGTGACAGCGAAAGCGCTTACAATGACAAGGCTACAAGCAATGCTTGCTAAATTTAGGTGATCTACGGAGTATAACTGTTTGGGTCCCATGTTGAAAGTTTCAGCACAAGCTCAAAGACCCACTCGTACTCGTTCAAAAATTTCCCAAAAGGGTAATTTGATCTACCCCTACAGACAAGCAATCCAGTATATGAGACGGTCATGGTCGTCGTAGCTCTTTTCTCCTGATCAATTTCAAAATTCTCACGATCAAGCCAGCATGGACTTTACATTTCATAACGGGACCAATGGCTCCTCGCCCTGGGTCGAATTCTACCCCTACACCCCCTCCGCCACAGCAGGATACGCCTTTATGTCCATTTTCGGCATTGCGACAGTCGTGCACATTGTCCTCATGTTCCCATACCGCGCAGCCTACTTCATCCCCCTTATCCTAGGAGGAATCTGTCCGTCCCCGTTCCCCATCTCGCAATGCCATCACTAACTAATACTACCCCCAGGCGAAACCTTCGGTTACTATGGCCGAGCCTGGTCCCACAAAGAAGGCAGAACCGCAATCGGCCCCTGGGCGCTCCAGGAAATTCTCATCCTCTGCGCACCGCCCTTCATCGCCGCAAGCATCTACATGGTCCTCGGCCGGATCATTCGCGCCTTCAACGCAGAGCACCACTCCAGCATCCGCACAAAGTGGCTGACATTCATCTTCGTCCTCAACGATGTCATCTGCTTCATGACGCAGCTTGCCGGCGCAGGGGTGCAGATTACCGGTGATCCGCACGTCATGGCGATTGGCAAGAAGGCCGTCCTGGCGGGCTTGATCTTCGCGCTGGTGGTGTTCGGGGTGTTTGTTTGGGTGGCGGGGGTGTTCCATCGGAGGTTGGCTGCGGAGCCGACGGCTGTGGTGAGGGAGTGTCCGCGGCTGGGGTGGAAGAAGTATATGTGGGCGATTTATGTCTCGTGTGGGATGTTGATGGTGAGGAATTTGGTGAGGACGGTTCAGTTTGGGTCGCCGAAGGGGTCGCCTTTGAGTGCGGAGGAGGTGTATATATATGTTTTTGATGCGGCGTTGATGGTTGGTTCGATTTTGGTGTTGGTCGTTTGGCATCCCGGGAGGTTGGTGCGGAGGGCTCAGAAGGCGACTAAGGCGAGTCAGATGTGTGTGCAGATGGAGGATGCGCCTGATATCCCATTGACGGGATATAGAGTGGTTTAGTCGATGTCCTGTTTCAGATACTGTATATACCAGCAGAAACTGCTTCAATATGACCTTGTCTTAGATGAATGAACTCGAAATCATGAATTCAACGCTATGGATATCTCTATATACACTCTAGGCTAAACATGCAAACCATCTACTTTCCAAAAACCTTATAGCGGTCCTCAATGGGCAGGAAGGTCTTCTCGCCGGCGTCGCTGGCAGGAGTACCAAAGACGAGCTGGGCATCCAGCTTCCACGAGGCAGGGATGTTCCAGGTCTTCTGCACCTGCTCGTCGATCAGAGGGCTGTAGTGCTGGAGATTGGCACCGAAGCCTTCGGAGCAGAGGGCAGTCCAGACTATTCCGTGTTAGTTACATGCGACCTCTCCAAAATGGGAAGAAAAACCTACCGAGGTACTGCGACATGGCATTAGACTCAAGGGCAAAAGGATCGAACTTGTCAGCGTAGATGGCAAACTGCTCCTTGATAGCAGCGAGAGAGTCGTAGTCGACGAAGAAGAGTACCTAGACCATCAGTTACGGACCATAATCAAAGGCAGAAATTAACCTACAGTTCCATAGCCCGCGCGGAAGGCGTTCAGCTTAGGCTTGGTGTGGTTCTCAAACATCTCCTTGGGGACCTTGCCGGCAGCCACGAGGCCCTCCATGATGTTGATGGCAATGTCCCAGAGCTTCTGGTGCTCCTCCTTGAGCAGGAGGACCGCACGGGAAGTCTGAGTGTTGAAGGAGCTAGGGACATGGAGGACTGCATCCTGGACGATGCGCTCAATGGCCTCGTCCGAGATGGGGCTCTCGGCCTTGAGGCCGTAGTACGTGCGCCGGGCCTTGACCAGCTCCAGCAGAGTGGTGGTGGCGGGGTTCTTGAATTCGGGTTGAGTCGAGCCCATTTTGTTTGTATGCGATTAGGTTTGGTGTAGGTGTTGATAGTGAACAAATAGTGATTGATTTCTTCTTTATCTGTATGGAGCAGAGGAGAGGGTATTTATATTCCCCACCACACACAGCGCCATCATTTTTCTACAGACTTCTACCTGTGGAGACTCCAGGCTCGCACCTAAGAAGAATGGACTAAAAATTGTCATCTGAAAATTGTCCTCTGTATTTCCGTCATCAGTGGCCAATGAGAATTCACATACATAGTTCCGACTATGGGCGTTTTGATTTTTAAGCGGATATACGGAGAACCAAATTAGTGACCTTACCAACTAGGCTCCCCATGCTCCACTGCGGAACGTGCCAGACAGTGCTGACCAAGTGCTTATAAATGAATGCATACCTAGAAGTAGATTGTGAAGTGTATTATCAAGCCATATTACTTTAGTGATCCGTGTCCCTTGATATAAGCCAAAATAAGCACTAATAGTCTGATAATGATCTATAAGCGTAAGCACGAACTGCACAACACTAAACTTAGCTACTGACTAATTCAATTGTATAGAAAATAACTCATTTGATTTTCATGACAGCAAACTACGGCAAGGGCGCACCTAAGCACAAGGAGATGGCTTTCAATCAGACTACACAAGAGAATGAGGCTTCGACCCTGTCAACCATCTCAAACTGAAAGGGCGTCTAGGGGCCCACCTAGCGTACCGAGTAGAGGAGATAGTAATGTAATATTGTGTTTCACGGCTTAGTCGATAATACTGTGTTCGTTCCCCTTGCAGGGTCCCATTCGTATAGGACAAATGACAGAGACGGCGTGAACCGCTTAGAGAATGGCTAGCGCTATCCACTTAAATGGGGCCATCGCATTCCCCTCCAAGGGAAGGAAAGTAAGTATAAAAGAAAAATGATAGAAAAAAAGAATCAGATTGGCGCTGCCCGGAATCGAACCGGGGCTGGCACGGCCACAACGTGACGTCCTACCACTAGACCACAGCACCGGACTTTTGATTTTGCGCCTCTTTTATGCTACACAAGCAATTTCAATCTATACTTGGTCAAGCACGCGCAAATTTGGCCAGTTTATTCTGGCATTTTGGTCTGATGGGAAACTGGTGCTTCATTGACAGTGTAATCCTAGGATGCTGGATTCAATTGTAGCAATTGCTTCTTGATGCTGCGTTGTAATGGTCCGCCGAATTACATTACCCGGCAATCAATATATATATATTCCGGTAAGAGACCCAACTTTTCAACAGGGTAAAGGCGACAATGAGGCAACAAGGCGCGTAAGACGATAGTACTGCCTGCATGAGATGCCATAGATGCAACAATTGATTTGGTCAAGCCTTCAATAAGTGGGTGGTCAACTTCTTATACGCCCTGACACCCTCCAGAAGCTCGTCAATTTCGATCTGCTCGTTCTCTCCATGGGCCACGAGGATTGAACCAGGGCCGTATAGGTACTTTTTATGATCTCCCCTGAATCGAGGAACATCTGTTCCATATGACACAGGTGCTGTTTCGAACCCTGTAATCCGTCAGCAGGACCCAGGGAAGGGTTATGGTTGACAACCTTCGACATCATGATCAAGCAACGTCTCTGGATACTCAAACTTGAATTCCAGTCTGACATGTGGATGTTTTGCAACAACCTCGGACACGATTTTCTTACACTCGGCCATATCAGTCGCCACACGGACGGCGCATAGTGCCGTGCTGGAAGCCGGGACGATATTATAGCTCACTCCTCCTTCAATCTTGCCGATATTGAACGTCGACGGACCCAGTAACGACGACTCAGGGAATTTAGTACATAGAAACTCATTCAGGACTTCGACCAGAGCGGCATTGGCGTTGACACCGTGATGGGGATATCCCGAATGACTGAAAGCATTAGCCTCAGTAGATAGAAATCGAAGCAGACCTACCAAGCCTTCCCCTCCCCAATCAACGCAAACACCAAATGCCCCTTATGCCCAACAACCAATTTCCCCTCGGTCGGCTCCGCAAACACCACGCCCTCAAACTTCAAATCATGATCATTCGCCGCAATCATCCCAGGACCACCCTTCTCCTCGCCGACGACAAACAACAAACCAACGTCACCTTCCTTGACCGCCCCCTCCGCACGCAGCTCCTCAAGCGCACAGATCTGCGCAGCCATGGGTCCCTTATCGTCGCAGGCGCCGCGGCCGTAGATGGTCGACCCTTCAACGCGCAGCGGGATATGCGGCGGGACGGTGTCCATGTGCGCGGTGAGACAGGCTCGCACCCTGCGCGTGGAGCCTAGGTATGCGTAGACATTTTCGCGGGTCGAGCCTGGGGCGATGGGGATGCGTTCGACGGTGTAGCCGAGGGTGGAGAGGTGGTTGTCGAGCCGGTGGGCGATGTCTTGTTCGTGGTCGCTGGCGCTGGGGATATCGATAAGGGATTCGAGGAGGGTTACCACTGGAGCTTCTGCCATTTTGTATCTATCTTTGAAATAGGTCTTTAAATGAGTGTAGTGTTGTGTCTGCTATGGCGGAAGGAGAGGTTGGTGCGGGGAGGACGTTGCGTGCGGGGAGATTTCGTCATTGCAAATGAGACATGCTCAGGATTAACACAATAATGATACATGATACGATGAAGGCATGCAGGAAAGAATCAGGACACCGTCGGACATTACGTTGTCGGTGGTAAGTAACAAAAGAAGGAAAAGATGGACACTCGTGGCTGAAACGCGCATTATGCTTGGTGGACTGCTTACTGCTGTAGCCTGTTGATTTACCCCGCCACTATTGCTGATCTCGCTGTATTTATTATCTGGCTTCAAGTCATTTTCTTCTCTGCGAAGAAACCAGATCAATTGTACATACTCATCATGGCGTCTCTTTCTCTTGAATCTCGAGCTAAACCCAATTCCCCTGAGCATCGTATCTTCAACATCCTTAATGACTATCTTCAGCCCTCTAGCACAACCCCTCCCCGCGAGGCCGCGCAAACTATCCACGCCTTGACACCAAAGGCGGGTTCAACACCAGAAGAGAACTCTGATCTGGAGGACTTTCTCTGGTACACATGGGGAACTATTATCAAAGTCGCCAAACAGATTCCTCACGATCATCCCTCGCAAGACCGACTGGTCGACTTGATCCGCGCTCTGACCGAGTTACCACCAACAACGGTGTCAATCTGGGGTGTAAGTGTCTTTCTCCTCTGAAGCAAATTATACTGACAACCCAGTCCGAAAATTACCTATGGAAAGACCTGCCCATGCTCGGGCCAAGCCTGAGAGAATCCTGGGATCGTACGTACCCGTCTCTGATGATGGTGCTACCAGCTAACAGACCAAGCGCCCACGTATACAAAATCCAACGACCAAGAAATAGTTGAATGGATTAACCTACAAGCCTTCACCGCGCGGCTGATGAGCAAATGCGACCCATCCCTTTCTCTCCTTGGCGTCTGGAGTCTACGGTCGGGATTGGAAGAGGAGCTATCGGACAAGGAAGTCCACGGGGAGGCTGCCGCAGCAGCGATGTGGATGGTGTATGGTGGTGAGAACTTGTTCAGTCAGCTGGCAGACGCGGTGGAAGACGAGGAGAAGGAGCGCTTGATGAGGCCTGGGACGCTGTACAGCGGACAGGGACAGTTGAGCCCGGAGCGGTGGCAGTTCTGGAAGCAGCGGTTTGGGGAGATGAGTGAACAGGTCCAAGTCAATGATGAGACAAAGAGCGTGATTCGGCTGGCCAGGGAGAAGATGGAGAGCGTTGAGCAGTAGTCTTTAAGAGTGGTCGGCGTTCATGTCAGCACTGGCTCTACACTTTGAGATAAGCTGAAATATTGTCATTACCAATCCAGCACAAGGCTGTACTCGTGTCTCAGCCCAATGGCATCCAAGCGTCATGCGTAGAGACAATATTCCCCCAGATGCTTTAGAACGATCTATATATTGCTTACACAATGTGACAGGGGATGCTGATGCAACAGCGGAAATTCCCCGCTGTGGGCATCATCGCGGAATTGCGGATTATAAATCTCCACTTTATTAGGTTATCTCACATCAACTTTTGCATATGTATACAGCAAATTTTTATCAATCATAGATATAATAGATGAGATGGGGCTTCCATTTCCACTCAACCATCAATGGAGCATTGCTTCGACCCCATAGCCAAAAATGAGTGAAACAGAGGTGGAGGAAGGCCTCGACCTCCAGCAAACGCGGTCGGGCTGGTCCATCGCCGAAAGCCTCTCCCCACTACGGGAAACGGTCTTCATCTTCGTGATATGCATGGCCCAATTCATGACCCAGGCCGGGCTGGGTAGCCAACTGGCCCCGCTGACCATCATCGGGGAGTCCTTCCACATCACCGACAACGGCATCCTCAGCTGGTTCATCGCAGGCTACTCCCTGACGGTGGGCACCTTCATCCTCTTCTTCGGCCGCTGCGGCGACTGCTTCGGCTACCACACCATGTTCGTCATCGGCTTCGTCTGGTTCGGCGTCTGGTCCATGGTCGCCGGCGTCAGCGTCTACAGCAACCACGTGCTGTTCATCTTCGCGCGCACCGCGCAGGGTCTCGGGCCCGCGATGCTCCTCCCGAACGGGCTGGCCATTCTGGGCGCCACGTACCGCCCCAGCCCGAAGAAGGACATGATCTTTGCCATCTTTGCCGCGACGGCCCCCAACGGCGCCATTATCGGGGCTATCTTCGCGGCGCTCTTCAGCCAGCTCGCCTGGTGGCCGTGGACGTTCTGGGCGAATGCGATTGTGTGTCTGGTGCTGGCGGCGCTGGGGTGGGCCGTTCTCCCGCGCATCCACCACGAGCGCGAGAAGCACGGCATGACTCTAGTCGAGTGGATGCAGGAGCTGGACGTCGTGGGGGCGTGTCTGGGTGTCGGGGCCTGATTCTTGTCAACGTGGCGTGGAACCAGGCGCCCATCGTCGGCTGGCCGACGGCGTATGTGTACGTGCTGCTTATAATCGGGATGGTTCTGCTATGGCTTTTCTTCGGGTGGGAGCTGCGCGTCGCGACTAAGCCGCTCATCCCGTTCCATGCGTTGACGCTGGACGTCTCCTTCGTGCTGGGCTGCGTCGCCTGCGGCTGGGCCAGCTTCGGCATCTGGACGTACTACCTCTGGTTGTTCCTGGAACATGTCCGCGGTAAGACGCCGTTGATGGCCGCGGCGCAGTTCGTGCCGCCCGGGGTCTCGGGGCTGTTGGCCTCGTTCACGACGGGGTATTTGTTGAGTCGGATCCGGCCGGGGTGGATCATGCTGTTTGCCATGGTGGCGTTCACGCTGGGGAATGTCTTTGTTGCGATTGCGCCGGTGCATCAGACGTACTGGGCGCTGACCTTTGTTTCGTTGGTGGTCATGCCCTGGGGCATGGACATGTCGTTTCCTGCGAGCACGGTGCTGCTGTCGAACGCGGTCGAGCGCCGGCACCAGGGCATTGCGGCCTCCTTGGTCACCACGGTGGTGAACTACAGTATCTCGCTGGGACTGGGGTTTGCGGGGACGGTCGAGGTACATGTCAACCATGGCGGAAAGACGTTCCATGATAGATTGCTGGGGTATCGCGGGGCGTTGTACATGGGGATCGGACTGGGAGGGCTGGGAGTGGCCGTAAGTGTGATTTACCTGGTCAAGAGTGTCTTGAAAAAGGAGCCACAGGGAGAAGAAAGTAAATAGCTCATAGACATAGATGGAGCCATTAATCCTAGTGTAATTCACTCCTACGCGCACATTTATCAAAAAAATATACATCGTCCGAGTTAGCCAGCAGATATCCTTTCCAGCCATGGTAAAACCTATCTATGGACTACCTGATTTGATCCAAGGAATATGTCCCTTGCTGTATGTATGTTTGCAAGGAAAGGTACGAAGGAAAAAAGGAAAAGAAAAAGAAATGAATGACAAGAGTGGGATTCGAACCCACGCCATCATACGATGATGAGGAAACTCTGGGAGTTTGGTATTAAGGTGGACCTTAACCTCACGCCTTAGACCAACTCGGCCATCTTGCCTTGATTATTTGAAGGTTCGCTTATTAAGATATATAGCTCCCGCTGGCCTCTAGAGGTTAACCAGTAGAGACAGTAAGAGCATCAGGACCGTTATAGTCGACCTGGATTTTGATGTGACTCTGCAGACACTCATGATTTTGATCTGCCGCCATACCTCTCCTCCCGGTGTCTGGTCTTTGACTGTATACTCAGGTCTCACCGCGAGCATCAAGTCAGTCAAGGTGCCTCACTCTGCCACATGCGCGGAATATACTTCCTTGTTCAACAATATGAAAGGCATCCGATGAGCATGCCCACTGACAATGTACAAGGGAAATATGCCGTGCAAGGCGCGCGCATGCACTGTCCGATAGCTCGTCAATTCCCCGGGTGTTCGACTAGGCTACCCCGCACATCCATCAGCCTTGCGGCAGTTATCTCCATGATGCCTGTTCATCTGACTTTGAGTGAACCAGTTTAAGGATATTCATGTCGATCATCTATATTCCGGGGTCTTTGTTCCAGTCATACGATATCGGAGCCTTCGATCCGAGTCTGAAGTCTGTCTTCTGCATTGTCCGGATGAGATGCAGCCTCGGTACTTGGATAATGCGTACCAGATTCTGGGCATAACTATTCTGTCAAGTTATGAATACAACGATTCTATTAAGCATAAGGACGACGATCTATCTACCCCGCAATCATCCTCGGTCCACCATGCCGTGGCAGTACTCATCGACATATGAAGATGCCATCATACAGAACCTTAGTTCAACCGAGAGGGTGCAGATCCTGAGAGCTCAGAAGGTGACCTGATAATTTTGGACCGTATCCGAATGAGACATGGCTGAGATAAGAGTTAATTAAATTGAAATCAACACATTTGCATGTGCTGATACAGCATGTATAAATCAACTAGCCCTTCATGAGCAGAGTAGTTCAGTCTGAGCATCACAACCGTCATCCATCATCATGGATAAACTACAGCTCACACTTCAAGCGATCCAGCATCAAACCATCCATATCCTCAAAGAATACGCCCAACACCCCTGGCTCTACACCGCAGCATGCCTCACAGCCTACCTGGTCCTCACCCTATCCCTCCGCTTCCAACGCCTCCGCAGCATCAAAGCGACATACCGCAAGTACTCAACCCGGGAATCGCTCGCCAGCATGACCAACCACGACGCCTGGGCTATCCAGAAACGCATCCTCCAGCTCGAGTTCCCATTCACAGCGTTGAAAGCCCTCCAGTTTGCTCTCTTCCGCGTACACCCTCCCCTCCCCCCCACCAGCCGTACAGATCTAATACTAATCGAAGTAGACATACGGCATCCCCACCATCTCCACCCTCCTCCTACAGACCTCGCAATTCTCCAACCCATCCACCAGCTTCAAACGCTACGCCGACACCGGCGTCCTAATCGGCGAGTTCATGGGCTTCGAACCCACCTCCGAAAGGGCAATCACCGCCCTCGCGCGCACTAAGCTCCTGCATACAGGCTACCGCGCCAGCGGAAAGATCCTAGAGTCAGACATGCTGTACACGCTTAGCCTGTTTGCGCTGGAACCGGTGCGGTTCGTGGAACGGTACGAGTGGCGGGGGTTGAGCGAGCTGGAGAAGTGCGCGGTGGGCACGTACTGGAAGAGTGTGGGGGATGCGTTGGGGATAAGCTACTCGGTGTTACCTGGTGAGCAGTCGGGGGAGGGGTTCCGGGATGGATTGCAGTGGTTGGAGGAGATGGGGAGGTGGAGTGAGCGGTATGAGGGGCAGATGATGAAGGCTGCGGAGGCGAACCGGGCGGTGGCGGATAAGACGATGGATGTGTTGGTTTATGGAATGCCCGGGTGGGTGAGGGGGTTGGGGTGAGTGTTGCGACTTGTGTAATGGATGAGAGGTTGAGGGTGGCTATGATGTTAGTCTTTTCTCCTTGTATGGTTGAGGATGATGCTGATGCTGATGCTGATGCTGGTAGGTATGATGCGCCGCCGCGGGTGGTTAAGGTTATGTTCGATGCTGCAGTGGTGATCCGTTGGTTCTGTCTGCGGTATCTTGCGCTCCCGCGGCCGTACTTTATGCGCCGTGATGTGTTTACGGAGAAGCCGAATGAATACGGTCGACACCATGTGCAGGTGTGGGATGGGATGCCGTACTATGTGCGGCCGACTCTGTGGAACCGATGGGGTCTGTCGGCGTGGGTGCAGCGGCTGGCGGGATTGCCATTGCCTGGTGACGAGGGAGACAAGTACTATCCCCGGGGATACCACACGCCGGATGTTGGGCCCAAGTATTTCGAGGGCAAGGGACGGAAGAGCCTGGAGGAGATCAAGGAGAAGTTGAGGGTGCAGAGGACAGGCGAGTCGCCCTTTCATTAAGCCATAGCATTAGTAGTAGTATAAATAGTTCGTATCAATGCAACATGTCTCAGAGATATATCATCAGAAATCCCGTTCCCAGCACGATAGACAGAGACATCACAGTCTTCCATCCAAATCTGCGGCTTGCACCTGCAGCATTGGGATCACCTCCAGGCCCTCCAATGACTCCATTGATGGAAATGCCAACACCCTCGGTACCGCCACTGCCACCGTTGCTGCCAACATTATCGTTACTGCTGCCATCATCCCCCGACGTAACGATAGTCGGTATGCTGGCCGCCGTCGCATTCGTCGGTGTCACCGGATTCGTCGCACTAGCAGGCGTATAGAAGCTCATCGTAGCTGACACCCGCCTAAACGAGGACGAAGCGTCGGACCGGTCCGTACCTTTCACCGAAACAATCGTCGACGTCGTCGTGACAGTCGACGTGCGAATCGAAGCCGTGACAGGGGCATAGTACGTGTAAAACGTCACCCAGTACGTCCTGCTCTCATCAGTCATCTCCCATATTTTGAGCACGAGGGAGTCATTACCAGGTCACCGTCCACGAATACCATCTGTAATCCACATCGGTATAGGTCGTCGTGTGGCGCGCCGTGGTATACTGATTCTCCGTGTAACGATTCACCGCCTCCTCCTGCGAGCAATCCCCGTTGGGACAGCAGCCTACCTTCCCGTTGACGGTCATGCATCGCTCTCCGGACGGGCAGTACCCATATACGCCGCAGCACTCCGCGCCGCGGGCATGCACCCCGTTCCGCAGCAGTGCTCGCCAAAGTTGCAGAAGTAGCTTCCGCAGCAGACGTCGCTGAGGGACCAGACGCAGAGCCCGTTCTGGCAGCAGATGTTGGTTGAGCAGGTTGATGGGCAGGTCCAGCGTTTGGCTAGGGGGTCGGATACGATGTCTGTTGTGGGTTCGGAAACGAGGGTGTTGTTGGGAATGCGGAGCGGGTGGACGGGATTAAGGGCGAGTGCCCCAGAAACGAACAGGAATATGGACGATGGCTTCATTTTGGCAGCAAGGGTTTGGCCTTGCAGGGCAGGATGAGAAATTTTGTGGAGAAAAGGCTGAGAAAGGAGCTAGGGGCCATCATTCAATGTTTATAGGCGGTTGAGCCTCACCGATCTAATTACACCCATGCAGATTGTTGATGGACATTCAGCCTTTTTGCATATCAACACTCGGCTGATTGGCTCTACGGATCAGCTCGGACGGACGGTAAGCAGCTATACGAGACCCTACAGGGCCCAAGTGGCACGAGGATCATGTTGGACCAATGGTGATCCGCTGTAGATCGTATTTAAGGTGCACTAGAACGGTGGAGATGACAGATCGGCAGCGTGCAAGGCTGTCGGGTAGATAGATGTCGGAATAGTATCAAAGCAATTCACTAAGATAGGCTTTGTAGTCTATCTGTATGGACTAGACAGTTTAGATACTCTGTTTAAGTTAGACTTCGTCTGCGGTTGAATTGCTTCAAGGCATGCTATCTAGGACCTAACCCTATATTGACCTAGCTATGAACAAGCACTCAGTACTATGCACCAAGCACCAAGCACCAAGCACCAAGCACCAAGCACCAATAATATATACCACAACTCTAACCTACTTATAGCAATATGAATGATCTAACTGGCTAGAACCAATGAGTGTTGCATCATGGCAGTGGCTTTTGATTTCCGCATTCGGCGGCAGATCCACAGTCGTGGTATGACGACACCAGTCAGGCCACAGTATAACTCAAATCATACAACACACAATTGCTAACTAAGTGCTAACAGGTTAAATCCCACGCCGTGCTTATTATTCCTAACTTGATACAAAATGTCCCGTCCGCCGTCACGAGCGGCATCTCTGTTCTCCTCCCGCCCATCAACCCCAGTCCCTAGTAGTACGGTCTCTCGCGACCCCGATTCCCTCGATGTCTGGATCCTAGGGAGTGGAATTGCCTCTTTAACAGCGGCCGTACACCTCATCAGAGAGGCCAAGGTGCCCCCGTCGAGAATCCACATCCTCGAAGCACTGAGCGAGCCAGGCGCGGGATCAGTGGGTAAAGGCGATGCCGAGTCGGGCTACCACTTTCGCGCGGAATGTACGCCTCAGTTCTGCGGCAGTCAAATGGAGGAATTACTCGCACTGGTACCGTCGGAGAGGCCCGGGAAAAGCGTCTGGGATGATATCCGGGAGTACTTTGAAGAACATGTACCGAAGCAGGCGTCGCGGACGAGGTACCTGGCTCGGCGGAAGAACGGTCTGGAGCGGATTGGACGACGGAGACTCCATCTGGGGGTCAAGGATAGGATGGATCTGTTCCGGCTGTCGTCCAAGGCGGAGGACGCGCTGGGCCGGTCCCGCATTCGAAACCATTTCTCCGAGGGGTTCTTCAGGACGGAGTACTGGCTGGTGCTGTCGACGCTGTAGGTTTTCGTTGGATCCCAAAAGGACTCAGGATGCTAACCAGGATTAGGTTCGGTTTCCGGCCGTGCCACAGCGCTGCCGAGTTCCGCCGCTTCATTCAGCATTTTCCTCATGATATCCAGACGCATCACCCTCGTCCGCTGGACCGTGTCCGCTTCAACTTGCATGACTCCGTCGTCGCCCCGATTGCTCGCTTCCTACAGGCACAGGGAGTTGACTTTCGCTTCAACACCATCACGACTGATATCATCGTCGAGCCAGCACAAGACCCTACTCGCGTGACAGCCCTGCGTACAGTATACAAAAGCGAGCGCGAGGTAACCATCGATCTTGGCCCGCACGATATCATAATTGTTTCTTCGGGATCCGTCTTGTCCGGTGCTTCCTGCGGGTCAAACACAGAGCCACCCTCGCTAGAGATGATGGAGATCGAGAAAGACCTCGACGAGAACTGGCTCCTGTGGCTGGAACTCGCGACCAAGCATCCCAAGTTCGGCAACGCATACAACTTTTGTACGCGACTGCGGGAGTCCCGGGTGGCACAATTTACCGTCACGGTCAAGAATCCGTCTGTCTTCGAGAAGATACTCGGGATCATCGGCGACGATCCTGAGACGGGCTCGTTGGTCACGCTGCGAGATAGCAGCTGGCTGCTTACGCTGAGTCTGCCCCGGCAACCGCTGTTCCCGGATCAACCGGACGGTGTTCGAGTATTCTGGGGGTACGCTCTCGATCCAGAGAACGAAGGGGATTTTGTCAAGAAACAGATGCTATCCTGCTCAGGTGAGGAGATAATGACAGAGGTTCTGCATCAGCTTGATCTCCCAGTCGACGAAATACTGCCTCAGACAATTACTGTTCCATGTGTGATGCCGCGATTGACGTCCATCTTACTGCCAAGGAGTAACGGGGATCGGCCGCAGGTGGTTCCCCCAGGAATGATCAACATGGCCCTCATCGGACAGTTTGTAGATATCCCCGAGGAGATGGTCACCATGGACTATATGATTCGAGGAGCGCAGATGGCGGTTCACCAGCTGATGGGGCTGGAGAGGGAGATGAAGAAGTCGAAGAAGGGATCTACGGTGAGTCTGCTGGGGTTTCCGAAGGACTAGTAGATCTGCCAGAATGTATAGTTTAATGCTTAGATCCGAGATATGCCGTATATAGCATTTGACAAGTGAATCTCCTGAGGCCTAAATATTATTCCTTGTGATTGGACCGGGTTAAGTGCGGTTACCGAATGTCAGATGCCTCGGTCCGTTGTGATACTTAAGTTAAGCCTTTAGTCCCCGCATCCCCTAGACACTATTTCGTAACCAATTTCCCCAGATTGAAGCTAGGTATTGATAGACATTATGGATCCAGCAACTTCATCGCAGCCTGCCACCGCGGACCGTGGCTCCTTCACCACCCCCGAGCCGCTGCAAAATACATATACAACCGATGCGAATCTCCGTCGCTTGCTTTCATGTGAGTCTGCAACGGATGATAAATACAAACAACTAACGTCAAAGGGTACCTCCCATCATCGACCTACCAATCCATTCAGTCCAACCTCACCCAGCTCGGCGAAGAAGCCATCTCGCCTCAAATCCGCGAATGGAGCGCCGACGCCGAGCGCCACCAGCCCTACGTCAAGGGATATAATGTCTGGGGCCAGCGATACGACTATGACCGATTGATCACCAGTGAGGGCTGGAAGCAGCTGAGCCGATGGGGTGCTCGACATGGGTATTTCCTCTGTTCATTGACTTTACGCCCAGAACTAACGAACGCAGCGTGGTGGCATTAGGCTACGATCCTAGCTATGGCGCCTCCCGCCGTCTCGTCCAATACACCGTCAATTATCTCTACGGGCCTTCGTCAGGGTTGACCTCCTGCCCCGTCGCCATGACCGACGGCGCAGCGCTGATTCTCTCCCAGCAACTGCAGCAACACTCCTTCCCAGAAGACCATCCCTTCCGCGTCGTCTTCAACCATCTCACCTCCCGCAACGAAGACTTCTGGACCTCAGGCCAATGGATGACCGAACGCGCCGGCGGCAGCGACGTCCAAAACACGGAAACATGGGCCACCCACGACCCTCTCCCGGTCTCCACCACCAGCAACAACAACCCGCTCGGCACCCTAGGCGAAGGCGAGTACAGCATCAGCGGCTTCAAATTCTTCTCCTCAGCAACAGACGCCAACGTCACCCTCCTCCTCGCCAAAACGGCCCCCTCCGGAAAACTAAGCACCTTCCTCGCGCCCTCCGACGCACCATCACCACCCCAACCAAGCCCCCGAGAAGTAACCAACGGGGTCCGCATCCACCGCCTCAAAACCAAGCTCGGGACCAAGGAACTCCCCACCGCGGAGCTGGAGCTGCGGGATATGCGCGCGCACCTCGTCGGGCAGCGCGATAAGGGCGTTGCGACGATCGCGCCCCTGCTGAACGTGACCCGCACGCACACCTTCATCGGCTCGCTGGGTGCGTGGCGCCGCGCGCTGAGTATCGCCAGGTCGTTTTCACGCGCGCGCAGCACAGTCGGCGAGCCGCTGTGGTTGATTCCGATGCATTTGCGGTTGTTGGCGGAGGTGGAGGTGCGGCAGCGGGCGGCGATGCAGTTGGGGTTTTTTACGGTGGGGGTGATGGGTGTTGTTGAGAACCCTGACCGGACTGATGACGTGCCTGGGCATGTGCCTAGGGGCAATGAGGCGACAGTTGTCTTCCGGGCGTTGACGGCTGTGTCCAAGGCGGTGATTAGCAAGATGGCGATTCTGGGGATCCAGGAGTGTCAGGAGGCGATGGGAGGTGTGGGGTATATGGATGAGCCGGACGAGCCCGAGTTCAATGTGTCGCGGTAGCTGAGGAACACTGCGGTGAATAGTATCTGGGAGGGGACGACGAACGTGCTGGCGAGCGAGATGGTAAGGTTTCTGCTGGCGAGGGATAATTTCGCGGTGTTTGCTGGGTGGGTTGAGCGGGTGTTGGGCATGATACGGAGGGAGAAGTTGGCGCGGGCGTTGGGCCAGGCCTGGACGGCGTTCAAGGGTAAGGTGGCCAGGAATGTTGCGTCGGTTCTGGCGGATGGTCGTCGAGTCATGTTTACTCTTGCGTGGATTCTGATGGGGCGTTGCTGGCTTTGGATGCCGAGCGAGATGGAGACGCGGTGGCGGCGGAGGTTGCTCGTCGGTGGATTCTGGCTGGCGAGGGAGGAGTAGGAGACACGGTGTATAGGGATATTGTGAAGCCGTATGAGGCAGACGGGGACGAGAAAGATCATGCAAGATGGGACTGCCGGATTGTCTGGGGACAGGAGTTGCCTGAGGTACAGGTGGCCGGCCATCGTTCTCTGAAGAAGAACAAGCTGTAGTAGCATTTATATCATATCATATCATATCATATCACAGTCAATCAAATATCCAACAACCAGGACCCGCTCCAGTCAAACCCTGACCCCTCCCAGTTCTGGTCCAAGATATCCATATACCCATCGAAGGGCATCACATCGCGCTTTTCCGTCTCCAGGCTCGTGGCCTGACTAGCAACTATCCTCTCCCCCTGTATCACCCCCACTGCCGACAAAGCCGCCGATTAATCCCATTGAAGAAATCCACTAGCCCAAGCCCCAGACTCGGCACACTCCCCTCGAACAAGGGTTGCCGGCGCACCTGCTCCGTCAACCTGTCCAGCGCCCGGATCGGGCCCACCGCCGAGCGCCAGCGCTTCGATAGCGTCTGCAGACACAGCTTGATAATGGACAGCTCATACTCGGCTGTTTCCTTGAGCGGCTCGTATCGATACGCCGAGAGCAGCGACAGCCCGGCGCTGAGCCCGTACAGCGCGAAGATGGGACCGAGATACTGCAGTTGGTCCTTCTGATGAAAGTCCTCGAAGATCCCGGCGATGCAGGACGCCGCGACGAGTGACGCAGCCGAGGGGACGCTGTTGGGCGTGGGCGAGCGGTGCAGGATGATCAAGATGGCGAGGTAGACGACTAGCAGCTGGTTGACTTCGAACTCGTGCGTCGAGGAGATAGTGTCCGGCGGTGCTGCGGCGCGGAGCGAAGGGAGGGATTGGTTGATCCAGCGGTAGAGGGCGTTTTCGAGCTGGCTGCGGCGGTCCAGGGACATGGTCTTGCGGAGACAGCCTTCGACTGTGTCGCCTAGTAGCAGGCAGATCGTCGTGTACGCCACAAAAAGCTGGGCCTTGTCGTTTTGAACGTCAAAGTCATCCACGCTCGGCGGGAGGACGTCGCTGTCGCTGAGGTTGATGGTCCGCGGGCGTCCGGTGCCGGCAGAGATGATATTATCGCGGACCTGCACGGTCAGTGCATGCTTTATTGCGGATAGATAGTACATACAACTAATGCCCACCAGAGCCTCCTCCGCAGCCCCCGGTCCTTTGCATTCGCCGCAGGCTCCTTGTGCAATCCGATCTGAAAGGCCATCGCGCCGGCCGTGCGAATCCAGAACCCGCTTGTGTCAGTTGAGACCTTCTCCGGTCCGACGGGATTATACCAGTGCAGCAGGCACGCCGACACGATCGAGATAAGCGAGTTGTTGCCGCTCCCGAAGAAGTAGAGCAGCTTCGCCTTGCGGTAAAAGTCCTTGCTCGCCACTTCGTCCGAGGGCGCAGAGACCCGACTCCCCGCTAGCAGGACGGCCTGCAACAATAGCGGCGACGGGGTCTCCGCGGTTAACCATTCCGGGTCGATAATCGGCGTCCATGGCGCACAGTACCGCATAAAGCAGTCGATGAGATGGTCCTGGACGGGCTTGGGCGGTAGATCAAACACCCGCTGGTTCTGGAACAGCTGCATGTCCTCGTGGTTGTCGGTGTCGAGGGCATCCTGGCCGGACTGTACCAAGGTCTCATCGAAGGGCACACTCCCGCTCAGATACTCGCTGCGGCCGCTGTAGCTTTTTTCAGCGGAGACGGCAGCGGCGGGACTGTATGCGGTGCGGGGTCCTCCCTGGAGGGGGACAGGCTGTTGGTGATTCTTTTACGTTTGCGGGTGAATGGACTGGTGGGTCAGTAGATGACGGACGGACTGATTGATAAGAGGCTTACAGGCACTCGGCCTTTGCTTTGAAGCAGTTGCTACATGGCTGCTGTTTTTCCAGATCGCATTTCACCTGCTGGGGTTAACAGATGCATGTCATACTGGGGCATACTCCGTACCTTTCTCTTGTGACAGATAATGCATGCTCTGATGACTGCTGGCATATTCCATATCTAGTATACCCCGTTCTTCGTTTATCAATTATAGTTGATATCTTGGTGTCAAGAACAGGAAAATGAGGTCCAAATAACCGGCCATTGCCGAGGAAACAGGCGGGCCGGATGAGGCACCAATCAGATTGCAGGATTCATTCTACAATTCATCCAATATCATCTTGATTGAATTAAACGGATGGCTGATGTTGTTCTGTAGATAGACCCGAAAGAAGGTTACAAATGCTTAAAAGTCACCAAGCTTGTTCGTGCCATGCCTAAATTCTCCGAGTCTTGCATATGCCAGGACGACTCTAGGAAAATACATACATACATATATATATATATATATACTTTTCCTCTATTTAGACTATGATAGACTCTTTAGGAGTCTCCGGTGTAATTATATTTGTCTTAACTATCTCTCTCACCTGCTTACTAGTCATTAAATAAAAAATCTAACTTAGGAATAGGGTAATAGGTAGGGAGATCCTACCATATTAGGCTGTTAAATGTCACCGTCTCTGTTGTTACCCTAGTGGTCTATGCTATACTACCTATACCAACCAAGTATATGTCTGATACACTGATACAATGGTAGTAATTCAGACTGCGCCTCCTGGTCTGCCTTGTCTAACCAGCCATCTTCGTCCATCTAGCGCTTGCTGGGCGGCTAATCTGCAGCCCCTGCAGGTTCCCAGAGCCATTTCTGCCTGGTGCGCCTTGCCTTCCCTCTTACACTCCTACCCATTTTTTCAACTCTCACCATCTAAATCCATCCAGATAGTTGATACTATCTCTCATAAACAACCCCATTACAATATGAGGCTGAGAAGCCGGTAAATTTTAATGGTTTCTTGATCCCTTGATGGTTGAGTCGGTGGTTCAGTCGATGTTGAAAACAGTGTGCGCGGACCGCGAGATACCTGACAATCTCGAGGTACAATGGAAACCAAGGCAAAACGTCTATCTCGTGATGCATATACGGTGGCTCTGCTCACTCCCCTCGAGATTGAGTTGAGTGCAGTGAGATATATGCTGGACGAAGAACATCAGCCACTACCGAGCGCCCGCGGGGACCCAAATTACTACGTTCTGGGACGGCTCTGTCAGCACAATGTTGTGATCGCGTCCTTGCCTGCCGGCTATCAAGGTACAGTCTCCGCTGCGGTCGTCGCACGAGATTTAGCGCGCACCTTCCCGTCGGTCACGCTGCGATTGCTCGTAGGCATTGGAGGTGGCGTGCCCAGCGACACTACCGATATTCGTCTGGGAGACGTGGTGGTCAGTGTTCCATCTGGAACTCAGGGTGGTGTGGTGCAATACGATCTGGGAAAGCAGACTACAACTGGCTTTCAACGCAAAGGATTCTTGTGTCCCCCGCCCAATGAATGGCTGGCGATTCTCCCGAGAATGCAATCTGATCACCGCGTGCGGTCCAACATGGTCTCAAGTCACATCGGAGATATGCTGAGAAGATTTCCAGCACTGTCCGAGTATGAGAGACCATCGCCTGAGATGGACATTTTGTTCAAGTCCGACTACGACCATCGCATGGATCAGCCGACTTGCCAGTCCTGCGATACACAAATGGCAGTTCCCCGGCAGAAACGCAGCGCTCCTGATCGACCTTTCATTCATTACGGGGTCATCGCATCAGGGGATCGCGTGATGAAGAATGCGAAGGAGCGGGACATGATCAGTAAAAGTAGCGAGGGCGCTATCTGTTTTGAGATGGAGGCAGCAGGCCTTATGAACGATTTCCGCTGCATTGTTATTTGTGGAATCTCCAACTATGCGGACTCGCACAAAAACAACGTTTGGCACCCCTATGCCGCTGCAGCTGCCGCGGGTCTTGCAAAGGAGCTCCTTTCATATCTGGAGATATCAGACCGTAAGTGAGATGTAATGACGATATCCAGTGGAGCTATCAGAAAGCTGATTAAGGTTGTCCAAAATGCCGGCAGCCACCATTCAATCTTCTCGTGCAACTGCTGCCTTGAAGGCTTTCTACACTGAAGGGAAGCGGCTGAATATAGAGCGTATTTCGGGTCAACTACTCCCAATGAGTCGCTGTTATATCAATCTGGCGGTGGTGAAGGGCTCACTAGAGGTCGACGAGAACCATCAGTCATTCTCTCCTACGTCACGCCTCAAGGTGCAAGCAGATGAGGACACAGACATCATCCCGTTGCCATCATTATTTGAACCACGCACCGGATCATCTCAGGCGCCTTCGGTACCCAGACGCATTCTGATAGAAGGGCGGGCCGGAGTAGGAAAGACGACTCTCTGCAAGAAGATCGTTTATGACCACCTCCACCATCAAATGTGGAACCACCTGTTCGACTTGGTATTGTGGGTTCCATTGCGCAAGCTGCGGCGAAGAGCGGAAACGACCGCTGCGTACAACTTGGAGAGTATGTTTTATGACGAATATTTCTCTCAACAACCTGATGGCAAAGTCCTAGCACGAGAATTGTGGCAGGCTGTCAACGATCCCTCCCTTAGTAACCGAATACTGTTCTTACTCGATGGCCTCGATGAAATCTCCCGTGAATGGGATACAGACACGCCAATGCACGATTTTGTGTCCCATCTACTGAAGCAACCGCAGGCCATTATCACGACAAGACCCCGCCCCTCGGATCAAATCGATCTAGGGACTGTCGATCTCGAACTAGAAACCATAGGATTTCTTCCTGACCAGGTAAACAACTACATAAACCACCCGGAGATTGTTCCTGACGGTGGGACTGCGAAGGAGATTGAGTCATTCTTGCAAAAGCATACCCTTATGCAAAGCCTCATGCGGATCCCTATCCAGCTGGACGCATTGTGCTATAGTTGGGAGCGAGACTTGTTGGAAGGGAGGTCGCAGACAATGACCAGCATTTATGAGGCAATTGTGCTGAAGCTCTGGAGAAAGGATATCCTGCAGCTGGGCGTTCGAGATAACCAAGGAACGAGGCTCACGGAGGGGAGAGTGAAAGACATCTTCGAGTCTGACATCGAGGATTATATGTTCAATGAGATCAACCTAATCGAGGGACTCGCCTTCCACGGGCTCACGAATGATATTACCGAATTTCGGTTGAAAGACCGAAAATCGTTCTACTACCATTTCAAACGGCACGGAGAGAAGCGTCCTCACGATGGCGAACGTGTGCTTCGGAAGGTCTCATTTCTGCGTACCTCCGACAACACGCTCCAGAGTCATGAGCAAAGTTTTCATTTCCTTCACTTGACCTTTCAAGAGTTCTTTGCAGCGAGATATTCTGTCAGGCACTGGCTACAGGACAAGCCTCTCCCGCTTTTTCGTGTGGGTCAACAATCACCCAAGGACTCTTTAATGGCACCCCGATTATTCCTTCAAGCAAAGAAATATGATTTGCACTATAATATCTATTGGCTTTTTGTGGCAGGGCTTCTCCAAAACTGCTGGCAGTCAAATGCTCCAAGCGGAGAGTTGGTGAGAGATTTCTTCGATCAACTAGACCGTGAGCCTCGCGACATGGTGGGACCAGCCCACCAGCGTCTTACCATGCATTGCCTCAGTGAGGTAGCCCCCGCGAGCGATGATGAGGTCATTTCGGAAAGGAGGACTTCGCTTGAGGAACGGCTGCTACAATGGGTTGAGCTCGAGTGCAAACTTAGCTCATACCCAGAAATGGCCGCTGAGATGGAATGTCCAAGCCGCATCATCATAAGACTACTCGGGCCGGGTTACGAAAGGCACCGCAAACAAATTCTAGAGACCCTGTGTCGCAGAAAAGTACAAATATCCCAAGATGTACTTGATGCAGCGGCTGCGTTGCTCAAAAGAAATGCACCTGGCATAGTGAGACTATGGGCAGTAGATTTGATATCAAGAACGCCGGACAGGATAACAGCAGAGATCGAGAGAATCCTAGTCGGAGACCTCCACCACGAAGGTTTTGCTCTCAGACGGTACACAGCCCGCGCATTGTTTGAGAGGTTTCTCTCCCAAAATGCCATCCAGGATCTGGTACTGCTGCTACGGCATCGTAATGAGAATATCATTACGGATAGTGTCGACGCCCTAAAAGCAGCGGTCGACCTTCCTGAGATTGTTATGCAGAATCTGATGTCACTCTTTCGCGATGATAAGATTGTCTATCCCAACGGCACGTCAGCGCCGCTTTTGGCACCTCAAAACAAATTCTCAGATAGCACTATCCGGTCTCTCGGTACGCATCTCAAGGATAGCCTAAGCTGCGTACGCTACAGAGCGGCGGCCGCTTTAGAGGTCAAGAAAACTTTACTCCCTGATTGGATTATTCATAACCTGGTACAGCTCCTTGAAGATAAGTCTTCAATTGTACGGTCCGCCGCATGCAAAGCACTGTGCGCCCAGAAAAGTCTTCCGAAGGAGGTTCTCTTTGATATCATTCCCGTGCTCAATAAAAGGGCAGAGTTTTCGAGAGATGGCTTCCTCAACGACAAAACAGAGTATGCAATTAAGATCTTGAGGAGCCAACCTGTTCCTCCGGAGGATATCAGACATGCGCTAAGTCTTCTACTCAAGGCAGAGGCCTCTTGTACCAGGTTCGCTGCAGGCTGGGCCTTAGCAAGCCAGGACAACCTATCAGACGAAACACTCAATAGCATGGGACTACTTCTCGAGGAACCCAATGTTAATCTGGAACAACTCAGACGCACATTTCGGTTTTTCGAACAACAGAAAAGTCTTCGACAAATCGGTCTGCGAGCGTTCCACCGACGTCTCAAAGATCACAATAGTGAAGTGCGAGATTTGGCGGCTTACGAGCTTGGGGGTTGGCTGCCCCTCTCGGATGAGATTTTACATGACTTAGTTTTATGCCTCAAGGATCCCGACACAAGATGGTCTGCAGAAATCACACTCGGGAAGCACTCGGCGATCCCGGATGAGATTATTCAAAGCTTTCATGACCTTTTGATGGATGAAGACCCAGAGGTGCGTGACTCCGCGGCCGCGGCCCTGGACAGTCAAAAAGAGCTTCCATCGAAGTTGCTCCATTCCCTCGTATTCGTGCTCAGTCATTGCCAGGATGGTTCTGCTTGCGCCGCAACCAACTGGCTCAAAAGGCAGCGCCGTCTTCCTGACGATATAACCAAAGCGTTGGCCATGCTACGTGACGATGAGCGCTGGGTGGTAAAAAATAATGCTATGACTGTGTTGCTCGAGCAGTCGCACCTGGCAGAAAATGTACTCCATGACATAGCCATGCTACAGTTTTATCCTCGCATTAAAAACAGATACGCTTGGTCTTCAAGGCTCAGTTCGAGGTCTGATTTACCCCCTAAGACAGTCACAGCCCTGGCAGCTCTCCTTGAGAAAGACAATCCCTCGCATGTAGAGGAGGTTTTGAGAGTTCAAAGTTGCTTCTACCCTCTTTTACCGACGCTCAGCCGGCAGGCTCTGAAGAATCTCTTGCGTTGTTGGATACCCCTCGCCTTTGACACGCAGATCTGCTGCTTTTTTGACAAAGGCAAGCTGATCATCGATGGTCCGAAAGGGAGGTTTGAACTTGATTTCGAGAGTGACCAGCAAAGAGAGCAGTTCATTGAGGTCATTCGACAGGTGCAGATGGATCTGGGATTTCCTACCGCTGGCACAAGCTCTGATGAACAGTCGCCGGAATGTGCGCGGGGTGTGCAATGGAACGTCCGAATATTAAACTGGGAAGTAATATCCGCGTCCTCGACTCTCCTCCAGACTCGGTACGTAAAGCTGGCGTGGTCAGCCGCTTCCGATGCCTCGAACATACTGGCAGGATCCTCGTTCTTGCTACCATTGCAATTCTCATTCAGGTGTGTCGTTCACACCCTTCCCTATGTCTAGTGATGCTTTATCTAACTAGTCGCCTAGCTGTTCCTCATGGTCTTGATGTAGATAGCCTCCCACAAGCAGCACATCAGGGGGTGGTCTTGCTACTAAAATCGACAGCTCTGAATGCAGCAGAAGTCAGAGATTAGTCTATGCTGGAAGTAGTAAATGTAAAATAGCTAATGTATAGTAGCTATTCGGTTATTATAGAGTCCTGACCTATAATTAGGTAGCTAAGTATGTTAGGGTATCAGCTGCTTGGACGTATGGGAAATGGACCGGTGAAGAATTGGTTTCGCGGTCTATTATAATAATGACCTGACAGGGAGAAGACGACGGGCTTGGGGAATGGCAACGCAGATGCCTTTTGGGCTTACCAGCTTAGGCAAGATTCCTTACCCTTCGCAGGAGGATGATTGGGATTGGGCCAAAATGGTCGCTGTTCCGCCAGATCATGAGTAAGATAATTACCATATACTCCTGACATGATACAATCTGTTATAAATTCGAAGGCCCGTGCGTGTGATGACCATGCTGCAGCGCTTATGCATCCTGAGGGCACCAATAGACGGCTGCATCTCCAAGGCTTACTTCTGTCTAGTCAAGATGCTCTCTTCATCCTGCTTAACCGCAGGACTCAGAAGGACTACGAGGGCTGCAATGAATCAAGAGTATGGTAGTGAAGCTTTGCAGTAATGCCAAAGTCGAACGTGGCAATAAAATGTCTAAAAACCACGTTCAAGGATTAAGAGGCAGTGCCACCAAAAGGAACAACGGGATTTAGCCTTAGCGAACCCTGCAGTCCAAGACACGTGCCTCTATTTCCGTCTTGTGTTAAGGCTTGACGCTTATGTATCCAGGGAACAGATCAATCGGAGAGGATTTGAAATGTTAAAAAGGAACTCTGCCCAAGGACCGATATCCGAACCTAATTATCTCTACTTCGAAAGATGCCAAGCCACTACAAAGGGGCATTTGATGGGTCTGGAGTTTTGACTTTGCGCCTTTGTGGTATCGGAGGAAGAAGGGCTAATCCTTGGTTTAACCTAGCCAGTTTTTAGCGAAGGATTCAGTGTTTTGCTACAGCTCTAGGGATTGGCTACGGTTTCACAGTCGTGATATGATACCTGATCTCTGTAGGCTACGATAGGCACCAGCCGGACGCATTTCTCCATCGTTGCCTTTCCTTAACCCAATCCAGAAAGAGACGCCGAGCATTGACCGACGGGAGCAGATCAAGAATAATAATATTAACATATTAATAGCTTCTTTGCCCTGATTTTCTGGCTTTTTGGGCATCCAGACTGGGCGGCTTATCCACCTGTTCCTGGGTCAGGCCCACTTGATCCCTGGACTATTGGACTAAGACTGAATTTTCGCCGTGTTCCTCCGGGTTTAGTGCAAAAAAATAAGACCAAAAAGTTCTGACCACGTCCACGGCTAATTGGCTCGTTTTCGGCGCGTGAGATGTAACCTCATTTCCCGGAAGAGTGGCGGACTGTCGCCGGATTGGCCGGTAAACGACTAGAGAGTAAGCTGTTTGCCAAGGGGTCGTGGACTAGATGTGTCTTCCAGGTTCTCTTTGAATACTGACACTGGAAGAGGGTTGAATGTTTACATGTTGTGAGAGTACGGCTGTCATACTTATGATGTACCTCCACAAGGCTAAGGAACTTCGATAACCCCCACTGTAATTGCCTCAGACGGAGATATCCTAGTCTATATCTCTACTCTGGTGCGTGCGGATCCGGATCCAACTCATCTCGTTTAATAATTAGTCCATCTCGCTAGACATTTCAGGGGATAGTGCCAAAGAGGTCCAAGAGTCAAATTTCCACCATTTCCCCTACGACCATTCAGACAAGCCCAAAGACCCCGCTAAATCACTTGGTTTGACTCGGTTGCGGGCCAAAATATGAGTAGCATCGACAAGAGCCGCAACATCCACCACTAGACAAAGTCTAACAGCCATGTCGCTTCAGCCTGGTCAGGTCTAGGAGGGCATAGCCTCCCTCATAAGAAGACAAGTTCGCCTTGTCTGTTGCTTTGAGTTTTCTTCTTTCTGATCGTCTGATTGTCCATCGCTCATTTCCCGATCGTATATAGATCGTCCATTCTTTTGCAGCCATATTACCACAGACCACAGTCTACTCTATAAACACTATCTTACAGTCCTTCCTTCAGTACCTAATAAAATGCGTCTCTCAATTGCTTCTGTCGTCTCCTGCCTGGCGGCTCTCGCCATGGCCGCTACCAAGCCCGACTACACCCAGGACCCCACGGGAAATGCCATCCTCAAACCCGGTCTGAACGAATTGGTGCCTGCTGGAAAGCCATACACAGTCGAATGGGATCCCACTACCACAGGACCGGTCTCACTGGTGCTCCTGCGCGGTCCCAGCACCAATGTTGTTCCTATCGAGACCCTGGCCGACAGCATCCCCAACTCCGGCAGCTTTTCATGGACTCCCAGCACCTCCCTCGAGCCCGACACCACCCACTACGGTCTCATGCTGGTTGTCGAAGGCACCGGCCAGTACCAGTACTCGACGCAGTTTGGTATCTCGAACCCGGACTACACTGGCTCGACTTCCAACTCGTCTTCGACCGCCACTTCCGCCACCGAGACCAAGTCTTCTTCCGCAACGGAGTCTTCTTCTTCTAAGCCCTCGACCACTGGCACGCCCGAGACTACTACTACTACTACTACTACTACCGCGACTTCTGGTTCGGCCAGTGCGGACACCACCACCGCCACCACGGAGACCTCCGCGACTACCCTCGTCACCCAGAGCAGCACCACCAATGCTCCCACCTCGACTGTGGTCGTGACTGTTCCCAACAGCACTGGCGGCTCTTCCGCCAGTGCCTCTGGCTCTCCCCGCCAGTCCAGCACCCCGTCCCCCTCGCCCACTCTCTCGAGCGGAGGAGACCGCAAGGCGATCAGCCTGGGAGCGGTCGTAGTGGGAGCATTCGCCGTGATGGCTTTTTAGGTGATGGGACGACAGCGCGAGTTGTGCTATGTATCTAGCGTAATAGCTAATGACTTTTTCTGAATATATATATACCCCTGGATATGAAATACAGTGTACTCTTCTATGGTCGACCGTGCTCTTTTATCGTGGGTGGCTGCTGTGACGTCACCACTAGAAATCTTATCTTCCACATCCCATTCTTCATTTCTTTGTGCCTTTCATATATCAAATCGGTCGCAATGAAGATAGATAATGTGCCAGACTGACAACAACAGAATACATGGAACCCCCACAATGCCCTCGCACAGCATCTCCGCACAGCAACTGGCGGACATGCTGCCCACCGGCGTCGCCATCCTCAACCACCGCGACGAAGCCCTGTTCACCAACCGCCGCTTCCGCGACCTCATGACCAAGCTCGACCCGCGCTCCTTCGACTGCTGGTCCCAATCCATCCATCCCGACGACTTCGACCGCCTCGCGGAAGCCTACCACGACGCCTCCCGCGCCCAGCAGCCCCTCCGCATCCAGTACCGCACCCGCGACCATGACTGTCCCTGGCGCCTGCTCACCCTCACCCCCATGGGCCCCGACGAGCGCGCCCTCTTCGGCATCACCACCGCCGGCGGCGCCATCTGCACCATCGCCGACATCACCCAGGAAAAGACCGCCGAGCTCTCCCAGCGCAAAATCGCCGAGGAAGCGCAGCAGCGCAAGACGCAGCAGGAGCGGTTCATCGACATGATCAGCCACGAGGTGCGGAACCCGCTCTCCGCCATCCTGCACTGCACCGAGGATATCCTCGAATCGGTGCACCGCACCCGGAATGGGGAGAGCACGGCTGAGGAGACCCACGCGACCATCGCGCAAGCAGCCGAGACGATCGGGCTGTGCATCGCGCACCAGAAGAAGATCGTCGACGACGTGCTGACCTTCTCGAAGGTCGACGCGGGGATGTTGACGCTCACGCCGCGCCGGGTGCAGCCGCGCAGTCAGCTGGCTACCTCGCTGACGATGTTCCGGCCGGAGCTGCGCAAGGAGAACATCGAGTTCGAGTATAAGCTGGATCATTCTTATGAGGAGCAGGGGATTGACTGGGTGATGGCCGATCTGGACCGTATGAGCCAGGTGCTTATCAACCTTGTCTCGAACGCGATCAAGTTCACGGCCAAGTCCGGCGGCGAGATGAAGGTGCGGGTGTCGATGGGCGCGTCGACGACGCGGCCCCCGTCGTATCCGCCAAACGTGGTGTTCTTCAACTCAGATGCGGCCGCGTTGAGGCTGGACAGGACGCAGCAGGCGGAGTGGGGGACGGGCCGACGGCGTATATCCTGGTTGCGGTGCGGGACACGGGGATCGGGATCAGCGACGAGGCGCAGAAGCGGTTGTTTGAGCGGTTCAACCAGGCGACGCCGCGCACGGAAAGTATATACGGGGCTCGGGGCTGGGGCTGAACGTCAGTCGGCGGCTGTGTCATCTGCACGGGGGCGAGATCGGGGTGAGCTCCAAGGAAGGGGAAGGCAGTACGTTTGGTTTCTTCTTTGCCGTCCGGAAAAGCGACGGCGTGGGCGTGGGAGAGCCGTCTACCAGCCCGACGGCTAAGCAGGACCAGACCTGCCGGAACATCATGTCGCTGGGCGACGAGATGACCGACGCGAACCACCAGATGACCTCGCCTGCCATCCCGGAGGACCCCGAGGTGACGTATATCGAGGAGATAAACCCCGCCTGCAACAGCGACGGGAGAAAGGACCACACGGCCAAAATAGCCGAAGAGGCTACCGACACTGAGAGTTCCACTCCACCTACACCAGAGAGACGAGATAGCCAACACATCCTCCTCGTCGAAGACAACATCATCAACCAGCGCATCCTCTCCCGGAAACTCCAAGGCCTCGGCTTCAGCGTCACCGAGGCCTGTAACGGCCGCGAGGCGCTGGACGCCGTGAAGAAAGACCACTTTGACTGTATTCTTATGGACCAGGTCATGCCGGTGATGGACGGGAATTCGGCCACCAAAGCGATCCGCGAGCTCGAAAAGGAACGCTCGGCAGAACATACCCCTGTGCTAGGGGTGACGGCCAACGTCAGAGCAGAGCAGCAGGAGGAAATGCTGCAGGCCGGCATGGACGACGTGATCCATAAGCCGTATAAGATGGATGAGCTGACTGACAAGATTGAGCAGCTGGTTTTTAAAGAGTCGGAGTAGGTCTCATTGGCATTTTGCATATATTAGATACCAGGCATTAGCCGTTGCACATGAGGATATATGAGTCCCTTCATGGCTAGTTTTACTGCTTTGACACACTGTTGTCAACTCTTTGCCCCTGTGACCTTCGTATATAAGAGCTACTATATTTCATCCACTTCTTATAGCTGTACTACTCTCCTTGTTTCTCTATGGGTATACCCCTGTATTAGGGACTCTATTGCCTTCTCTGGTTCCATCTCTTATGTTTTATTCAACAATAGGACGTGGCTCTTCTAGTGGTCGACCTGCCATCCAACGGCCACATAGAGAAGAGAGTAGATCTATGACCCAGTTTACGCGGTTGGAAGGAGTGATGCGGTCATGAGAGACCTGAACGAAAGGAGATGCGAATCTTTCGTTAGCTTATTGATATAAGGCAACAAGTGGTCAACAAGACAACAACAACTCCACCGTGGCACCAATAACATGACGGCTGTCACACGGTGCGCGGACTTAAGAATACCTATTTGGCTCTCGAGACTTCTTATATTGACGTTCTCTTCACAAAACTGACCATAAGGTAGATTCTGCTCAGTCAGGCCTTGCTGAACAGTATTTACTAGGCATATATAATTGAGGTTACTCCTCTTTTCTTTCTCCATTCAACTGCATCTGATGCTTCATACTCCCAGAATCCATAAGCATTATGGCTATCAATGATCTGCAAACTCTGTCAACAAAGAGATTGCTCATTTCTTCCAGAAGGCTTCAGCGATTCGCTTAGCCTGTGATACATATGCGAAGGAGCACCTTGAGGGCGACATCATTCCGGTGGCCGTGCAAGCCGTGTGCAGCTACGCCGTCTACGCTTAGTACTCCGTACTGAAAACCTCGTGGTTGCCGAGGTCATCTTCGCTAGGTTCGTAGTATGCTCAGTGACGGCACCTTATTCGCCTGCAGATTGGCGCAGGCAGAACGGAGAGTCGTTAGTCTGGCCTGGTGTGCGATATGCGATACAGAGCCATATCAGAATGTGGTGAGCAGTGTGAGCAGGTATGTACATTAATAATTGAGTGGACTTTGCGAAAGGATTGCTTCGAGGTGAACGTCATTGTACAAAAGAGCCAGGCTTAGGACTTCTCATCAAAGTCGTCAAAGGGAAAGTGGTTCTGAATCGCTATTCTGTCTTCATCCATCTCAGCTACTTGAATCATTTTGGCTTTTATCTCACGCGCCATTGCTTTCGCAGCCTTATATTCCTCATTCGCACCCAGCCCATGACGTCGACACCCAAAACATTCCGCATATGATCCATTGCGTCGTCAGCTTCTTTCTGTTGCGCATCCAAAGCAGGAGTATCACGGACAACTCTGTCTGAGTATGTAAGACTAGGTGTATTGCATGCTTCCCGTCCACGACCGACAGAGTCTGCTGAAGTCAGATTTGACCAGCTTTGTATGGCACGGGTCATGTTGGCCTTTAGACTGATTGAATCCCCTTCCCAAGGACTACTCGAACTTTCGAAAAGACGCTGATGCAGGATAGCAGACTGGTCAAATTTCGTATTGAAATGTTCCTCATTCAGCCGCCTCGTAAACGCGGCGTAAAGGAAATAGATGAGTCTTTTCCAGATTAGTCTCTTAAATGGATAACTGGTCAGACTTTAGTAGAGAGTTATAGTTTGGTAGGATATTAATTTGAGGCTCTATCAGTTTTCCGAGCCTGGGTCACCATAGTTATGGAACTCTTTTGGTATACTAGCTGCAAGTCTAAGGGGAAGGATATGCAATGCTGCCAGCTATTAATCCAACAATCTTATTTTCATCTGATATCAGAATATTGTTCGGTTGAAGATCACAATGTTGAATGACTGGCCGACTAAGCGATGAGCCAGCCCTGAACCCGAGGCAAGGCGCCAACATTAGATAGTCTCAGAGATTCTGAATGTGATCTTCAGGTGAGACCTGGTGATAACCATAGATCTCCCTATAAATGCACTCATAGGGAAGGCGAGGTTTGGCATAGGCTTTAGCCCAGGCCAACTCCCACTCACCAATGGCCGGAAATAAGTTGGTTGATGATGACCCTATTGCAATTAATAAGCTGCACCAGGCGTCTCTCTTATATGTTAACTCACAGGGGCCTCTGTTAATATCAAGTATGCTCCTTTCACTGTGCCACCAACGGTAATGTGCTATTAGTCCTACATAGAACTGTCCATTAAGGTGTTGTAGTGGAACTTTCCTTTCTGTTGGAATATCCTTCTGATAGTATAAACTCCTATATGCAGGGAACTTTAATGACATGAACTGTGTCTCCCACTGGATAATCTGTTTCATGACCTTGTGTTGCTGTTTTGGAGTCATTGTGTACCATATCTCGCTGAGAGGGATGCCGTCCAATTTTCCATGATGATGTACTCAGCGCCAACAGGGTTCGCTTTTGTCGAGCACCAAGCATAGACTTCAGGAGTAGGAATTCCATGTAAGCGGAGATAGTCCAAAGTAGCAGCCTTGCTTGCTATAGTGTAGTGCTCAGGCACTGTGAAAGGATATGGGAGCCGAGCAATGACATGCCTCCCATTTTTGTCCAAGAAAATTGGCCCTCTTTGCTTGGTCGTCAAAATTGTTGTCTCTGCAAGGCTCCTGATCACTGAGTAGAGTGTAATATGGACAGGGCAGTCTCAATGCTAGCCACAAGCAGTCCAGTCTGCTTGGTGCCTCAGGCAGAAGTTCCTTACCTCGGCAAGGGATTTCCCGCCTGACACAACCACAACAGCACATCCCCTCGGCAGTCAAAGCCCCTGGGCCTCATCTACGGGCTATATGCTCTTCGAACATGTCCGGCCGTCGTAATCGTTCTGCAGTTGCATGCCAAGCATGTCGTCGACGCAAAGTCCGGTGCACCGTTACTGTAACCGGCATTCCGTGCATCAATTGTTCCCAAGATGGGATGGAGTGCACAGTGGCGCAACGACGAGGGACGTAGGTAAATCCTTATCGAGATACATCTAAAAAAATACAGCACATAACAAGAACTATTCCTGATTGTTACAGTCAACAGACAAGGAATCAACCCTTGCGCGAGATCCGCGCGGTGCCTCATCCGAGGTCCAGCCCGAGGCATAACAACGGAGCACCCCAAGTCGTATCGGGTGAGACGGTCGGTGGCAGCACCGTTTCGAATATCCCCAGAAACGTGTCTCAGTCCGGACGAGCTGTTTCGGAGCCAACAGCCGCGACAGGGACGACGACACCGTATTCCGAGCAAAGCCGGATCGAAGACGAAGAACGAAGTGCCGCTGACTTCGCGACGGCTTCGCTGGCGCCTCGGGATGCCGAAGCAAATGATATGCCTATATACACTGGTCTGCTTTCATGACAGAATGTATTCGAAAATAGCTAACTGTAGTAGGCGAATCTTTGGGATTTTCTGCGGTTTTGGATGTTTTCGCCACACAAGCTGTCCCCAGACATGTCTTCCGGCCATCGTCGCATCCTAGTCTAACCGCTCAAGACGTCGAGTATCTGAAGTTTAAAGGGTGCTTGGCATTGCCATCCAGTGATATATGTCGAGAGCTTCTCCGTGCTCATTTCCACCACGTGCATCCTATTCTCCCGGTGGTGGATGCTGCGCAGGTATTGAAGTTTGAGCAGCAGCATGACCGACCAGCCGAATGGAATCTGCTACTCTTGTGGAGCATTTTCTTCGTGGCAGTTAATGTCAGTACCTCGTCACTGGAGCCGCATCATTTTACTAACTGATCAGTTTATTCCTGTGGAAACTTGCACAGCCGCAGGATACTCTTCCCGGAAAGAGATGAAGGAAGCCATGTACTCCCGTGCAAAGGTACTCTCCCATAAGACTATCAGGTTCAAATGCTTACGATTATGACAGTGTATGTATAACAATGGGGGTGATGATAAAATCACGCAGATGCAATCTGCCCTGCTGCTCGGATTCTGGCACTCGGAGATGAACAACCACGCTCAGCCCTGGTACTGGACAGGCATTGCAATCAACCTCGGCCAGATCATGGGTCTTCACCGCGATCCTGACGCAGTCAAATTTAATCCATCCATCACGGGGCGTCGACGAGCTTTATGGCGGCGTTTATGGTGGTCATGTTTCTTCCGAGACCGGTGGTTGAGTCTCACCCTCGGACGTCCGTTGAGGATCAACCTGCTCGATTGTGACCTTCCGATGCCATCAACAGCCGATGTTCTGAGTGATTTGTCTGAGGTGTCGCCATCGGTGGCAAGTCTGTTCATCCCGGAGGACCTGGCCCAGTTGAGCGAGTATTGGATTCTCCTGCTGCGGCTGTCGAAGATACTGGGGGATGCTCTGACCCTCAGCTATCAGCCGAAAAGACCGAACCCTACCATTGAACAAGTTGAAGCCATAGAGGCCGAGCTTCTGACTCTTGAGATTCCGCACGACTGTGGCACCGAGCAGAGCGAGTGGGCACGGTTTGCCGTTTACCACTTGCAGTTACATTATCAGTATGTCGCCCTGTCATACTCGTTCCTCTCAAACTGACTTAAGCAGAGCGTTCCTGATTACTTTCTATCGCCCTTTCACAAAACGCCTTCCGGAAGGCGTGCCTTCTATCAATCAGACAACATATCAGTCGGCAATACGCGCCAAAGTAGACGCTGCTGCACTACAGACAAATACCATCCTCGACGCTTTAGCCCGCGAGAAGCTCCTCAACTTCGCTGGCCCAATGACGTAAGTTTCCTTTTTACTTGTCGATTTGTCTCTAACGGAAATCAGACCTCCCCTCCTCGTCCCCGCCATGCACATCCACCTACTCAACTGCAAGTCGGACGATCCTCTCACGCGGCAGCTCAGTCTCAACAAACTCGACTTCTGCATGTTGATCCTCAAGGTCATGCAGGATGTGCACACGGCCGCGTCGTATTACCGGGGTATATTCTCCGAGGCGATCCGCCATCTTTCATCTACGGCGAGTAAGCCAGCTGGGCAGGGACCGGTCGTGGTCGAGACGCCGGCGTCTCTGCCAGGCGAACCCACAATGGAGACGCTGCTCAGCGGTGATTTCCTCGACGGGTTGATGGACGAGGCCTCGTTTTTCAATTTCTGGGAGCCGCTCAGTAATATGTGATCTGCCTATTGTTATAGAAGTCTATAGTCTATATTGTTATATTACAATCCCAGCTACATACAAATGCTACGCATCCGACTTGTGAGGCCACTTGACCCTCCTCTCGGCCCTCACATACAGATTATTCGGTCTAATCAACTGAAACATCGGATCATACTCAATTGGACCATCGCCCTCCCGCGTAAACTTATACCGATAGATCAACTTGGGCAGGAAGACCTTGATCTCCTGCAGCGCGAAATTGAACCCGATGCACATGCGCGGCCCCATCGCAAAGGGGATATACGCCGCCTTGTGCCGCTGCTTCACCTCGTCCGTGTCCCACCGGTCTGGGTTGAAGCGCGCGGGGTTATCCCAGATGGCAGGGTTATTGTGGATGTGGTGCAGGGCGGGGATGACCACTGCGTCTTGGGGGATTTTGTACCCGCCTGGTAGGATCAGGTCAAGCTTGGCGGTGCGGCCGGGTTGGAAGGAGGGGTTGTGCCGGCGCTGTGTTTCCTTGATGTACTTGTCTAGGAAGGTGAGTTTATCGGTGAAGTCGGCTGTGATCTCTGTGTTGTCGTCGAAGCCATGATCAACAAGTTCCTGGAGCAGACGGTCTTGCATGCCGGGGTAGGTGACCAGGCCGTAGATGAGCCAGGAGAGGAGGGAGCTGGTCGTCGTGAAGCCGGCACCGGTGGCTACGACCAGGGCCCAGACGAGGCTAGACTTGGGCAGTTTCTCGCCTTTGTTGTCTGTTGCGCGGATGGCATAGTCTATTGCTGTTAGCAGCACTCGCTGGGGCCGGGTGTACTATACTCACCAACCATGTTCGCTGCTCGAAGGGCCGCATCCTGCAAGGGGAGATCCTCAACGCCTCCCCGTTGCGCCTTCTGCACCGACTCCTCGACGAGCTGCTCGATACGCGCCTTAGTGTCCTTCAGGCGCTTGGGGTCCCCAAACGGCAAACTGGCGTACCAGTCGCCCTTGGACGTGACCTTCTTGTTCAGCGAGAGCACCTCCGCGATCAAGTGCACCATCTCGTGGATTGGCGCATCCGCCGAAGAGAAGTGCTCAAAGTCCAGGCCCAGAGTCAATTTGCCCACAGCCTGAGACCCCAGCTTCAGCATGTACTGGTACACGTTCCAGGCCTCGCCCTGCGCGTCTAGCTGATCGAATATGGTGCATGCATCCTCAACGGTCTTCTGCATGGTAGGCGCGTAGTGCCGCACGGCCTTGGGACCTAATGCAGGCGGGAGGAACTTGTGCGCAACCCGCCATTCGGGGGTATCTGTGTCGCCTAGGAACACGCCCGCGGAGGGGGTCTTCAGCGAGTAGAGCGGGTGCGCCTCGTTGATTTTCTTGGTGAAGAAGTCGGATTCGTTGAGGACGATGGCGGAGAGGACGGGGTCGTTTGTCTGGTAGACTGTGCGACCGAGAGTATTGGTCTTGATCAGGGGGCCGTACTGCTCGAAGAGACGCTGGTGGTTGCCCAGGTGGTCTGGGAAGATCTGGAAGAAGTTGCCGAAGAAGGGGAGGCCGTTGGGAGAGGGGGCGTCCCGGACAGCATGGCCATCGATGGTGATGGCGACGGGAGTTGTGGATGAGGTGATCTCGTTGAGATCGGTGAGGGATATGTCTTGTCCGGAGAATTCGATTCCTAGGAGAGTCAGTGCTGTTCATCAAAACATTGGAGTCAAACTTACCACTAGGCTCGATAATGGCAAAATGAGATGCAATCAGGTTTCGCAAGCCCTCAAGATCATGGATGCCGTCAAGCGAGATTGTCCTCGCCGATGAGATAGATTCACCCAGAAGGTAAAATTGCTGTGATGCCATTTTGGTTGCTCTCCTTAAGTTTGGCCGTTCACTGACAGGAGGCGTAGCGATGTGTCCCTGATCCTGCTGACAGCTTATATACAAGTAGTTGACAGCCAGGCATAAAATTACTCACGGATAGCATAGACAGTGTCTGTATACTTGGCCGGCATGCCGCGGACGCATTTATAGAACTGACATTCCGATTGGCTATATTACCTCGGTATTTATCAGATCTGCTCCACTGATCTGCTTTGCCTTAATTTCCCGATGACAATGACAGCCACGTTCTCTGTCGATGGCCAATAGGATGAATAGGAGAGAATTAAAAGTAAGATAAAGAGAACAAAGTAATTTCCAGCCGAATAGCCGTTGCCGAAGAGGATGAGGCAAAGTCCCGAGACATGCAATATAATGCACGCGACTAGATCATTCCTCCCAGCCCTTTTATGGACGTATTGAGTACTTGAAAACGAAAGAGTCTTCTCCCAATTATTGCAGACATCCATGATGGCTGAATATACAGTCGCAGACGTCGCAGGCCATAAGACCCGTGATGACCTCTGGGTTATCATTCACGGCAAAGGTACGTCCAGCTCTGTCTGGTCTTTCAGCAGTGCTAACTTGCCTAGTTTACGATCTCACCAAATACATTCGGGATCATCCAGGCGGCGCAGATGTGCTGCTGGATGTTGCCGGTACTGATGCGACCGCTGCGTACGAAGATGTTGGACACTCGGAGGATGCGGACGAAATCATGCTGACCTATCTGGTGGGCACGTTGAAAGATGCAACACAGTTTGTTCGCAAGTCCGCTGTGCGTGTTATCCAACCGGCCTCCCTTCCAGTAGTAAAGGACAGCACCTCGCCTGGGCTTCGCAAAGTTGCTGCCGCCGGCTCAGTGGCTGGTTTGCTGAGCTTGATATACTACGTCTCTTCCCGGCGTGGATCTTCGCAGCTCCCACACGCTCTTCAACACATACAAGCCCATCTGCCCAGTCTGCATCGCCTGTTGCCGTCGTCCATGACTGGCGTGCGCCTACCACACGGTGGCTTCGCCAATGGATTCGCAGCCGCAGCCCTACTCTCCGCCGTCATTACCGGCGTCGTGGGGATGCAAGTGTCGAAACTGACGCAGATCGACTCTGGCTTCACTCGATACCCGCTTCGTATCAAGAGCAAGCCAAGCCCCAAGGCAGATCCTCACAGCATCCCCGGCTTCCTCAATCCCAAAGACTACAAGACGCTCCCTCTCGTGCAGAAAGATCTCTTAGCGCCCAACGTCTACCGATTCGTCTTTCAGCTGCCATCTTCAACAGATATCGTCGGCCTCCCAGTCGGCCAGCACGTCGCCATAAAAGCCACCGTCAACGGGCAAACCGTCTCTCGATCCTACACCCCAACCTCTAACAACCTCGACCGCGGCTACCTGGAGCTCGTCATCAAGTGCTACCCCGACGGCCTGCTAACAGGCCAGTACCTCGCCAACCTGCAAGTTGGCGAGAAAGTGCACTTCCGCGGCCCCAAAGGCGCAATGAAGTACAAGCGCAACCTGTGCAAAGAAATCGGCATGATTGCCGGCGGCACGGGCATCACGCCCATGTACCAGCTCATCCGGGCGATCTGCGAAGACGACAAAGATATGACCGAGATTAGCTTGGTGTATGCCAACCGCAGCGAGGCGGATATTCTGCTGCGTGAGGAGCTGGAGGCGTTTGCGCGCAGGTACCCCAAGCAGTTTAAGTTGTACTATATGCTCGACGTTGCGCCGGAGAGTTGGAAGTATGGCAAGGGGTATGTGACGCCAGAGGTGATGGCGGCCAGGTTGCCTAAGCCGGCGGCTGATACGAAGATCTTCCTGTGTGGGCCGCCGGGAATGATCAATGCTGCGAAGAAGGGGCTTGTCTCGCTGGGCTTCGAGGCGCCGGGCGCTATGGGCAAAATGACGGATCAAATCTTTTGTTTTTAGTTTATTCGTTGGTCGCTGTCTGCATGTGTATAACAGGGATAGATAGTTTGTCTTTTGCAGCATCAGAACTTGGTCATTATTTACAGTGCAACGTTCAGCTTTACTCTAATATGATAACCAAGTCCGTGGGACCACATCTACATGTTGTGGGTGGTCAGAGTTGAAATTCATTCATTCCTTCGTTATTGAAAGAGCAATGAAAAGAAAGTCCGAATACGGACGGCCATATGCTGGCATTACATAAAACCACTCAGCCAAAAAGGTGTCCAGACGGCCATCTCTAGCTAGTAAGGATGATAGCACACTAGGGTCAACAGGGACACAACATATACTATTCCCAATAATACAGCTGGATGCAATACCGGCGCAAATGTTTATACGTATAAATACTTTCAGGTACCCTTATATGAAACATGCTAATCCACTTTTGTAAAGGTTTCCAAAAGCTCCTGTTATGGGCTGCTATATTGCATGGTACTGGCTATTTTATAATGCAAACTATTTTACATAACCTATATCCCCACGTACAAACGTGTTGAATTCACTAGCACTAGTAAAGTTCCCGAATCACTAGTAATCTGTATGGCCAGTTGAAAATTAATGAAGGTCCGATTCTTCTAAACGAATGACTATCTATCTCCTATTTATGCCTTTGATAGGGGTCAGATTTGGGGTATTCAAATGAACGAATGCTATCGAATATTCGGCCAAGAGTGGCAGTGCTAGGTCAGTTCGTATGCTTCCAAATCAGGCAAGCAGTAATATAATTCAATAAAACGTATCTATCAGGCCAATATATCCCCATGAACCTACCAGGGATCCCTCCCGGAAGATCACGTCGGTCATCCTCTTAGGAAGAGCGGTGCAAAGAGAAAGGTGCTAAGGGCTGTTGGATGCTGCGGAAGATCAGAATGCTTTGAGGGACTTCCATGTGCGGGTTTCAAGCGTGCCAGCCATTGTGAGATTGTCCAGACGAATCTTACACCTCCGGTCACCCGCATCTGTTGGCAGTCGTGAGTGCAGGCCTGGACCGGGAAACGATTCCAAAATCGCCATGGGCTGGTTCGTCTCAATTGCGATATAGGTCTGTAACATATTCTGGAACCTATCATGAATGAGGTGGTCTTGTCCTACCAAGAACCGTCCAGAGTGTCCGTAAGGTAAATCAATCAGATTTGTAGTCATCAAAGTCAAGTCCAGGCTCATTATATGACCTCTCTTCATCTCCACTCACACGGTCTTGTCTCCTTTTGGATATTTTTCATTCAAATCACCAATTCGAATATTAGTATTGCGCGGAGTCTTGACGCAACGGATCCGGAACGAATATAGACCGATTCCATACCGGTGCACGATGCTCCAAAGACCATTGTCTAATTGCCTCAAAATCCCGACAGGTATGAGTGACGTTCGCATGGGGCCTTGCTTTGTGACTTGCAGAGTCCCATACCCACACAATCGTGGAAATGTCTGAGGAGCACATCAAGCTCTGCCGTATTGAATCAATACAGTGGTCCAGATGGTCCATATTCTGCAGTCCATCTTTATCTTTATCCTCATTTCTATCTTTGTCTTCACCCTTGTTATTACTGTGTTCGTGTAACGCATGGGTGGTGTTGGCGCCCCATACTCGCAAGCGGAGTTGATTCTTTTGATATTGTTAGACCCATATATAATATTCTCTCGAAATTGAAGCCTACCAAGCAGTGTAGCTGATGGAAAACATCAATTCCAATAACATAATACCCGGGTCTTTCAGGAATTGGGTATGTCTTAACAGGAAGCTTTGCCGCCTTATCTATAGGAATCATGCTTATTCCAGCTATAGCAGCACAATCAGTGTTCCGTGAGTGAAGAACTAAATAGGCAGCTAGCCTTACCCTGGTAAAGGTCTTCCCAATGCTTGTTGTTCTCCTCATCAGGTGGGCCCATATATTTGGTAGTGTGTTTTCCAAAACCAGAGTCAAAGACACGAGTCTCATATTGTACCAGATCCTGTACTGGTGCTTTTTGGCATTAGCATAGTAATAAGTTAACATTATAGGTGTTGGCAACCTACAGTATATCTCATTAGGTATCCAATATTGCTTGTTGTGTCTTATAGCAATGAGCCTGGCAATCAGACTTATTGAGAGAGCAGTGACTATAGTCAACAGCACAATAATTATTACCCAAAGGCGTTTTAACTGGACTTTATATCCTTGGATCTTTCGGTGGACAGCTTCAGATTTCACAAGAGGCATCTCATCCTCACTCCACAGCTCTTCATCCAGCTCACTGGAGGTCATATTCGGAGGTATTAATGAACTGAAAGGCAAGTTTAAGATTCTCTAATGACTTAACAAATATATCCCCAACTATAGGCCAGTAATACTATAATGTAAGATAGAGGGCAGAATAATAGTTAGTTATTTTCATAACTGCTCCTATAGAAAGAATGGCAAAGGGTTGGTACTGAGGGGTAGAATTCCACTATTGACCCCTTGCCTATACTTCACCTACTATGGGCACGCAGCAAGGCCAGAAACGTCAAGCCTCCTCTGAGGATCTGGAATAGATGTGGAAGACGATGGTTAGATAGAACGAGCTGCTGCCTAGAAGGGGTCTTTCTAGGTGCGGAAACGCGTGAGAAGGAATGACTACGTGGAATGGAGTGGGATAGGCATATAATGCACAGGATGACGCAGGGAGATATGTAGCCCAGTGGCAGGCTATTTCTGTTGTGATTCCTACGTTCTTTTCAGTATTTCCTACGCTTTTCTGCATTGTGGGTTATATGGGATTCAGGCGTAGGGATACTAGATTCCTGCTTCATTGAGCGAAGTGCATGCATATCTAGTCCCCTCTATAGACAGGCTCCAACAGGTTAATAGAATCTTGAATGGTTGATTGATTGATATACTTCAGCTAGGAGGCACAGCAGAAAACACAACAACCCCTTTATCCCAGTTCACTATTTCAACTCTTTACATGGTATGCTACAGAGAATAGCGCGTAGTATTTGATTGTATCATTACTGGATGTAAAGCTCGTCGCAAAATGTAGATCACAAGCGGTGTAGATAATCAGTTCTAGCTATGCATACAGGCCAGGATCATATGCTACTAAAGGGGATACAGACAACATGGCAGTACATATCCCTGCCATTGCTATATTGATATGGTTGGTTAAAGGGGGAGTGCATACATTATTTTCTATCCCTTGTACTACTACCACGGCTGAGGGTCGCATGACCATATTAACATCTTAGTTATTATACACCCTTTCAAACGCTTTCGAGACCCAGGAATATTTGCAATATGAAGGTTCTTACTATCCTTTCTGCAGTCATATTCGCTACATTCGTGGTGGCAACGCCAATGAAGGAGGCCAATGAACAAGTGGATGGAGCCCAGGTATGAGAATGAACAGCATTATAACTATAAGCAGCCTCTGGAAGACAGTATATTGACTAATATGCAATATGGACAGGTTGTAAGTGATCATTTCTATATCAATAGGTGACTACCAGAAGAACATACTGACTGAGATGGGACAGGGATAGGATGTAAGTGATCATTCCTATATCAACAAGTGACTACTAGAAGACAGCATACTGACTGAGATGGGATATGGATAGTATGTAAGTGATCATTCCTATATCAATAGGTGACTACCAGAAGGCAGAACTGACTGAGATGGGATATGGACAGCCTGTAAGTAATTATTCCTATATCTGCAGGTGACTACCAGAAGGCAGCACTGACTGAGATCGGATATGGATAGTCTGTAAGTAATTATTCCTATATCTGCAGGTGACTACCAGAAGGCAGCACTGACTGGATGGGACATGGATAGATTGTAAGTGATCATTCCTTTATCTATAGGTAACTACCAGAAGAGCATACTGACTGGGATGGGATATGGGTAGTGGAGTGTGAGTGATCATTCCTACTATTAAAAAACAGAAGTGGTTAAATACTTTCACTACAGTAATTCAACCAAAAATAAGAAACCCCGCATACAACATGCCTTCACCACTGTATGGGCCGAGATCCATATCACAGCTGTTGTAGGGCCCTGCTAATATTTCTACTCAGGTGCTACTTGTCGTGCCTGTTTACAAATATTTGGACTCTTCAGCAATTACCTTTTTGCCTTAGTATAGGTTTTCCCTATTAATTTAGGTTTCCCTGTACTGTTATGCGAATGCAAAGGCTCATTGTTTGATCTTCAATCTGGTTATCTGTTGTAGACAGTAATACTTTAGTGTCCTTAATGAGAAGATTGACCGACCACGTGTCGAGTTATGTTTTTCAGATGTCCTTAATTACCACAGTAGGATAGATACGAAAAGAGATGGTTCCATATTGTATCTGTGTACGCTGCCTACACCAGACAGTTCAACCTTCAACACCTGGTTAACTATCCTTTACTCTGGATTGATGACCCTGAAAACCCAAATGGATGGGCTAGGTATTCAGTTTATAGAAGCACGATGACAATTTCTAACCAGATTTACGGTTATTATTGCTACTGCATTCAAACTGCATGCTGCAGCTGCCTATCATATGCACCTCATGGTCTTGGATCTAGCTTTGGGAATCTGGTCATTGCATGGATCAGAGCCCAGTAAATCAAGTAACGAGAAGCTATTGCCCTAGTGGGCTGGAAAGGTTTTTCACTGCACCATTATCCGAGAAAAGCACCTATATACAGAAGTAAATTATAAGGTATGAGAAGCATGGTCCGAAATACACCAAATACACTAATATCGCCATTCAGTGGACGGTTCTCATCTCATCCGCCGAGAGATTGCACAACTTGAGCAACTTATATCCTGGAATTGTTCTCTAGTTGTCCCACACCCCTGTAGAAGTCGTTGAGCAGGGTCTCCGAGAATGAAGCCATTCTACCACAGTAGTGCAAATCTGAACCTGGCAACTTATTACTCCCTCAGCACTTTACTTATATTATCAATCTAAGAGAAAAAGAAATTCAATAGTTAAACCATTTGTTGGGGGTTGGTACTGTGCTGGCGATTACTTAGTGGGTCTACGGAGTACAGAAAACTAGCTTCACTAGGATAATGGGTGGGCTATTCTATAGATGTGCTGCACCTGTGTACTTGAGTTGCCCAAACACCACCCGCCCCCTATAACCCCGGGGGTAGATAATTTATTAGAATCCTTCTGTGCCTAATGAACTAGGTAGTGGAGAGCAGCACAAGTGGATTAATGATCCTGGTGATCAATAGTATGCTGTATGCAAGTAGGGTCTTAGGCGTAACCCAGCCACGCCATCTATAAAATAATGAATCTTGTGATCCTCAAGAGAAGGGTAGGGTGGATCCATTGATTCCCTCCCTAAATAACTCTGTTCCTTGACTTTTGCCCTATCGTTGAGACTTTTTCAAAACGTTGATATGTGGGACAACCACAGATCAACCCACTCTTTGATAGGCATCTACCTACTTTTCCCAAGTCTCATTTGCTACACCCAGACAGTCATTTGCTGCAGGTCAAAATGATTAACAGAAGATTACCGTTCTGGATATTGAATCTTGGATGATCTTCCATCTCCATTTAAGCTACATGCTTAATTCAATGTATAAGCATAGCTACTGTATACAGGACTCTGGGTCCGGGATTTAAACCCCTGTACACAAGATATATCTATACATATACCTATTCATGGTTGTAAATAATTGGTAGTGTAGGATAATTTGAGACACATGGCGCATCATCTGTATGTCACCAAGATTTTCGACTATGGAGCTATCCCTACATTCTCGGATGGGTTAATAACAATAATAAGCAGTCATTTGTGCTGCACACTTAGCTCCTACATAGTCCATAGTAAGCACCTCCCTTCCAGGATGGCAGAATACGAAGAGGAAAGTAACTGCTGATGGTTTGCTAGATTTGCCAGGCACCTGAGCTGGCGGATTAGCTAGTTGCATGGAACCTTCCTGCCTGGAAGTTCCAGGCCTGTACAAGTCCCATACATATGTGCGTATGTCATTATTGCAGGTTACAGTTTTATATAGATAGATAAGAATGTGCGGAAGGTAGATATTCCATAGACTTGCCAGTTACGGTTTAGCTCCGTTCGAAGTTTCAGAATTGAAAATCAAAGTATAAACATTTGCACACCGGTATGGCATCCAGCTGTACTGGTCATTGACACATTCGGAGGCTGAAGATAGATCCTAAGATTCTCTGCGAGTATTCCATCGTTCAGTTGTTCGACGACTTCCACAACATCGGGGAAACGGCAAAATACTTGATCTATTCACAGAGTGGATACGATGAGGAGACGCAATATATGGCTCATCGCCACGATGTCATTCGGACAGTCTGTTTCGTCAAGCTTTCCGGCCCGATGGACAGCATAATCGGCATGCCGAGTACCGCGGCAATGTAGCCAATCGGATTGCGAAGGTTATATTGCAGCATCGTCCAACTGGTAGCAAAAGGGTATTGCTATTATTGTCCTTCCAGAAATGCGTCATGGGGACTGCATTGTCTCGAGCGTGCAGATCCCGCGGCTACGGATAGTTCTTAATGTGCAGAATGGATACCGTCCGGTTTGCCGTTCGTGAACTGTGGTCGTCATTCGTCATGTCGGAAGATATGCCGGGAGATATGCCTCGCGGCCGCTGGATCCGGACATAAATGCTTGACTTTGGTACTCCTGTACACCCTCTTCTCATAGAATTTGAACACTCATACTTACCTTAGCAAATACACAGCTTACAATGCATTCAACGTGGCAGCCCCCAAAGAACTATCGCCAACGCCCTGTCGCCATTCTTGGTGCAGGCGTGCTCGGTCGTAGACTTGGTATGTCTTCTATGGTATGAAATGTCCAAGACCGAGCTAACTTGTGCAGCATGCGTCTGGGCCTCAGCAGGGTACAATATCCAAGTCCGCGATCCGAGTCCCCAGCAGCGCGAAGACTGCCTCGCCTACGTCAGGGATAACGTGGCCTCATACGCCGAGAGCACAGGCCAGGAGCCAGGCAGAGTAGATGCAACCGACAGCCTCAAGGATGCCGTGGACAATGCCTGGCTGGTCATCGAGGCCGTGCCGGAGAAGATCCAGCTCAAGATCAGCACGTTTGCCGAGCTCGATGCCCTCGCGCCGGATGACTGTATCCTCGCGTCGAACTCCTCGTCGTACAAGTCGTCGGAGATGCTTGAGAAGGTGGGAGAGGCGACGAAGGCCCGGATCCTGAATATGCACTACTACATGCCGCCGCAGTGTATGATTGTCGAGCTCATGACGGATGGGCACACCGCGGCTGAGATCTTTCCGTTTATGGTTGAGCGGTCCAAGGAGGCTGCGACGGTTCCGTATGTTGCTCGGAAGGAGTCGACGGGGTTTATCTTCAATCGTCTGTGGGCGGCAGTCAAGCGGGAGGTGCTGACGATCCTGGCGGAGGGGTCTCGCTACCAGAGGAGATTGACTCAATGTGGCAGGAGATGTTTGTCAAGGGAGGAGTCTTGCCTTGCAAGACAATGGATGGTGCGTATGCCCTTTCTTTCTCGCAGACGTGTCTGACATAGGACAGCTGTCGGCCTTGATACCGTCGCGTTTATCGAAGGCCATTACATTGCAGAGCGAGGTCTCTCGCCGGAGAAGACCGTCGACTTCCTCAAAGAGAACTATCTCGACAAGGGTAAGCTCGGCAACAAATGTGCAAACGGTGGTCTTTATCCTGCAGCATCGCCCTCGGCAAATACCACTGTCCAACCCAAGATCATCGCCCTCGATGTCGGTCTGTCTGCAGCAACCCCTGGTTTCACCGCAGGCCAGATTGTCGAATTCTCGGCCGACGGAAAGCTGCAACGAGTACTTGTCAAGGATCAAGCCCTGCCAGACGGCTTGTCTGTTGATTTCACTGCTAAACGCATGTTCTGGACCAACATGGGTGTACCAGGCAAGGACGACGGGACCGTCTACTCTGCCAGCCTTGACGGCTCAGACATCAAGACGCTTGTTGCACCGGGGAAAACCAACACCCCAAAACAACTAGCACTGGATCAGTCCGCTCAAAAGGTGTACTTCTCTGACCGGGAAGGACTACGCGTATTCCGGTGCAACTACGACGGAGGTGATCTTGAGGTCATCGTCCAAACGGGCGATTACCAACAACCAGAAGACATGCAAGATGCCACAAAGTGGTGTGTGGGCATTGCTGTTTCCCCTCGGTTTGGCAAGTTCTACTGGACGCAGAAGGGATTTTCAAAGAGCGGTAAGGGCAGGATCTTCTGTGCTGGTATTGACATGCCCCAAGGTCAGACTGCCACAACTAGAGATGATATCCGCTGTCTCTTGGAGGATCTGCCGGAACCCATTGATCTGGAGGTAGACGAGGAGTCTGGCAGATTGTACTGGACCGATCGCGGTGAGCTTCCTTTTGGAAACTCGTTGAACCGGGTCTCGCTGAAGGAAACCGGCTCGGAGGTCGAACGGACTGATCGTCTGGGATATGAGATTCTCACACGGAATCTGAACGAGGCAATCGGTTTGAAGTTGGATCTGGAACACGGGCATATCTACTTGACCGATCTTGGGGGCAGCGTTTACCGGACGGACGCGGATGGGAAGCAGAAGGTCAAGTTGTATTCCGATGAGAGCCGTGCTTTTACTGGAATTGCTTTACTATAGACCTTGTCATATCATTTGTAAATATAGTCTGAGAGAATAGAATTGTACTATAGGTACCTGGCTTGCTTGCCTTCCTTAAAGCTTATATTAAGTAGCAAGATGATTCGATCCACAAATTGATGCAAGATGACGATGATCTCCTCGGCTAAATTACCCCGAATCATGTTCAATATTATGAGCCTTAGATGAGCATAAATAAATACGAAAGAGCCGCTTTTAGTACGCTTGTTCCAGTATAGCTCTACTGGCGGGAACTCTAGCCTCCAATGACGGATATCACGACTCAGCCACCAGGTTGCAGTCTACCCTAATTGCCATTAGACGTTTAGCGAGACTACATAAGTTCTCACTCGACCCAATTCCGTCCCCGGCAAACGCAACACGTCAAGCATCATGGCAAACACCTCCCTAGCTACACTCCCAGTTGAGCTCCTCACGCTGATCAGCTCCTATTTATGCCCCCTGCGCTGTGGGAAATATCCCTACAGCGTGAGTCAGAAGCACCTCTCCAGACTCAGTCGCACATGTCGTCGGCTCCGCGATGTCTGCCAACCGCTTCTGTTCGCCTACTACCGCCATTCCTCCCAATCCGCGACGTCTCTTCTCTCTTTTCTCCGCACACTGGATGCTCGTCCTGGTCTCGCAAATTACGTGACGAATCTGGACTTTCATGAGCCAGGCCAAGACGATACCCTCAACGACGAAGATCAACAGCTAGTGGAGAGCTGCATCGCCAAGCTCGGACTGCCCTCATTGCCGGCCGACTGGCACGACTATCTCGGCGTGGAACGACGACTACTTTCGGCAGAACTTGTAGTCGCGTCGTGTCCGAATATCGAGGTCCTCAGGCTGCCCATGAACCCGGAATGGATGATGAGCGTGGTTGCCTCGCTTCCAAAGGACTTTGTCTTTGCAAAGTTGAAGAAGCTAGATATTTGGCTTTACTATGTCAGTGGCGACCACTATGGTATTGGGTACGGGAAGATTAGCGGGCTGTTGCATGCGTCACCGAACCTGGAGCATCTCTCTCTTCCCTCCATCGAGACATTTTATCCCGGCGCAGCGGGAGTACCTACCCTAGAGAAGCTGAGGCACCTCGATCTCGGTGAGGGTGCGCCGTCGCCGTATTTTCTCAAGTGTGTTTTAGAGGCGTGTCCGAATCTCGAGAAGTTCCGATTGCATTGGGTCGATTCGGACGGATACGACGAAGACTCCGAAGAGTGGTCGCCTTTAGATGGATGGCGCGCCCTGAAACATGTTCAGAGCTCTGTCCGCGAGATCATCTTTGAAACCGTTATTGAGTTCCGGGACGATGACAACCTTGAAGAAGGCGTTTCGACGCTGCGCGACTTTGCACACTTGGAGATCCTCAAAGTCAATAGCTTCGCTCTGCAAGCGCTGTATAAGGTCTGGACACATCATAACCGCCACGGCAGTATGGAGGGATTCGTATACCAAGTGTTTCCCTCCGCGATTGTGGAGCTTACTATCTGGGATCCCTATGCGTCTTTAATTGAGGCTGTCCGTCTTCTCGCTCGAGAGTCAGCTCGCGAGCAGTATCCCCATCTAGCGAGGATAACGATTTCTCAGTCCGAATGTCTATCGAGTTATAGTTTTGATGCGGTGCAGTGGATCAGACAAGAAGCCTCTGTGAGGCGGGAGTTTGAGTGTTCGAGGATAGAGTTGTGCATGGAACTGCCACCAGCCCTCGATTACCCAGATTTCCCCTATTCTTAAGATAGATGAAGCACTTTATGAAATACAACTACCTGGATCTCATAGTACCATCGCCTCATTAACTCCCTCTCAGGGTGACCCAAATAGGTTTTCTTGATCATCTTCAAAGCTTTTTGTTTCGTCTTCCTCCACAGGCCTGCGAAATAGGGCATATCGCAGCGGTTCATTCTCAACTGGATCGACTTGTCAGTCGAACCGAGTCATCGTCGACCCGAAAGCCATTTTGAAATGAAAGCAGGGAAGCATGATTATCCCGCCTTGGGTCTCTGACGGCGGAATGGGTAAGGAAGTGCTGATAGCCACTGGGTCAGTTGGCTGCTGCACTGGCGCTGTTGCTGCTTAATTTGAACGAGCAGGCCTCTTCATCAGTTTTACGAATTGTCCTGGAGACATTAGTAGTTCGCATATCGATTGGAAAGGCAAGCATACATGTCCACCTGGGCACTATCCGTCACTGTCGGATCCGGTTGAACATGATACTCTAACTTCCCGACGATATTGTCATTGTCCCTTGTGATAAACTTGACGGTATATGCGACAGGGGGGACCATCACCAGTGGCCTCGACTCACCGGGAGTTGATATGGTATAATGCCAAATGTGAGGTCGTGTCGGAATGGCAGGGAATATACAAGACTCTGGACAGATGCTCGGGCGTAGTGGACAACTTGCTCCTGTCTTGTTGCTCCCGAGATACCTAGACCTTCCCGGTGATATGGTCTTCCATCTTACTGATATGGGTAAGGTCGTGAGTCGGTTTAGGTTGAAAGTGTCGTCCTTTCTTCAGTGCTCTTAATCTGCCATGGAGGCGGGGCAATACGAGATCGCCCGCTTACTACGGGCAAGGTTCAGTTGCCCAAAATCCGTAGCGTGGTTTCCAATGGTGATTGCACTGAAGCTTTACTTCTTTAAGTGTTTGCAGGCGACGATTGTCCGGCCTACGGAATGCATCGTGTAAGCAGCAGGTTCACACTGCAATGTCCTGTATACAGAAAGTAATTATTGTAGATGGTTACTGGCTTAATGGCCAACTCCCAAAGAAATCCGAGGTACTGATCCCCTAACCACTATGATTCCAAGGTGTCTAGTGACCCTGGTCTGAATTTCGTCTCACCTGGGGAGCTCGCCCTGGTTCTTCAGAGCTGGAAAAATACAGGTCATTGTATCGGAAACAGAACCCACGCCATTGTCGGCAAAAGCTTTTTGTATTTGCGTGATGTTTGTATTCCTGATCTCGCCCGCTCCAAATTCTGTGGTTGCATCCTCCAAGATCGCGGACTATGTGCAGAATGGAGGCGAAGGAAGAAAATAGAAAACAGTCCCCCGGCGCAGACGGTAGGCCAGGAGCCGGCACGGACGCCAAAAGCCATGAATTCGGTGTCTGCCACCGTCTGCGCAGGGATGTGGTGCCAACCGAACACTGTAGGGTCACGCCAATAACGATTCTAGAGTCGATGGATGACCCACGAGTTATACATTGATCGGTTTGCGCCAATCCAGGCAACGTGCCAGATAGTGCCATAGGGGTTGTCCTTGTAAGAACCTCTCATGGACCACGCCCACAGTCCAAGCATTGCCTCCAGCTCCAACGCGTTCACGCTCCACTCGCCAAATACTTGTCCATTGCTGTCCACGCCGCGTCTCACAAAAAGATACAGTGGCTTCTCAGCTTGTTTTCCAGGTGTGCCGTGGGAACTCGGGCAGACGCTATTTGTGGTCATTTCACACTGGACCGCCCGTTATATGACAAACGGAGCATCCCATCCATCTATGTGCAATTACAATGATAGAAGTATCAATTTGAAGAGCTGCCCTTCTTGGATGCATTGAGTCAGCCCAGACTATCCCGGTTCTTGAAAGCGCCAGAAAATTGTCAACATGCTTCTGCCATTGCGAATAGAGAGTCCAAGGAGGCATCAGTTAAATTGGACAGGGTTCTTGAAAACAACCTCTATAGCGATGAGTGATTTTCCTCCAGATGATCAGCTAAAGGTTCAGGGGCGCGAGAGGCTCATTGCCTGTGAGCCCCTTTCTTTTCAGAAGAGCTGCTCGGTCTTCCAGAAACGCTCGGTATGGCGCTTTCGGGACTGTTCGCTCCTCGTCCTCCCACACTTCGTATCCTGTCTGCTCCCAGATTTCAAGTTGCCGCATAAAGTTGGCACTTGGCTTGACTTTCTGCTTGGATTGAACAAATGTAAGAACATCCTCTCGCTCGAGTCCGTACTTGCGCATGAGATATGCAATGATGACAGTGGGGGAACGTGATATTCCCAGATCACAGTGGACCAAGACAGCCTCTGAATGTGTCTCGCGCGGCTTGTCACTCAATCCGTGCTCATTCTCGACTGATAAAGTAGATGATGACTGTAAGACTGGAGAAGCCACCTGGTCGATGAAGTCACAGATGTCGCTCATATGAACTAGAAGGTCCTGGGTCGACGAATCGGCGCACTGAACCCATTTGTGACGATATTCTGGAATCCCAGCTTCTCTGGTAGTGCTATTCCACCATACCCACCGAGCATCGGTCAGTGAGACCATGGCGTTGATACGATTCTCTCGCAGCATATCTCGCTTGTACGAGGCCTCGATATTACCAAGGAAGAGACCAGGCACAATCTCCCTCATCCCGGCTGCAAAGGCCATTTTCCACCTCTTGTCCCTTTCCTGCGCCTTATCATCTGTTGCCTTTTCATCGGATCCATTTTTCATATTGTCGTCCGGTTCCCCTCTCTCCAGGTGGTTATTGCTTATGCCGGTAGGCGAACTGAGTGAGGTAACCATTGGAGCTTGCAAGTAGTATAATGTTTGCAGCTCCTTTACATTTAGTATTCAATAGGAAAGACAGAGAATAAGAGAATCACAGTGGTTGACTAGGGTACATTGCTGAAATGTGGTGAGGATCACAAGTGGGGTTAACAATAATAGTTGACAGATCGATTGGATGGGTGGATCATATCACGTCTCGAGCTTTCCTGGAATGAATTTTACCAAGATTACATACATGCCTTATAAGGTTTGTGGAACTCTTTGAAGTAGTACAGCTATAGACATGCCCAAATGTCTAGAGACGCCTCTTCCAAGGAAAAGGTGCAACAAGTTCTTCCATTCATTCAAATGATTCAACTTCCTAATCCCCCCTGATATGGCTAGAAAGATGCAGTACCATCCCTAAATGGACCCTAAATGGTCAGGAAAATAACCACTGTGACGGCCTATTTGAGACTGGTTTCTACTGTGTGTATGAAAGACTGGTAACAATCTCTCCACGCCATTAAGACAGTTCTAGGAGCATTAGGTCTAGATAGGCAAAATCTCCTGCAGGCCATCCCTTCTGTTCGACCTCGTCTATCTTTATGCAGCCTCGCCGAATGCAGTTTTCTCTATATGGCATTAATAATTTTCCAGCCAACAATGCGCAGTAACCTAAATCAAAAATTACTTAGGTATTTATCGACGCACCGCCTCATCTAAAAGAGTCTCCGTATGGTCCCAAACCAGTTCTTGTATCCCCTGTTCCCGATACTGCGCCAGAACTTTCGTACTCGGTCTGACCTCTCCCTTCCAATTAAGCAGGTAAGCACCACTCCCAATTTCCCCATTAGTGCCTGTAGCCACGTCCCCAGTTTCAACCGGGACTCCTTGAGACGCGATGCCATGCTTAGCGGGATAGCGTGCAGAGCTCAGATGGAATAGATGACGCTCGCCACTCTCGCTGAGATTCACGGAAAATGGCCACATGAATGGCCACATCACATAGTTGTAGAATGTTGAAACCGGTGCAGGGAAGCTGTTGGTGTAGATGTTGGTGCCGACAAGACCTGGGTAGACATGAATGAAACTGACGGCAGGGCGGGTGTTGGCGAGGTGCTCCATGCTTAGTGAGGTCATGGTAATGGAGTGCTTGTAGGCGTTGAGCAAGGAGAAGTTGTGCTTGAGGTCGAGGTCGGAAGTGTTGATGGAGCACTCAAAGCCACCGCCGTAGACACTGACGACACGGCTTGGTCCGGATGATTCAAGAAGAGGGAGGAGATTTTGGATAAAGCGCATGCGGGCATAGTAACGGAGAGCAAAGAGGTAGTCTATACCCTCAACGGTTTCTGAATCATTCGTCAGCTGAAGCCACCCTGAAATAATCTGGAACATACCATTTCGCCCTCCCAGAGAGATACCCCCGGGGTCATGAAGAGAAAATTGAGCTGTTTTTCCTGCTGGAGGATCTGCCGGCACGCGGCATCAACATTGCGCACGAGCGATACATCCGCCTCGATAAAGTGGAAGCGACCCTTGGGACTTAGTTGCCGCAGTTCAGACAAGAATAGGCTTGCGCGAGCCTTGTTGCGACCGATGATATAGGCAGTAGGGCTGTCGGCGTGACGGGCTAGCTGGCGCAGGGTGCTCTGGCCGATGCCACTGGTGCCGCCAACAAACAGGGCAGTTATGTTGGGGAGGGCCCGGATTCCAGTGTTGGATGCTTGTACAGTCTTTAGAGATACCATTTTTAGATGACGCAAAATAAAGGAGAACGACCGGGGATTTTCTTCCTAAAATACCTTCATTATGCCACCTCGGTGATCCCCGCCGAAGGATCAATAAAGCGGGCGCTCTCGATCCCTCGATCCTCCGACAGGAAACCAGGGAATTGATCAACAGCACCGATTCGTGCATCATTTAATTACCTCTAGGTTCGAGTCCCGCAATATGCTAGACAAAATGACTCGACCATCGAAACGATCGATCTGCCAGTCTCTGATGCATGGTTGATGCGATGTCCGCCCTCGGCATCCACGGGCTGGTATGTAGCTCTCTACATGCTGTGGTATCTCTCAAAATGCGGATCCAATGATCCACGGCCAACAAGCCTAACTGCTAGATCGAATCGTTTCGAGTATGCGACTCGCCAGTCAGCTGCTCACATACCACCGACGAGCCCAGATCAAAGACCGCTACCGGGCTCACTGACCAAAGATGCTCTACGACATTCTTTCTCTATTCAGACACCGATCTAAACAAGCTGAGGCCACTGATAGTGCCTTTTCCCGCTCCTTGCACGCTCCGTTTATCGACGACATCTCCTGGAAGCCTCATGCGCATTCCGGGCGGAGCTGCGCAAGAAAACCGCATCGCAAAAGGAACACCGCATCTTCGCTGATTCGCCTCTTCGCTCGCGCTGGTGTCGTATTAAGTTACTTCGATTCGAGAATAATCGGCCGTTGCAACAGGATTCCCAGCACCGTAATGTTTCCGGCTTCTCGGATGCGGGATCTCGATGGGGAACAGAATTGTCTGGTTGAGTGGCGGAGGTAGAAGGCTCAGGCCGGTCGCTTATTTGCGGATTTTTGTTCGGATTACTGCTTGAGAAAATGGATTCAGTGCCATTGTGGTGCTCACAAGTGAATGTCTTACCTGGCAGACTGCAGCTCTTGCAAGTCTTGTCGAAGACGCCTAAGTTCCGAGATCAATTCTGTTTTCGATAATGTTGTAGTTGTTGTGTTCTGGTCCGAAGTCATCGTCCTCCTCCCATTACTCCTGGAGGGAAGGTTAGGTTCATCTTGAAAAAGATTCCAGGCTTCCCTGTAAAACTGTGTCAGTCGTTCGTTCCTTGTTGTGAGTCATGGTGTGCAGTACCGATATGTGGCCATGGTGGTGATAGGGATAATATGGCAATAGATGAGAGGAACAGCAATAAAGTACAGAGGAGGGAGTGAGTACGGTGTAGTCGGATTATTTATGAGTCGACATGTGGCTAGTGCCAGACTACTATTTAGCTTGTTAAGTTACTGAGATGTTTGCACTTTGCAGGGCTACCTTAGTGACCAACTAACTATGGCTTTTCCTTAAGTCTGTTGGTCTGTCCTAGCACGGTGAATAACTTCAGATGAACATGGCACGGACCATATGAATACCAGCAGTAGAATATTAAAGAACCGACTCCTTTGGTCAAGCAGCCTCTTTTCCAACTACGCAGTTTTATCATTCTAAAATCATGGCGGACTCTCTGTCTATCACTTCCATCGCAGGTGCACTGGGGGTGCTTGCCTTTAGATTTCCCTCTCTCCACGGCCCTTTCCTGACGAGTCTTGAGACACCGACCAACCGACACTCCAGATACGGCTCTACTCGGTGCTTTACCGACAGTCGCTGCTACCTACACACGTTTCTCGATCCACTGTGAAGTCTAGCTCCTTGGGGTCTATGCTCGGCCACACTAAAGCTGCAAGGATCAGTTCTTAGTGCGGGCTGACTGGCAAATGAAGCTAATTGTTGTCTTTTCTGAATTCTCAACGTTGCACCCTCATTTCTCGACATCTGGAACCTGAATTGCCATTTTATTAATTTGTTCGTCGCTCTCAAGTCGAGCACAAGTCTGTCTGGTGGCGTTGTCTATAAAGCGTTGCACCGTGTTGAAAACGTGTCTGGGATGGCTGCTTAGATGCGCTCAACTATTGTGGAGGGGAGGTGGGGTGAATACCTAGCAGCTGCTGGCTTCTGTCAGCTTCCTGTCACTTTCGTGTTCTTCGCCCCTTCTGATATTTTACTTTACTCCCTCGAAGTCGAGCGCATCGATTCCTTCACCTGATCAGCGTCTACAGAGTGCATCCAAGGAGTTCGGGATGAATACGCCTTTTTCACTTCCCGACAATGAAAGTGCGGAACCGGGCAACGGGGGCAAGGGACAAGACCAGCAGCAGAAAATGTGAGTGAAATGCGTCGATGCCGGTGAAATTACCAAAGTTTTCTGGTCTACTAACCTCTTTCCAACACGACAGCGATATTCTTCGAGCATGCCAGTCATGCCGTGCTTCCAAAGTGAGATGCGACCAGCCGAACCCTGGCAAGCCGTGCCTCAGGTGCCAGAAGTCTGGCAAGCCCTGCATTGACGCCACAAGCCAACCAGAGAAGAGACAGCGGCAATTAAACGACCGTATCCTGGAGATCCAATCACGAATCGAACTGATGTTGTCCAACGCGGAATTGCAGGACAGCGCTGGGGATACACCTCCGTCGAGCGGGAATACCCTCCGTTCGCCTTCAGAGTCGTCGCGCAACACCCAGCAGCATGATCGGAATTTGCTCATCAATGGTTAGTCTACAAAACCAGTACTGAAATACCGAGTCATATTTATCGCTAACCTGTCCAACTCCGTCGCCGGTAGGCAACCATGGGATGGAAGATCTCGAATCTACTATACACTCATGGCTCGCCGAGAACATCACGGACCTCGATGATCGTACTGCAGAAACGATATTAGGTCGCTATTTGAGCAACATGGCTCCCACATTCCCGGTTGTCGTCTTTGCGCCAGGTACCACGGCGGCCGACGTCCGAAGCCAGAATCCACTTCTCTTCCTGGCTATTCTCGACGTGGCCTCGTCGGGATTCTGCGCGCTTGAAACTCAGAGGAAACTGCGGAAGCTGATTGTTCAGGCATATGTTCATTGCATGCTCCGGACGGAACAATATACCATCGGACTGCTCCAGGCTTTGATTGTGTCCGCCACATGGTATCGCACGATCGAGCCCGTAGAACCCGGTGAACAAATGGACATTTACCAGATTAGCCATACTGCAGCGAATATGGCCTTGATCATGAGATTAGGGGAGAGTCTGAACAGCAAATTTGGGGGTAGCTTCCAAGCTGAGTCGCTAGAAGCTCGAAGAGTGTGGTTAGGGTGTCACTATATTTGCTCGAAGTAAGGGAGGAGAAGATGAAAGAGCATCTCTTTGCGGAGCGATGTTAACGTTGTCTATACCAGCACCTCCATGTCCCTCCGCGCTCCGAACATCATGAGATGGACCCGCCTTATGGATGAATGCCTGGAGGTATTGGAAACTTCACCAGCGGCTCTTGCGTCCGACAAGGTTCTGTGTCGGCATATCCGGCTTCAGCATATAACCGAAGATTTTGCGATGCAACTGTCCGCGGAAGAGACATCTTCCCCTCGTACAACACGAGCTATTCAGATCCAGATGACACATCATGACTTTAAACGGCGGCTCAATGAGTGGCGTATGGACGTTGCTGATGGCTGCTGGGACGGTAAATCCTCCTTTCCTTTGGTTCGCCCATGAATGAGCCTGATCAGAGAATCTGTTACAGTGGCCCTCGAGTTTTCGTATTATTTCTCACTCCTGTACATGAACGAAGTGGCTTACTGCACACCGATGAGTGACAATGTTACATGTGAAGCCACTGTTGCAATTGAAACACAAGCGATTCTTGAGTTCATGGAAACGACAGACGACATCTTTCGAGTTTTCACCTCTCTGGATATGTCGACGATCCGAGCCCTACCCGCGATGTACCTGATCCGGATAATCTACACATTCGTGATCTTGGTCAAACTCCGCTTTGCGGCAGCCAAACTACCGACTTATGATGCACGGTTGCAAGTCGCTCGACTTCAGGTCCCCCAACGGCTCGATCGCCTTATCCAGATGTCTGCGGGATGGGGTCCTTTGTGGCCCGCTACCAAGTTAGCCACTGTGTTCAGCAGACTGCGGTCGTGGTTTGAAAGCGGGGACGGCAATCCACAGAGGTTGCAGAAGGTACCGGTGTGGCTCACTCTATGGGAGTTCAAATCTCCTTCTCAGCAGAACCGAGACGCGCATGACATGGACATGGCTGAAACTCCATCTGACGTGGATACCACGCCTTTATCTCTCGAATTACCCGTCAGCAGTGATTTCTCGACTGGCCCTCCTTTTCGGTCAATGTCCCAGGCTCCCGAGTCTTGCGTTCCTCAGAAGGAAGCCACTGCTTTTATGCATGACGATAAAGGTCCACTTGATGCAGTTGATATCCCCAATATAGAACAGATGGATGACACTGCTTTCATGGGTTTGGACTGGAGCCAAGTTTCAGACATGGGTTTTGACTTGGGCAACTTGGACATGCCATGCTCCCCGATCCCAATCCCAAGCCATGGCTCTGATCCAGATACGCTGTATGAATGAATATTCCTGAGGCATCCAAGCGGGAGAGTGTTTCGACCCCACTCTGCCCTGGATGAATTATCCAATGATATGCAGGCTGATGTGGGGGTCGATCACCTGACTCGTAGTATTTGCATGTGACAATTGAATCTGTCAACAATAATCCTTATCGGGTGGTAGTTGATGCGCCTTCAGGGGTATCCATGTATCCATGCTCAAATGACCAGGATAATTTCCAACTGCAGTCATTCCGATCACCTGCGGTCTCACGAGCAGTTGCCTTTTCTGTCTCTTCTTCTCTGTACCTATAATATGATATCATGATACAACGTGATAAGGACCCAGATAAGAGGTGGCAGATGTCTCCAGCTTCCCCGCTGATTGGGTCCAGTGGGGAGTCCATCTCTAACTACGGAGTGCTATTCTCAGGGATTCCACTTCCATCTGGCTCTAATTGGTTCTCCCCATGGCTTCCTGAGGCCAGCTTCCCTGTTCATTATTCATTAAGGTTAGGTGCCAAAGGTACTTGTTCTTCCTCAACAAAAAGAAATTTGTCCATTTTGCCTCCCTCTTCTTTTCCATCCCCAATCCAACCGGTAAGTTTCTCTCATCCCACGTCCCTCCACGCCTCATCGGATTATCATCTCACATTGTCCACTAACGGCTTCCAGATTTCTCTTTGCTTTTTACTCTCTGCCGCCCACACCGCGGTGTCAATTCACTCGTTCTTCTCGCTTCTTCTCCACGTTACCGCCTCCCACCGTCCCACAAATACCCCTCAACCCCCGGAAACGGAGATCCTCAAAGTGTCAGGACAACGGTCTCAGACTGAATTGAAAGGTGATACACTCAATGTCTATTCTCGATACCACAAAAGACCTCTCGGCCCTGTTCACCAAGCAGGTCCATGCGACTCCCGATGCCCCCGCGCTAGAAGATGATTCCACCACATACACCTATGCCGAACTAGATAACGAAGTGGATGCTCTGGCTCAGCGTCTGCGAAGCTATGGAGTCGGACGAGACAGCCTGGTTGGCGTGCTTCTCCCTCGGAGCGCTCATTATGTGATCGCCTGCCTGGCCGCTCTTCGTGCAGGAGGAGCATTCCTTGTTCTCGAGCTGGCTTATCCTCCTGATCTCCTGGCAGACGTCCTTGAAGACGCGAAGCCAGTGGTCGTGGTGACTCACCGCACCGAAGCAAATAAGGTCAAAGCCGATGTGCCGTTGATCGCTCTCGACGAGCCCGCGACACATGCCAACGGACACACCAAGGAACCGTCGACTCCTCTGCCGGCCGAGGATGATCTCGATCGACTCGCCTTTGTCTCATATTCCTCAGGAACTACAGGCAAACCCAAGGGAATTGCCAACCCACATCGAGCGCCTGTGCTTTCGTATAATCTCCGATTCGGCGTGCAGGATCTGCAGCCTGGTGATCGGGTGGCCTGCAATGTGTTCTTCATCTGGGAGATTCTGCGCCCTCTGCTGCGTGGCGCCACTGTCGTGGCGGTTCCGGACGACGTTAGCTACGATCCCGCAGCGCTGGTCGATCTTCTGTTGGCCAAACGCATCACCGAAACTCTCATGACGCCAACGTTGCTGGCCACCGTGCTCGCGCGTCACCCTGATCTCGGGGCTCGGTTGCCCCATCTACGCACATTGTGGCTGAACGGCGAGGTGGTCACGACCGATCTCGCTAGACGGGCCATCAAGGTCCTGCCGTCTACCCGGCTACTCAATTGCTACAGCGCATGCGAAACACATGAGATTGCCTGCGGCGATATTCGTGAGATGCTCGACGACAATACCCCGTATTGTCCGGTGGGCCCGCCTCTGGATCCGAAGCACACCTATATTCTGGGTGAAGATGGCAAGACAGTTCCCGAGGGCGACAGTGGAGAGCTCTTCGTTGGAGGGCCCCTTCTTGCCCGCGGATACCTCAATCTCCCCGACACTACCGCCAAAGCCTTCACGGCGGATCCGTTCGACTCTACACCCGGTGCGCGCATGTACCGCACCGGCGACCGAGCTCGCATTCTGCCTTCGGGGCTGCTGGAAATCACCGGTCGTGTAGGTGCAATGATCAAGCTGCGTGGCTATTCGGTGGTTCCTGGTAAGGTTGAAAACGAGATCGTCAAACACTTGGCGGTCAGCCATTGTGCCGTGATCGCGCACGGCGAAGGATTGGATCGCCAGCTGGTGGCGTACATTGTCCGAGACCAGGACAGCACCGATCGTCCGGTCGTCGAAATCAACCCGTCGGGTCACAGCCCGGCGGCGCGGCAGACTTTGGCGCCGTACCTGGCTCAATACATGATCCCCGCCCTGTGGGTGGAAATGGACGAGCTGCCGACCCACGAGGTGTCTGGCAAGGTGGACCTGAAACGACTGCCTCCTCCCCCACCCCCACTCCGGTGAATGGAAATGGAACCAAGGAGAAGGATCCCATCGGTATTGACCAAGTAGCCGCCATCTGGGCCACAACACTGCGAACCCCAAAGGCGTTGCTGAAGCCGACCGACAATTTCTTCGACCTAGGCGGCCACTCCCTTTCCCTGGCGGAACTTGCCTCGAAATTCTCGCGAGAGTTCGGTTTCCGTGTTCCCATCGCGCGTTTGGCCGAGAACTCTACCCTGACCGGTCACCTGGAGACCATGCGTGCCATCCGAGACGGCCACACCGCTGCCGTGCAGGCTGATCTGCCAGCTGTGCTACGTGCAGACGCAACGCTGGATGAGGACATCCGACCTTCTGGTGATGCGAAGATCCGATCCGCGACGGATGCTCAAACGGTGCTGTTGACCGGTGTGACTGGATTCCTGGGGGCTTTCCTCCTCCACGATCTGCTGGAAAGCACATCTGCGCACATCATCTGTTTGGTGCGTTTCAACGAACCTGCGAACGATGATCAACCTGGCGGCGTGGCTCGTATCCGTCGCAATCTGCTCGATCTCGGTCTTTGGCGCGACTCGATCATGGAACGCGTCGAGATCCTTCCTGGTAACCTGTCCCGATCGCGCTTTGGCCTGTCCCCCGAGGCGTTTGACGAACTGGCCGCTCGGGTGGATGTCATTGTCCATGCCGCTGCTACCGTCAACCTGGTGTACCCCTACGCAGCCCTGCGTGGGCCCAATGTCGGAGGAACCAGGGAAATTCTGCGTTTGGCCGCCAAGGGCGGTGCAACAGTACAGTATGTCTCTACCAATGGCGTTTTGCCGCCGTCTGGCGAAAAGGGATGGCCCGAGGACGCTATGCTACCCGTTGAAGACGTTCCCACCAAGCTGCTGGACGGATACGGACAGACCAAGTGGGTGGCTGAGCAGCTGGTCCTGGAGGCCGGTCGCCGCGGCCTGCCCGTCAAGATTCACCGTGCGGGCACGATCAGCGGTCACAGCGTCACAGGAGCGGCCAATGCCTGGGATTTGTTGTCGGCATTGATAGTCGAATCTATCAAGCTGGGCTACGCGCCCGACGTCGACGGCTGGAGGGCCGAAATGACTCCGGTGGACTTTGTCAGCAAGGCGATTGTCCACCTGGCTACGCAGACGCAGGCCGACCAGACGATTTTCCACCTGGGTGACCCGGATCCGGTAGACACGAGACAGGTGTTTGACGCCCTGTCGGAGCTGGGATACCCGACCAAGCGACTCGGATGGGATGAGTGGGTGGCGCTGTGGACCGAAAAACAAGGATCGGTCAAGGGAGGCGACGGCGCATTTACAGTTGACATTCTGCGAAGTGGTATGCCCACAGTGGAATTCCTGAGGGGAATCGTCGTGCTCGACAACGCGGCTACCAGGCCATTCCGCGCCGTGGTAGAACGGCCCAAGGTCGATCGCGCATTGTTAGAGACTTATACTCGCCATTGGTTCGCTCGTGGATGGCTTCCCAAGGCTCCTGTCCGGTTGGGCAAGCCTCTTACCGCCATCCGGGGTCCATTGGACGGCCGTGTGGCCGTCATCACCGGCGCTTCATCCGGCATCGGTGCCGCCGTGGCCACCGCCCTTGTTCGCGAAGGATGCCATGTTGCACTGGCGGCTCGCCGCATGGACGCGCTGGAGTCTCTTCAGCGGCGGCTGTCCGGCCAAGGCAGCAAGATCCTCATCCAGCGCACCGATGTCACCGACCGTGCGCAGGTGGAAGCACTGGTGCAGGCTGCAAACGAGCAGCTGGGTCCGGTCGATATCCTGGTGTCCTGCGCTGGTGTCATGTACTACACGATGATGGCCAACGTCAAGACAGATGAATGGGAGCGCACAGTCGACGTCAACTGCAAGGGTCTCCTGCACTGCCTGTCCTCGACGGTACCCGGCATGCTGGCCCGCGGCAGCGGCCACATCGTCGCCATCTCCTCCGACGCCGGACGTAAGGTCTTCCCCGGGCTGGGGGTATACTCGGCCAGCAAGTTCTTCGTGGAGGCGACGCTGCAGTCGCTGCGCTTGGAGACAGCGGGAATGGGGCTGCGTGTGACAGCAGTCCAGCCGGGGAACACGGCCACCGATCTGCTTGGGATGTCGACGGACGCGGAGGCGATCAAAAAGTACGGCGAGCCGTCGGGGGCGAAGATTCTCGACCCCCAGGATGTGGCCAATTCGATTGTGTATGCGCTGCGCCAGCCGGCGCATGTGGCGGTGAATGAGGTCCTGATTGAACCAAGAGATGAGCCTATTTAGACATACAGATTTTATAGGCTCGCTGTACTTAACTTTATAGACTAATTGATTGTGTCTTACGACCATCCTGACAGGAAAAGAGAAGATGATAGTAGGTAGCTTGTTATAGGTAAGCATGGAACAATCAGCCTATAATTAGAATCCGCACATGGCAGTCCTCCCATGTGCCCGGGGGCCCACGAGGGTGAAGGACTGCATCTAATGTTATCAGCAGAGGCTCTGATTGATGGAAATAATGGATCAGATAACGAGATACATAGATTGATTGAACCCAACAGCCAATGCAGATTGAAATTGCACCTCCCAGAATAATACGCTAGCTATGCTGCAATGGGGGTTGGACAAGCGAGGCCGGTGAAACACGGGAAAACGGGCAGAAGAACAAACATCTCCTAGACAAGTTCCCCCAACAGGCTAGATCGCTGGGCTGACCTCGCACCAATTACATGGGAAATAGACACTGCCGGGTCGGGTATAGAGGCATTGCCAAGGCCGTAGTGTCAGTCATTGTCGGAAGAGCTGCGAGTGGGCCTGGGTATCGAGGCTCAAGGGTCACGGGTTTTGACTGTTGTGAGGATCTTCCAGAGACCATTTTCCCGATTCGTCTCGAGCTAAAATACACTAATCTCGACTTATCTGCTAATCGCCTGCAGATTGCATGGTCTTGACATGCGGGAGATGGCCCCGAAGCCCAGTTAATTTAAAATAGTATAGCTATTCGTTCGATCAGTGACAATGTCATGACCGGCGCAGTGCTGCCGGTGCCGGCGTCACAAGCTTATATATGACTGCTGTCCGTCTGCGCTCTTGTCCGTCGGGCAAACATTGAATTGCTTTCTCAGTCCCTTCAGTGAAAATAAAAATGGACATGTACACACATCAATCGATGACCCCGCGTCCGCAGCAAAACATGCCCTACGATCTCCGCCCACGATCTCTACAATGGGATGAAGTCATTGACAGTGACTCCAACTGCACCATGTCGCCAACCATGAGCAGTGCTGTGCGATTTCCAGCAGTCCATATGCCCGCGCCGCAAGAGCTCTTCCTGCTTGCGCCGCAAGCATCAGCATACCAGGATTCGTCCGTCGAGCTCGGCGGGTATCCTGACATGAATGCCACTTCTAATGTACTTTTTCTTACCTTCCCTCTGCGATACAGTGCAATAGTGAATGCTAAAAAAAAGCCTAAATGAACAGCCCAACCGCCGCCAATCCCAAAACCGTGAAGCGCAGCGCCGATTCCGCGAGCGGCGCGAACAAGAGCGCATCCAACTCCGGAAGAAGATGGAGGAGCTGCGGGCGGAGAACGACGCGCTGAGTCGGCTGCTAGGCGACGCGAAGAATGCGAATCTCAAGCTCGAGGTTGATAATGAGCGGTTAACAAAAGAGTTGGAGACGTTGCGCCGGCGGTGGCAGGATGTGCTACGGTTGATGGCGGATATGGTGCAGCAGGAGGAGGGGGCCGAGGGGGCTCGCCGTCGAGTTGTTCTAGTGGAATGTCTTCATCCTCGTCGTCGTCGCGGAAGGAGGTGCACGGTCTTAGGAGTTCGATTATGATGCAGATGCTGGTGCTGTTGTTTGATGAAAAGGGGAGTCGCCTTCGCGGACGGTGATGGCTAGATTAGGGGCTTTGTCTGGGGATATGTGATATGATTGATTGATGACTCTTGCATTAATGGAGTTTGCTTTTTTGTCACGAATAATTAACTGATTTATCTGAGTTTAGTTCGGTCTCTAGTGTGTCTCAGCAATTGGATCTCTACCAGATTGCTACAGCAGCGACTGTTATTGTCTTCTATATTGGAGATGTCAAGACACTTTTTCACACACCTGGTCACAGGATACACTAAACACAATATGAAATTCAATAATATCAGGACTTACATAATACCAGTTTGAAAGAAGGGAATTCCTAGTGACATCATGGCCCCCTGCATAAGTTTTGGTGAGGAATATGCTAAGCTCATGAGCCGCAATCCCGAGGGCATATACCTCTCTATCCCTCAAAGATTTAGCAAACTCCGTCCAGGATCAATCGGCTACTTCGCCAAACACGGAGAATGGAACGAGGTCACCGATCTTTCGCAAGAAGGGCGTGCCCAGAAGGATGGATTCACGCCCATCAATCGTGCCTTCGACTGCGAAGAAGCCCATGGTGGCCATGTAGAAGACCAGATCTTCGGAAAGCGAGTCCGCGAACTCTTTTAAGGCCACCGTTGGAGTTTTCCGGCCTGATGACCCCCCGCCCCGGTCGACGTCTCCGGCGAGGCAATGCGCAAAACGGGCTCGACTGGAAGAATGATCTCGAGGAAAAGGTTGCCTTGGGAAGGGCAGAGTTTTCTGAGCTGACGAAGTTGCATGAGGAGTTTTTCAAAGTGAAGTTCTTTTGGACCTAATCCTTATGAGTTGAAGTGGATGCTTGACCGTAAGTTTGCAGGAGCGCTATTCAATGATTTGTTGTTACTCATGCATCTACCCTCTTTCTATTCTACATACCTATTTTGGGGTCGGGTGACTATAGCCCGACCGGGCGTGTATCGCCACTGTTACGGGGGTTTTCTGTCATGAAGCTTTTCCCAGATATGGGTGCCTTGGGTCTAAGGCCCATGCCCGAAAGGCCTGGTTCCGGCGGTGAATCCTCATTCCTCGACCTTTCGGTGGCTCAGCTGAGAGGTTACAATTACAATTGCATTATTAACTCATTAAGAAAGCCGCTGTCTGGGTTACTGTCACAAATACAATTGGTCTGAGTCTAGTTCTGGTGTTTAGTACTCTACTCTGTGGGATATTGTCGAATATAGACCATCGCGTACTATGGATATACCAGGCCCGATTTGGAAATGTGTTTCGCTCCTCTAATTGGACTACTTCTAGCTCCATAACTCCATAAGCCGTCAAATCCATCCACCCAACTGCCATCGAGACCAACAAAGTCGTGCAGATGTCCGCACGCTAGTCACGCTAACCACGTGCAGGAATTTACTCCCAGTCCCACGTCAGCTTGCTACTCGGATGGTCAGAAGGATCATCCGATCGACCAAGGACCCCTCCTAATCAGAGATCGACCGTGGTATTGCGTGGATTGCTCGCCATGACCCCCCGAGGCGGCAAACCTCAGCCCATCCTCTTTGTGGACGGCCCTCGCTGGGCCGAGGAGGTGACGCTAAATCCCGCAACACACGGTCAGCTCTGATCCGCCGCCGGATCTCAGAGAAGCGGAATACATACCGAAAGGAGGAGGAGGCTAAGCGAGAGCAATTGATTGCTGAACGTCAGACGCGGGACAAGCATTTGGCGGACCAAGGGTGTACCTGTCTGGGAACGGTCAGGGACCGAGCCCAGGCCCACGGATCTTCCGAACCTCAGACTACAGGGACCAGAACTAGCGTAAAAGTACCTCAAAGTCAAAGTCAGACGCAAAACCCAATTAGCGACGGGACTCTTTTCCGCATCTGCGGCACATGTGGAGGAGTGCGTGTGTCCAACCCGACGCAAGGAAGCACCTCCCCAGCCCTGTCCCTGAGCATTGTCTCTAGCAGGGTAGACCCCTTTTCTCCGGTGGATGCCAACGTTGGACCAAGCGTAGACGACATTCTTCACCATGGTTGGCCTACTCTCTCTGCCGTGATCCTGCGATAGACTAACGTGCTAGCGTTCATGAACCTCTGGCCCAACTTCCGCCGTGCCGATTACGCCGGGAGATGCTACCAATCGCGGCTGGCCCCGAACTGGGAAAGCAATATCTTAATCTATACTACCCTATGGGCCGCTTCGTGCCACCGAGACGTCCTGCGCATCAGCTACGGCTTTAATCCGGTGCTGGACACCCGGGATCAGCTGTACTACAAGGGCCGACTTCTGCGGCTGCTGCGCGACCATGTGGGGGATTATACCAATGAAGAATGGCGAGACGGAGTCATCATGGCCATCTTGCATCTGGCCGTCAACGAGACCACGAGACGAGACCTCAGCCGCGATCCAAGCCCGTTCACGCCCCGTTTGTGGACATGCAATCACTGTCGTTCTATGGCAGCCGGGACTATCACTCCATGCATTGGAATGTCATTTGCCATCTGCTGCGCCAGCTGGGTGGCATCCAGTCCATCAAGCTGTTCGCACTGGGCTGGTTGATCACAATGTAAGTGGCCGTGGCCGTCTACACCCCCGCAGCTCCCAATTCTCTGCTAATTTCATCCAGCGCGGATCTAATGAAAGCCGCCCACGGTCTGACCAAACCGCTTTTCCCCCGGGTCGATGTGGAAGGCAACGAGGTCAACCTGCCGTCTCCTCTGCGCGTCTTTCCCCTTCCAGACAACGACGCATCCACGACGCAGAATCTCGGGTTCAGGTATTTGTTATCCACCTGCCCACCGGTACAAGGCCCCATCGTGGACGTCTTCCTCCACCTCAGCGAATACTCCACCCTGGTGCAATGGTACTGCAATCGCCACCTCGATCCATCAGACTGCGACCGTTTCGCCGACGTCCGCAACCAAGTCCACCACGCCATCTTCAGCCTGCCCGACGAGAAGGACCCCGTTGAATCCGTCCTTGATATGTGCAACCTGTCCCCGGATGACTTTTCCGTCTCGCATGGGCTGTACCTCACCTGCCGCTTGGCTGCAAACCTGTACGCAACGCACGTTACCTTTCCCCTCCCGCGCTCAGCCCTCATCCGCGCCATGATCCTCCCGCTGCTCGCCAGCAAACTCGACCAGATGACGCAGACCGTGTGCAATCCGTTGCTTCTCTGGTGTGCTACCATGGCGGCCATCGCGGCAGAAGAGATGCCAGAACATGCACGGCTAGTCGAACACGTTGAAACCCTATGTCGCGGGCTGAATGTCACATCATACCCGCATTTCCTCGGGATTTTAGAAACATTCGCCTGGGTGGAAGTCGCATGCTCGGAGGGATGTCGTCGACTGTGGGAGAGATTGGCAGTGCAGTCAGCAGAGGGGGAAGCCCTGAAGTTATACAGGCGATGAGCCCTTTTACACTAATAATGCCCCTAACGATGTAACGAGCTGAGTAATGATTACTTAATGCCTTAGTATATCAGAACCTGGACCGGCATTTGAATCCTGATTTCTTAGCGTCGTGTTATTCCCGTTTGGGATATGTCTTGTAGGAAGGCTATTGGATGTTGTCTGACTGTCTGACACTCCTATAGGCTACGGCGTCTAGAGGTTATGGCTCATGAACTAAGCTGGGGAAATCTCTGCAAGTCCGGCGAAAGCAAAAGATGTCCGAGACGGAATATATCCCCCCTGGCAATTAACACGCGACCTTTTCCCCCACAGGTCGCATTCTATAACCACCAAGATGCAACTGCTTTTCTTTAAACGTTGTTTATCTTGAGGGAGTTGACTGACTCGGGTCCCCAGCGAGTTTGCTGACCATGCCCATAGTTCGGAGACTAGCTGGAGAGAAGACATTATACTCATATTGTGTAGTTGACAGTGAACTCGTTTCCTCCAATACAGAAGTTCCTCACTCTATGTAAACCAGAATAAGGTCTCTAGAATAATCCTTGTTACCGATACACCGAATGCAAGTCATCTCGTGTGGCCCCTCTAATGGCAAGTAATGTTGAACGATATAACCTTCGACTCTATTGCAGTGTTGCAGCTCTTCTACATCCTTACCTTCGTTCCTGTTGGTAGGACTGTCTTAACTACAAATCTTGGACTCCACACAATGGGTAATTCATGCAATGTTCTGGCCAATACTCTGTACTTCATTACTAACTACTTAAACTATAGAAAGTCACTATAGAATCTACACCCTGCTAGGTCCTATGTATAAGGTAAAAACTCTGTGGGGGCCATAATAATCAACCTTTCCAATGTACATTATTAATAAAGAAACCCTTTACCTGGAACCCCACCTATCACCTTAAAGACATAGTTAAGTAAATCATCTGACTCACCTAGCTCACCCTTGTAAAGTGGTACGTAATAACTAAAAGAGGAAAGGGAAGTGTCCTTGTTTCTAGACTTCCAGGCTCTGACGGGCCGTCCGGGGCTCCGGGCAGTAAGATGTGGGGTACACAGGACCCTGGCCCCTATAACCTTCAAGGCGTTGTCCAACTCCTTCAACCATCAACTATCACGGAGCATCTCGGTCAGTCAATTCTGACAATTTTTACTTTTCAAAAACACGGCCAAGGGGGCTGTTTCCGCACAAGTCACGGCCGGCAGTGCCTCGGTTCCAGGTATATTCAAGCATTGCCCGTATCCACTCACCTCGCCCACCTCACCCAACCCGTCACCCATGCTGTCTCACGCCAGGATCATGTTCCGCAAGCTCCGTGGTAGTGGCAGTCGTAGCAGCCGTGGCAGCAAGCCCACGCCATCAGCGCCGGCCACGACAGCAGAGAGTGAACAGTTGATCCATCCCCTCGCGCCATCCATATCAGCGACGCGAGGCGGTCGCCCACCATTACCAAGCTACCCTCCGATTCACAGTACATGTCCATTATCGTCGTGAACGCCAAAGGCGCCGCCGACTCGTTGCAGTTTTACAGGGTACGTACCCAGCGCAACATGCTCCCGAGTACCCCACCCCGCGGCGGCCGGGCTCACCCCGCGCGGCTTCATTAGCTACTCCAGAGAGAGAAGGGTGACTGCGAGTTCGACCCTATGGATGACTTCAGAGCAGATTACTTTTGCGGCGGTTACGGCTACAATCCACTTTATGGCGCCCAGCAGCCCGTGGTGGTGTGGCCTAGCTTACCTCTGCCTCATGCAGCATTTCTGCCTCGTATTCACGTACGACGCTTCATCGAGGGAATCGTGGGACGAAATGGTCGCCGCCTGCGAGAGGTTGCGCAGCCGCTGCGAAGAAGACGGGGTCCTCCCCTTCCTTGCAACAATGATCGTCGCCATGGGTGAAGGTGAAGGTGAAGCCGCCGTGTCGCACGCGGAAGCCGAGGCGTTTGCAACCCAGCAGGACTGTCTCTTTATCAAGATCTCGCCCGTAACTGGGCGCGGCATTGGCGATGCGGTCGGCTCGCTAGTTGAGCTGGCACACGGCGCTCGTGATCAATATCCTATGGATCAGGAGGGGGGAGGCATTGCTGGCATTATTTCCCATCAAGGGATTCCCGGCTCACGACTGGCATCGCCGTGGATAGATGTGATACCGTCGCCAAGACGGTCAGCAAAATGCAGCAAATATATTCAGTGGGACGCTGCTTCACCTGCGCTTGGTTTGCCGCCGTAGTCCAGTCACAACAGCCTTGCATCTCGACTCAAGATGAGCCCCTGCTGCCCACGCTGCCATCTCCACCCACTCTTGTTCCAAGAACCCATTGCCCTGGGGGTTGTAGATATCAAGCTCATATCTGATAGGTATAATGAGAAGTTCGTGAAACGAAGGGACAGCAGTCAGCACCTGACAGGGAACTTCGTATCTCATATCCGCACCACGCTAGACAAGCGCTTCTACGCAACAGTCTAAAGCTCTTTGGCAGTAGGCTGCCCCGAGGTTTAGGGTTCATCGCCTGCACGACAAGTTCTCAATCTTCTCTTGAGATTTCTCTCGGCTGAGATCGGAACACGGGCCTCATAGTCCAAAGTCGGATGTCAAGCATGGTGTAAAAGGAAAAAAAGAAAACAAAAAAGGTCTGGTTTTACTCCGTAAGGGCTATGGTCTATGCACCTTCATCCATCAATGTCAAAGGGCCAGATTGATCTTAGGGTGTTCTCATCTTTTATGGGCTCGTCGTCACTCAGGTCTGGGTTATCCGAAACAGCCTGCAACATCCCATTGAACAATTCCTTGTGAGCCAATTCTGTCGCTTCCCAGTTTTCTAAGGGTACCCAACCATCTGATGCTGTGTTAAGCAAGTTTGACAAGTCGCGCCGCAGATTCTGTGCTGCTTCGAAAAGTTTGTACTCCCCCTCATGATTTGCTAGTTCTTCTGACGTAGGTATTGGGTATAGGCATTGGCCTTCAAATCCGAGCTCTGTCCAGTGTCGGGAAGTTTCAATCAGCTCATGACGTAGAGCCACTGCGCCATCCTTCCACGTCCTGTAACAGTAGCGAAGAGGTCGAAAGAGGTTTTCATCCATCAATCGCGGTCGAGAGAGTTTGGGAGTCAGAAACCGCGAGGAGAGTTCAAAAGTCGTGGCGCAGATGTCATTTTCTCTCGCAAAGCCCGGCACTTCATCCGAATACCAAAATGCTGGTTCAATACTAGCGGACTGCCAGTCAATAATACTGCTGATGAGAGTAGGATCATCCTCCGAAACAAATATATTTCTCATATGCAAGTCGGGGTGAAATAATAGCGGCGAGGAAGTGGTCTTAATCCGAGAATCCGCCGCAATTTGCCTCAGTACAACCCAGGCGCCTTCTAAAAGGCGCAAGTGGTTTTGAACTGACCCATGGTAGAGTGGCTTTTGCTCAACTTCAGTATCAGCTGGAGGTACCCTGGAAATGCCAGCGTCAATGAGGCCATCGCAGTACTCCTCAATACTTGTCCCTGGTTATTCATCTCAGTAAGCAAACTTTCTGAATGATTGAGATTCAGTGTAACTTACAAGGCCCATGATTTGGCTTTGCTCTGCCATAATACCTATGTTCTCCTGAATTGCAGTCCCAGTATCGACTACTGCAGTGCGGTCCAATACAGAAATCTTTATCCAAGAACATTCTGTAATTTGACTCGACAGTATCGTTGAAGTATATGCTCCCAAATGCCGGAAATTCCAGGTCAACAGCCTCTTTGATCGTTCGATAGATCGCATCTATGCACCTGACTTGCTGATCCCCAGTCATTTCCTGCCATTTCTCGCGCAATGGAACACCAGCTGCATGTTCCATAATTATATATTCACTACCAATGAGATTGTCTGCATGTGCAGCATCATCATGCCAATCAAGGATCGTAGGAATGGGGATTCTGGTCCTTGCTTGTACTATGTATATACAAATAGATTAGCATCTGGTCAGTCACTCCAATAGAGCAGAGCTCACAATAGCGAACCGTGGCGACCTCAGAAGCAGTGGTCAGTCTCGTTGGGCCAGCTAATGGAAATGGAAGTCTCGCCACGATTTGCTTGGTGTTATCCAATGTGAAAATAAACACCCTATTGAAACCTCCTTCAAGCTTTTGACAAGCTGGGATGGTGTCTGCTTCAGGACATAGATCAATCACCCTCTGGCAGAGTGCTTTGAAATTGAACTTGATGTAGCGCGAGTCACGCTCCACCTTGTCTTGACGTAACCACCGACCGCTCGTGTAAGCATGGGGGTCGATTGCTCCCACTGAGTCAACTTGAGTGAACAGTCTGTTGCAGGAATGGAACTTTGCGGCGTAATTAGGTTGAGAGCAAAGTCTCCCTGAATAAGATTGAGATAAACGGTGAGGGAGGGACTTGTGTATGAGCTGAATCTGCAAGCTATGGAGAGGAAAGGGGTGAACAGCCCACATCATCTGTCTTGCTTTATTTGATGTCATTGTCCATCCATCGATTTGATTACCATTGAGTCGGTATAATTTATACACCTCATGCTAATAAGGGGAGAGATCAGATGACATACGGAGTAGTACTGATCTTGGGCCAGCCCATGTGGGCTTCCTGCACCAACTGCGCTAATAGATAGCTCACGTCCTCTCCATATTGATTTTCTGGGTACCCATGGGTTACCCGCCAACCCGCCAAGAACCCAAGGTACCATAGATTACTGTAATACATATGAAATACCTCACTTTGAATGTTGTTGAAAATGATAATACTGTATCAATTTACAAATCGCTAGCAATCTCTATGGCCAATGGAAAATTAATGAAGGTCTGATTCTTCTAAACAAATGACTATCCAGCTCCTATTTATCCCTTCCATTAGAGGCTGGGATTTGGCTGATTAAATGACAAATATTTGCTGAAATATTATCACCAAGAAGCAGCATGGAGAAATCAAATCACTTCCTAATTAGGTAAGCAGTCATATAATTTAATATACCCCCCAGCTGATCTGATTAGGCGAAGCTACATTATTCTATAGCTATTAAAGCCATATCCATCTCTTAGAATGGGCAATCATGTTGAATTAATAGTATTAAATAGGTTAAAGCTCAATCTCTCCCTCCTGATTGGTTAATGAGCCCAACCATTCTGCAAAAATTAATATATTTATTCTTTAGTAATATCTTTGTAAGGCCATCTGCTGGCATGCGATTAGTTGTAATCTAATTGACTGATATATGGCCTGATTGGACCTCTTACTGAAGCTAGTATTAATATATATTGACATGGCGTAGCTTTGTGTGAATTATAGGCTCTTTGCTGCACAAAAGCCCTACTATTTGGTGATTATTGCATAGAATGGATATCTTATGCTCTGGATTGAATCTAATATCTAGGAATAGTTATTTCTACTAATAGATGTTCTTTGCGGCCTCTAAAATGGCAAGTAATTTGGCCTCAGTAGTAGAAGTAGTAATAGTCTGTTGCTTCCCTGCGCGCTAATCTATAGTAGTGCTGAATAGCTTTACTAGATATCCTTTGCTACTGCTATAATCTAAATGATCTGCGTAGGCAGCATTACTAGTGATGATAAAGATATTCCCTGTTAAATCACTTCTATATTCTAATGCATAGTCCTTTATTAAAGCAAGATATAGAATGATTTAATTAGCTGCATTAAAATGCGCTGGTCCAGGATTCAATAGATATCTTAATAGATTAGATGTTATCTTAGCAATATCTAAGTAAGTGATCACTGCAGCATAGAGAATTAATCTAATTTTAGATTGATAGTAGTGTATCTCATGTGCTATAGCCTTTTCATTATAAGGGTATAGATAATCTATTATTACAGGCATTCGCGCCTTCTAATTAGCAGAATCTAAATAATATCTTGTAATAATCTTCTTAATATATACCTATTAGCTAAGCTATAGCTTCCATTTCATTTAATCTCTAGTGATCTTAATATTTAGGAAGCTCTCTCCCTTACCTAGATCATAGAATTCATATTATTCTTATAGTTTCTGAATTAGATTGTTAGCATGCTTCTTGCTTTCATGGCAGTAGAGAAATAGTATATTATCTATAAACACTAAGATAATAGTCTTATTATCTATATAAAGGTATGAGTCTGTATCCATTCTCCGCAAACCTATCTCTTTAAGTACTTTTAAAATATCTCTCTGCTAGAGGTGTGGTGCCTTGCGTAGGCTGTAGAGAGCTTACTTTAATAGGTAAATATAGCCATATTCAGAGAATCCTTTAGCTATTCTAGTATAGACCTCCTCATCTAGCTTACTATTAATGAAGGTGTTAACAGCATTAATTTATTATATATTAAGATTAAATACTGCTGCTATAGCCATTAACATCTGAAAGGTTCATGTAGCAAGAGTAGTAGCTATAGTATTATTATATATTATCTACTGCATGTCTCCTCATACACAGATTTGTGCCTTAGCCTTAATTAAGTAGCCTTCTTAATTAAATTTATATGTGAAAACCCATCATAGTGGAATAATCTACTTATCTCTAGGTATTCTAACCTTCTGAAAAGTCCCTTAAGCTAATAATATATTATGTTCCAACTGTGTAGCTGCTTCAAAGAGTTCCTTTAATAGGTGCTTCTGCATCTCCTTCCAGCTGTCAGGTGCAGGTGGTATTTTATCTTAATAAAGCTATTTCTTCAATGCCTTAGTGTTCAGGCCTATTCTAAATAATATAAATACTAAGTAGAATTGCTCCAGGCCATCTATCTAGACACTAGCATATGCATGTTATGGAGCTCAATGTTCCTATTTTCCTTTAATAATATTATCTAATGAAAAATTAGTGCTTATACTATATTTTAGCTTCCATGGGATATTATTGACATCATCTAGTTCATCTTAATGGTTTGGTTTAATACTTAATTAATTAACTTCCTTAAATAGCTGTTTTAAAGGTGGATCTTCTACTTATAATCAATCTGGGGACTTAGGTAGTGTATCTATAAGCCTTATAGGCATCTTAGGCTCTGGCAAATCATCGATTCTTATAGGCGATCTTGGGGTAATCAGATCTAGTTAAATTAGTGCCTCTCTCTATGGGCTGTTAATCCAGCCTCTAGGAATGCCATATTGGCCTGTATCTGCATATTACAGATGTGGTGTAAGATCATCTTCTTGCTTAATAGATTCAATAGGTGCATTATATTGGATAGATCTTCCTAGCGAAGTAAGGGGAGTTAGAGGTATGAGGTTTACTTCTAGTGATTCTGCTATTTGACTACCTTTCTTCTCTGGTATAGCGCCTTTACTTATTCCTTTGCTTATTATATTAATTACTTTATTCACCCCCTGAGCTTTAACCTCATCTAACTCATCATCTGCACTTCCCACTAAGCTGGGCAAGTCATTAATATCTAGCAGCTCATTAATTTTAACAGGTAATTCTGGCAGATCTGATATTTTGATTGCTTCAGCATGGAATAGCTAATTTAGATTAAATAGGACATCTTTATTAAATATCATATCTCTTTTATTAGTAATTATTCTAGTTACTAGATTCTATATCTTCTATATATTAGACACTATATAGCTAACTAGATAGCCTACCCAGGCACGCGGATCTAGCTTCTTTAATCTTAGAATCTTATAGTGCCTAATGTAAGCTCTGCATCTATATATGTGGAGATTTACTAATAATAGCTTCTTACCATAAAGCTTCTTATAGGGCGTGATCTATATCTATTTTATTTAACCATTCTCCTCTACTACCTCTCTGTGTGGTTGTCTATTCTGCAGATAGGCAGTGGCCTAGAATATATGCAGCTATAGCTTCTCAGGCAGTTATGTACTAATTTGCATACTTTAGGCTATTATTTAATAATTATCTTCCTAGAATATTTAATTAGCCCTTTCTGCTCATTAATATATTAAGTTAAATGATAGATCTTAGTGCCCTTAGATTTCATAGTACAGATATATTTATTTCTAAGTATTAGTTCATAGTTAGAAAATATCTTCTTTAGCTTAAGGCCAAATTACATTTTAACCTATTAGATGAATTGCTTTATTAGGCCATTTAGCTAATCTTTATCTAGATGCGTGTAGATTACATGCCATCTAGTTAATTTATAAATGAAATATATCACCTAACGATCTTTATTGTAGGTAATTAATAGTGGAATCAAATTAAAATGAATGCTTTTAAATAGCTCTATAGACCTCTCTCTAGGGGTCTGAGATATCTGCTTAGCAGCCTTTGCTAGCCTGCATGTCTTATAAATTAATCTCTTACAGCTTAACACTTTAGCACCTATTGAGGCCTCCTCTAAGTGCTGTATAGCTTCATCTCCTAGGTGTGCTAGCTGTTGATGCTATTATTTGCTAGTTATAGCTAATTTATGGGGCCTCTCTAAGTATTAATTCATTACAAAGATATTTAATATTAGATTATATTCCATAACCTCTATATTATGTTTTAATTTAGTGCAGCAGATTAGCTTCCTATTCTAATCTTCTATAATATTAGTGTGTTGATTGAGATAATATCCATGCCTTTTCATCTGAAAGGTTAAGAGCAGATTTATATAGTAATTAGGTATATAAGCTACTTAGCTGACTTCTAATATATGCAGCTTCTGATTCAATCTAATTGCTTGCAGTTCAACCTTTCTATATCTATGGATTTTTATTTTAACAGTTCTAAAATGCGCATACTCTCCCTCCACTAGTTTGTAGGTGAGGAATTAAGTTTAATTATTATAGATGTTGATATCTGCTCCTAAATTAATAATCCAGCTATCTTACAACTCATATATATCCCTACCCATGGAGAATACTGCTGAATTACTTCTTATAATACTTATTACTGTGTGAGATGTGTCCTGATTCTAATTCTGATTAGCTTACTTAATCACTTCATCCATTGCGTGCTTTACCCTTAGATTTCACTTAATCTTCTTGAATTATTCTATGATATCTAGATTCAGCTTCTATCTCTTTAGCTATATTAATTTAATCACATATGGGCACTTATTAAATAAGTGCCTTTCTCTGCAGGGGCAATCATCTTGCTTAGGCTATTTAAATCTGCAATTCTGATTAGCTGAATTAGAATTTAATTAGTCAGAGGATTGTCCCTTAAATATGGTAAAGATGTTCTTCTATTCTCTCTGACTAAGGCTTTCCTAGTGTTTTTAATAATAAGAGATCTTATTAAAGATACTTAGCTTGCTATCCTCTAGCAGATAATCCAATTAAATACTAGCATATTAGGATTTAATCTTTTTTAATGTCATGAGGAAGGTCCTGGTGCCTATATATCTAGTGTATTATATTATATTTAGTTTAGTATATATACTTAGCACCTTCTCCTACTTACTTAGCTAGCTTGATACATTCTAATTAGCTGGCTTAGCAGCAAGCTTTTAATATCTCTCTTAGATATTATTCATTTGCATTTTAATTAAAGGCTTTAGATTAGCCTTAAGCTTTTAATTAGAGTTGCATTTGGTGTGGGTTCGGGCGGGTTCAAGCCTAGTTAG